GCGGCCTGACCAATTGATGTATGTTGCGTCGCCGACCTTTAGACCATGAAGCTTCTTTGTCAATCTTTCCACCTCTTCCCCAACTTTCTCCTTTACCTCCACCTTCCGTGTCCGCTCTTTCCCCTTCCTCTTCTTCTTCACACCATCGTCGCTATCACTGTCAGAATCAGACAAATCATTCGCAGAAGCATCGCCATCACTTGAAGAATCCGATGAGCTGCTATTGCTCTTTGAGCGCCTGCGTTTGCTCTTCTTTGACCTCCTTCCTCGTACAGGAATCGGGTCGTCGCTGTCCGAATCCAACGCATCTTCCCCCAACACCCTCCGTGCTGCTTTGACGACGTTTTCCACTGATGGCATAACCTTCACATCTCTGGCAGCATCGGTCATGTCGAGTCGTTGCTTAATCAACTTCCTCGTCGCCTTGGGCAGGCCATTCCAGGATTACTGTCCAGTGTGCTGATCTTGTTCTTGGCAACTAGGAACTTCGCCATTGGCTTGAAATGTGAGTAATACTTCATAAAACGTTCCTCCGTGTTGATGCGTTTTTCAGCTGTCGCCTTCGTCAATTTCTCCAAGTCGCGCACAGTGTATGCCTCGCCTTCCTCGGCACCCGGATACTGCTCCAAAACCTCCTTTTTGAAAGCAGCCCAATCCTTCGGAGTTGCGCTGTAGGCGTCCAGAGACTTCCAAAACTTCCTCGTGCTCTTCTCAGCCACATACTTCAACACCCACTTCATCTTCTCCTCGTCCTTCAAGCTTGCTACCTTTGCCAACTCCTCAAAGTCTTCGAAAAATTCCAACAGCTCCTCTACCTTCCCTTTCCAGTCCGGGCTCTTCTTTGACCCAGGGGTGGGCATCTTGCTAGGGTCTGATGACATCGTGTTTATGGAAACCACGTTCGCAGCGGCTGATTGAGTGAGTATATGCGCTTCGGATGACTGATCTGACTGATTTTCTTGCGTCTGCAAAGTTTTTGCGGGGTTTCGTCTACCTGCCCTTGGTGGATTTTTGTGTATGTTGCTGGTAAGCTGCTCTTGAACGATCTCGTCGTCTTGTTCGTTGTAATCTGCTGATTCTTTGATGATACGATAGCCAACCTCGGCGATGTCTTCCTCGATGTCGGAAGCTGGTGGCACTCGTCCTGGTACTCCTTTTCTCGGTGGTAGTACCCTAGAACGGCCAACCTCGTTCTTCTGACGACGGGATTTTGACGTGGCGTTTGACTTCGGTAGAACGGTATTGGGATGTACGGGATGAGGATCAGCCGTTTTGGCTTATCCCCTCGCGGTGGGCTCCAAGTGAAAGGATGCTGATGAGTATGGGGTCGGATCGTGTGAGGGAAATGTCTTGTAGCCTCTCGTTAGGGACCGTAATGCTAATGTGCGTCGTTGCCTCTGTCGTCGTACAAGAGTGAGCTAGGGACCGTAATGCTAATGTGCGTCGTTGCCTCTGTCGTCGTACAAGAGTGAGCTGGAGAACAAAGAGACAAGTGGCTACGCGTAAGTACTGTGTCCTTATCTAATCTAATCACAGAGTGGGACCGTAATCGCATCGTAGCCTACCTCTCTCTCCTACATCTCCCCCTGACTTTGAAAATCAACCATCCCTGGTTGCGAACATTGCGAAGAAAAGCAAAAAAAGGGAAACGCGAAGAGATTGGAAGCTACTTGCGCTTTTTCCTCGATGCCTTCTTCCTCGATCTCTCGTCTTCTGAACTGCTCTCGTCACTGTCGTCGGTATCCATCCTCTTTTTAGTTTTCTTGTTCGTCTTCTTCTTTTTCCTCCGTCGGCACTCGTCATCACTATCGCTTTCCTGCTTCCTCCGTCGTCGTCTTGCTTTCTCCTTCTTCCTCTTCTCATCCTCGCTATCCTCATTGCTCTCATCACTGTCCTTCCTCCTCCTAGCTTGTCTCTGATCCTTCTTCTTCCTTGCTTTCCTTCTCGCCCATTCCTCATTGCTCGACTCGCTATCACTCTCATCACTCTCCTCCTCGCTACTCTCCAGGTCTAACATCTCCACCCGCCTCATCTCCAGCATTGTGGTCGTAGTTGTAGTATCGGTGTGCGGCTGTACAGGTGTGTATGAAGACGTCGTTGTAAGGATCTGCGGCGAAAGAGAAATCGGTATAGGGACTGTTGTAATGGCGATCATCAAATCTACTGGCGTCGGCTTTGCTAATTTGGTTCGTACGTCGTCTAGGATTATCGGAATTCCTCGTGGAACTGAAGTCTTCTTCGTTTTCTTTGTCTTCTTGCGTCGAGTCGTCGGCTGTGATGCGTCTTGGGGTTTTGGTGGATTAGAAAGGTCGGAACGAGGCGTTTCATAGTTGACTAGTTGGCGTCGGAGTATATGCGGTAAGCTCTCGAGAACATCGCATGATAGTACAAGATACCGGTACTGTGCGTCGTGAAAAGCTTGCTGCCATATCGCGTTGTGAAGGTCCATTGGGTTGACAGCCTTGAGTGTACCTCGTCCCTGGAGAAGCTCGAAGAAGATGGTCTCGTAGCAGTGGATGTAGCGTCGTTCAATCTCGAGCTCGAGTGCATAGCGGTCATCGGAGTGGTCGACGGTGAGAGACGCGCCAGACTTGGCACGAGCGAATATGGCGCGCAGGGTCTTGCGGGTACACCAGACTCTGAAAGTGCTGCCGAAACCATGCGTGAAGATCTCGACGGTCGGTCCAAAAGACTCGCGTTGGCGTGGCTGTTCTGATCGGATGCGCGATGATCGATAAGGACGTCGTTCACGGAAAACGATGCGTGGCATGCAGAAATAAAGCATACTGGGGTGTCCGTGATGTCGATGCGTAGCCGTCTGATGAAAATGGATAAAGGCGGGTTGCGGAAAAAGGGTGTAGGGTTTTGGGGCTCGGGCAGGCGGGTTCGAGCAAAACAAGGTTCTGCAAGTGGTGGGCTCCAATATGAAAGGATGCTGATGAGTATGGGGTCGGATCGTGTGAGGGAAATGTCTTGTAGCCTCTCGTTAGGGACCGTAATGCTAATGTGCGTCGTTGCCTCTGTCGTCGTACAAGAGTGAGCTGGAGAACAAAGAGACAAGTGGCTACGCGTAAGTACTGTGTCCTTATCTAATCTAATCACAGAGTGGGACCGTAATCGCATCGTAGCCTACCTCTCTCTCCTACATCGGGATTTTGACGTGGCGTTTGACTTCGGTAGAACGGTATTGGGATGTACGGGATGAGGATCAGCCGTTTTGGCTTATCCCCTCGCGGTGGGCTCCAAGTGAATGACAGTAAGTCGGTATGAGTTCGGATGGATAAAGGCCAAGGCTGTATGATACACGGAATGTAGAATAAGTGAAGTCTCGATGCATGAATCCGAAAGCTAAGTCCTAGGCGAGACGCGTCACAGATCATGTGATCGTGCAGTCACCGTAAACCAACGTCGCATCGTAGCCAACCTCTCCCTCCTACACTTGCCCTCATGCATTTCATTGATAAGAAGTCATGCAGTACTAGTCATGCCCCACTTGGCAAACCTTGAGCTTGAGGCTTGAAGCTTGAGGCTTGAAGCTTGAAGCTTTAAGAGTCGGGCAAGCCTCCATCCGAATCGGGCCGAAGCTGAAGTAAGCTTCTTTTCAGTTTCAGCGCCGGCGCCTATTTGGATGCCGGCTAGTCCCGTTTCTCTGAAATTGGTCTCAAGAGAATCAATCGACTTTGTGTACTGCTTTCGGTACGATCTTCGGAGACTGCCGACTGAGTCCTAAGGTGGGTGATGGCTACGCACAGTCTAGGTCACGATAAGTCCGTAAAGCGGCAGTACGTCGGCAGACTGGCGATCAGCGCGACCAGCTGTCCCTGTCACAGCGTGGGAAGGAAGCAAGTTGTGAGACGATAACCCCCCTCAACACCAGTTGGATCGGGGTCCAAATGACGCTAGCTATAATATATGTCATGGAATCCTCGGTTGTCGAATTGGGAGTGACAAAAGACAAAGAGTGAAAAACTAGGTGTACACCTTTTGGCCTAGTGGTTCAATCGCGCTGATAGCTGCTTTATCGTGTGAAATCCCACAAAGTCAATGCTCTAAGTCATCGTTTCAATTCCTGAGACCTACAAACAATCAACGAAACAAGCAAATAAAACAAGCCATGCGATAGTAACGGGAAGGAGTAAGTAATATTTGGCAGCATGCGAGGTAATATTACGAGGTCCGCTCAAAGTCAGAAATATCATCATAGTCCAATGATTGAAAGAGGTTCAGAAATCAAGGCACACGAGATGATTTATTTAAAATAAGCGTGAGCGTACCGGTTCGATGAAGACATCACAAGAGACCTATCATGGAGCGAATGGGCGGCCTGAAGGTGATCAGCGAGCGCTTCCGGCCTTCGAAAAGGCTTGCGGCGTGTGCAACCATCGACGGGACATATCCAGCGCACGCAATGTGTCAGGAGGTGACGCAAGTAGCTCGCCTCTTTTAACTTCCTGGAGTGACACCTGGCCAGGCGCACCAGCACCTCCCCTCACGCGCGTGGTTCCCCGTAATCTTGTGGGTGAGTTTGAGGTGCTCGACGAACTCCTGCACGCTCCACATAGGCTCCCCGCAGATTGTTTCGTCGCGCATGTGGGATGGCACTGCCTTCGTACGGCTCGGGATTCTGGCGGCATTGGGTCGGCGGTGTAGATTACAGCGCCACCACGGGGGCTTTGGAGGAAGGCCGGCGTGCGGAGAGGATATGGGGAGGCTAAGGGAGGATGAGTTAAAGTTAGTGAAATAGTCGACACCTTCTGGAAACGTTGTATATTGCTGGACGATTCGTCCCTGCTGACCGTAAGCGATGCGGGTATTATAGGCATTGTCGGGGGACCCGACTGATGACGAGAAGGTGATCGTATCCTCAGAGTAGTCTGGATAAGAGTGTGAAGCCTGAGGAAGGTAGTTGGTGAAAGTCTGGGGCCGATCGAACTCGGAGGTGTAGCCAATTACAGTGCCCGCGTTTTGGAGACGGAAAGAATCCGAGAGTGTTGGCAAAAAAGGTTGTAGTGACTGATCGACCGAAGGATGCGATACCCAGGCTCCTCCATGTGGTATCTCGAGAATCGCGTCTTCTGAGTCATTCCCCGGAATGGCTGCGGAGCCTTGAATAGTGGACGAAGTGTAATTGTATTGATGGGACTGTTCCGGGAGTGAAGGAGTGTGCTGATCCCAACTATAATCAAGCCACCTGGGAGAAGTGTCGTGGCTTGAAGAGCGAAACCAGCATTAGGAAAATGAAGCAAGATACATTATTAGCGGTGTCTTCTTACCCAGCATTTGGGTCATGGTGTTGTTGAAGACTGTGTTTGTGGGATTCTGCCGCTCTGAGATCCTTAAAAGTGTAAGGATCTTGAACCCAATAGTTGAAGGTATCCCTGCGCAAATGGAGTGTGTTAGTTCCTAGTCGCAGAAGCATAGAATACAGACACAACGTACATAATCTCTTCGGGGGAGTAGCGAACTTGAAAACTCGACATAGACCTTATATTTGAACTCACTCTATAGCATTGCCTAAGCATGATGGAGCACCATTGCCTACCGCCTGCGGGCAATGAAACGCAGCAGGCGAAGGTCGTGATGTTGACTCGGAGTCTGCGCCGAGGCAACCAACACCAGGCGTTGAGTGTCCTCCCTGTCACGGATCTTCTTTCTGCGATGTTTCGGCGCAAGTGGGAACGCTAGAATGAGGAAAATGGAACACCATGTCCTGCGAGAGGCGGTTTCAAGTGCACTGGGCTCCTTTTACGGAAATGAAGCAAAAGTTCTGATGAATAGATTCAACGCGCTGCCTGGTTAAAGAACCAAAGGAGAGCGGCTTCTAATTGACAAACACCCAGAGATGGAAGGGTTCATCCTTCTGCGACATATTCGACCATCCGATCGGTCCCACAGCCATGCGGCTGATGGGGAAGGTGTGAAGAGTATCAAACTGGCGACGATGTGATGCCCTCACATCTCTCCCTGGGAATTCAGTAGCGTGGTCTGAACATATGCCTATTACTTATCTGAATCCCATTCGCCTTCTGTGGCTTCGAACTCACTGATATGGCGCAAACATTAATTGAGGCCTAAAATTTGGAGAATGAGTTCGTATCGGTCCATCATCTGTAAAAATGAGGCTACGATGCACAAACCAAGGACGTACTAATCTGGATATGAAGAGGGACATGCCATGCTGCTTCAATCTTTAGATTAACAAAGGTAGGCACCAAGCGATCCTATGCTACATTTGTCCAATTGCTCAGTCCTCCAGGGGAGCTATTTGGAAGCTTGAAATAACTCTTACAACGAGGTACCAGGTATCCTGGCGTGGAGACCACCCGCAGCGTCGTTGAATTTGATGACGCAACCCGACCCAGCTTGATAGGACGTCTGTTCAGTCATTTTATCCAATGTTGCAGAGCACCCACCTGGCTTGTAATTCATATCAGATCTGTGCACATAATCTCACTCATCTTTAGGATCATGCCTTTCCAATTGACGTTTTAAATGGCCTTTAACTTATTTCCGAGTAGCTGGTCAGACTCAGCGCGGTCTTGAGAATGGAGGTAGGGTTGCCTGAAATTCTTCTGGATGTGTGTAAGCCCGCAGGTACGAATTGGGTGTTAAAATACTCAACACATTGTCCTTTCTCAATGATTCTCCTGATAGATTACCGATAAGCGCCCACGATCGGCATTGCTTGACCAAAAACACAAGTTTCTCCGATACGCTATCACGAATCCCCGAATCGCACCAACTAGGCAATTTAACGAAATGCCCGTTCGAAAATAGCGAAATAATATGCAGGAAAGGATAACACGGCAGCTATGTCGGATGGGAAGCGGTGCTCTTGAACGAGCTGAACAAGCGCTGCATGCCGTGAGAGTGGATTCTTGTGTCGTAAGATACTTATCCTCGCAGTCGCAAATGGAATAGACCCAACACATGCAATGTGTCAGGATATATTGATGATGGCTTGCAATTGCCCATACGCACACCAAGAGCACCTCCCGACGAGTGTGATTCCCTGTAATTCCTTTGAGCCCCTTGAGATGTGTGACGAAGTCGTTCAAATTACCTATTGCATCGTTACATACCAGTTCATGTTCGGCATTGCTGCCGTCAATTGCCATGGTGGTATTGTATAAGACCCATTGAACATGCAGCTGACACCGGATTAACTGACTGTAGTCAGCATCGAGTTCATTTGCAGAAAGAAAGTTTGTGGAAGAGGCGTTGACAGGGGACGGAGTGCTGCAGGACGTCCGGTGATTGGGGCCAAGGGCAGAGGGACTCAATTTGTCACGTCCTGTGTGCGGTGCCGCCAAACATTGGGGAGACTTGGGGAAGATTGACCCCTTCGCGAGATAATATTGGCATCCTGGTGCAGTCAGAGACTCTCCTTCTGTCTCTATGTGCCGAAGTGAAGGGTCAGAACTCGGAAGCCAGATCCCGCTACTTGGGTCATAAAGTGGCCATGATCAAGGATTCTTCCGGACCAGTCCAGAGATCCTGCTTCTCGAAAATGGTCTCACGAATGTCAAACGTGGGATAGGATTCGATCGTTCTCCAGCTGGCGGCCCGTACGTAGTCCGTCCCTTGGTCTTCCGTGGACACCGTAGTGAAGGACTGAGAATATATGTATGGATGTTTGGGTGCAAGACTCGCATCAGAGTGTTCGAGGGTGGGAAGACGGGATATGCTGGACATGTCAGCGCGTCAGCATTTAGATTGAGCAGGGGCAAAATCTTAAACAGTGGAGTCACTGGGGAAACCCTCGTCGATATCAGCAGGTACCCGTGGACCAGTAGGCTTCTGGAGCTGAGTAAATGCGGACAAAGATGTCACCAGTATTATTGAAAAAATTCTGTCAGAGTACAAAAAGGGGCTTTCAACACTTTGAAATGGCACTATTTTTATTTTAGCACTCACATAATGTCGTTCGCTCTTTCACCAGTTATTTACATTTGGCTGGAGGACGGGCGCCTATTAATGGAGGGTCACACCCTCCTCAATGAGCAGTCGTTTTCTGCTTCTGACCAGCGTCCTACCGAGTAATTCTGTGAGCGATAAGCGGCAAAACTTTTACGAAGTGATATTGTCTGTTAGGAAGACAAAGTGTAGATTAAATGATGTGCTCATTTCATGGCACAGGAGAAATTGCCCAGAACATGAAATAACACACGAGGCGCATCGGGGGAAAAAAAAAAAAAAGGTGCATGTTTTGCCCCCATGAAAAAGAGCCGTGTCCTGGAACCATGGATCCGGTGGTATTAGTGGAACATCCCCCTTCATTATTAGATACACGTTGCTCATAGTCCTTCCGTTTACCTCGAGGTGGCAAGGTGCCTCACCGCCTTCAGGCGCCATTTTATCCAGTGTTACTATACGCTTATTTCCATCGAAGCAACTTCCCAGAAAGGGACAAGGGAGAAAATCTCCAGGCTAAGCCTCTAATTTTGAAATGGGCCAAATCAACCTTGGCATCGGGGCAGTGGCAGTCGAAACACGGATAGTGGATAACAATAATTGATATCGTTGAGGCCGGTTTTGAGGCCCTAAATAAAACATAGGATCCCTCCGGTATCTCGAGGCAGTGGAATCCTCGGACTTCGGGCAGGCCAAGTAGAAATCGGTGCGAAACGAGGCAAGAGCTGGAGGGTTGACACGATCAAGATGGATAAGATATCATGTTACGGCAGAGGCGATCCATGGTTAATTAACAATTAATCTACTAATACGAGGGCGTGTACTCCGAGTCACAGGTTTCTATGTTCAAAAGCCTCATTAAGAATTGAAGATTCCTCATGTCGACTGGATAAACCCCTGGGAGTCAGTCACATATCCATGGCACTAGAATGGGAATAAGAATTAACTTTCCCTCCTTTATAACATTTGTAACACCGTGCTGTATGTATTTGATCCAGATTTCCGAGTCTGGCAAGCCCATACTCCGTTCCTCGAGAACCGAGGCCCAGGCTGACAGACAGCTATAGTATATAAGCCTGTCGCCCTTCTTACAATCGAAACTTCGATATAGGGGCTGGTATCGAGGACCAAAAGACTTTCATAATCGCTATCTGGGCTATGTGGATAAGCAATGAGTCAAGTTTTTGAGCCACGCTTTGGATGTTCCGGGCGGAGCGGACTTTCAATATGGGCGCTTATCATTTTCAGGGACTTCGGGAGCAACACTCGCTAAGCAGACGGGAGCAATAACACATTTGAAATTTGTCTATAAGTACTACCGTGACTGTGAATGTGTTGTTTCCTACTTTTGAAGATCTAATGCCGACTGTTTAAATACAGCAAACGCGTAAGGAGCGGACAACATCACGATCGCCCTGTCTTGTCTATGGTAATGCTCAACATGATCGGCAAGAACATCGCGCCGGGGAAATGGATTTTGAAGTCTCCAAGTGTCCCCACAATCTCGAATGGGACATATCCAGCCTACTGTGTGTGATAGGATGTGGCGGAGATAGCTCGACTCCTTCATAGATGATGTAGAACATCCTGGCCAGGTGCACAATCGGGTTCCGTGGCGAGCGTGGTTTCCAATGACGTTGTGAAAATCTTTGAGATGGTTTACAAAATCCAACACTGTCGTGAATTCCATGTTGCACGTCATTCCGTTTGACGTTGGTGAAAGCGAACTGATTGCTTCACGTCGATCCTGCTGTGAGTTATGCCTGCTTAGTCTGCAGCAAAGAGTTCCACTATAAACCGCGCTTATCTCTTCTTGAAGTAGCACCTCCTTATTGTTGAAACTATGTTGAGAGAAGCCTCCGTTGTTTTCGATTCCGGGTCGGTCGGAAGATGTCCACCTCGTCTGCTGGATGCTTCGTTCGATCGTCTCTGAATCTTGCCCAAAATATTGGAATTCTTGAAGTCCACAATTTCCAGCCAGCTGGATAGACATCTCGTTGTCATGCAGCCAGGAAGGATGGGCTGTACGATTCGCGACGACGGGGTGTGTCGCAAGAGTGCTAGACATACTGCCCATGGATGAGAACGTGGGAGAACTTGCGAAGTCTCCGTTTGAAGGGCTTTCAGGCATGGTAGTTGGCAAAGAGGGATTTGAGTTGAGAGTGTCAGTTGAGTAGTCCAGATAGTACTGGCGGTCAAAATCGAAGGCCTGGCTATTTGTTGTCTGTTCGCCAAAGGTCAGAGAGTGGGTCCAGTATAGGTCTGATGGCAGAGTGTATTGATTCGGAGGGCTGGTGGCATTGCACAATGTTAGTCTGTAGTTCCAAGAGAAAGTTGCGAAACGAGCCTTACACGAATGTTGAAGGAGGGTAGTGTTCCTCATCTTGACTTCCGAATGCGCTCTGCGAGAATGGCGAATCCCTAGATAAGACATGTGGTCAATTTCAAGCCTTCTCTTCAACACTCAGAATTTTCTTACATTAGAACCTGAAAGAAAGTCTGCGACAAGCCTAACATGCGTGAAGGCTTAAATAGGGACTTCGCCATACCTGTGAAAATGCAGACTCAGCCTTCCAACCCTATACCGGCTAACCATTAGCTCGTTCACCCGAGAGCGCGTCTCAGATTTCGGTGATGTCCCTGTACCGGTACCACGCTGTACTTTAAGGTATTTGATGCTTGGGTTTCAGGAGGTATATCCGATCAGTCTCGGGGTTCCACTAATGGCTCAGCAGGAAGTTTGAATTTGAGAGCGTATAGCCAGATTTCGCACTGGATACCCCCTCTTCGATATGGACAATCTCGTTCTGAAGTTCTGAACCGTACTCGGTGCTTGAGCTAGAAGTACGAACAGTTGTCCTTCCGCGTTTTGGTGTTTCGTGGGTCACATAAACTTCCAGGAACTTTACGACGAACTAGTGTGAAATCCTCCCAGCGACTAAAGGCAGGTCCTTCGCGTCCTTGCACCTTGAGGGCGAGACCGCTCCAGCATCGCAAATGGGGCTCCAAATTGAGGACGCAGAGATGACATAGAGCTTGATGGGCCAGGTGCGCCCAACGGCCGTAGGTAAAGTCCTGACAGGAAGCATGGCACTTCAACTGTCCGAAAGGTTGACTCTACCGTAACTTTACGCATCGCGGGGCGAGATTCCAAATGAACCGTCGTCGTCCGACATAGAATTTGTGCGGATGTCCCAACGCGGTTCGGGAATGGAACGGCATCGAAGCTGGTGGTGCCGTTCAACTATTATTTTTGATGGCTTGTCACATATACCGATCGGGATTGTACAAAGGAGCTTTTTGAGCATGCTAGAATCGCTCTCGTAAGATTATGCATGTCTATTGCGCCGGAATTGTGTCGCTGTGAGACCTAGACTTCCTGTTCCTGTGACCTTGGAAACATCTTTTGGAGGGGACTTGTAGTAGAGGTTAATTTGAAACCGAAGGAGAAAGAAAAGGCAGGGCAGGCATGAATTATGTGAAATGGTCCATAAAACTCGCCTATAAAGTAGATCACTCCATGGATGGAGAGCATGTATATTTCGTGCGGTCGGCCTTGTCTGTTATTGCGAAGACGAAGGGAGGGTAGGCATCTTGGTCTATGTGTCAACGGGTAAATATCGGTGGTTCTTTTGCTGCGAAACGATACCTGTGGGATATGGTATCCTCTGAGTCGGAGTTTAGAGTTACTGATGAGAGTTATTCAATGTCTTGAGAATATTCACATTTCGGCTTGCGGAGAGCAGACGGGAGTCAGCTTTCAGGGGCCATTTGAACACGAAATGCGAACTTACACCTCTCACGGATCTGTGCTAGAGCACGCCCGCTTCTTTATGAAAAAGGCTGTTGAGCTATCCTAGACCATAGCGTAAGGGAAACCATCACGACTGGAGATATACGGTCGAAGGAAGTTCCGCCGATTTCAGAACGATAGGCCCCTCCCACTTTCCTGTGTTTATGTTCAGTTTGGTCCCATCAGTGATCCTCAGAGCGACGACAAGTCCCGCCAGCAACCTTTAGGCTCTCGTTTGCCTCGGGTTGCTGTCGGCGGACTCTTGTTGCGCTCTCAGAACCATCGATAGGACCAAATATTGTCTAAATAGCAGGAAGTTCGAGGGGCCTATCGTTCTGAAATCGGCTGACCACCATCAAACTTGTAGCGCCATATACAAGAACCTCGACGCTTCTCTGAAAGCGAAAATGAAACTGTATACCTACACGTTTCGTCAAGGAACATCCGAGGAACGTAAGCTTGGCTTCTCGATATAGCATGAAATGGCCGAAGGCGCCGAGAACGAAGGAAACGATGTTGGCCCTGAGTAAGCAGTGGTGTCGCCTCTGGATAGGCTCTCCAGAATTGCATCATACATTGAGAAACGAAATTAGGGTGAGGGTTCTAGGAGGCCGCGTTATCTACGATGTCACAGAACCTGGAAGGACGGTAGAATCTTTGGGCCGCAGAAGAAGTTTAAAACCATGGACTTTGAGGTTATAAATTTATCATCCGAAGAACTGGTGAAGTCATTCGATGTAGACGGCTTGTCGTTGATCGCTGCGCGCCGGCGCCAAATTGCGACCCGACTAGGGTACGGCGTCACACGATGTCCGATAGATCCGTGTTTGAGTGGCGCACCGAAGTGTAGCCACCTTTGTCAAAGTAGCATTCCGTCAAAGTAGCATTCCGCATGCGGTCTAGACTCATGTAATAGCCAGAGAGCCGGAAAGCTGTGTCCGCTACTATTTCTTCCTGTGGGCATCCGCAGCTCTTCGGCGGAGAGTTCAACATAAGACAGCAAAAAAATTTCAGAGACCCAGCATATGAACTCGGGGATTGCTGTACAAAGTGACTTCAACTGGAGATACTTAGATAAATGATCGAACGTGTTGGCAGACCAGGGGCCGTGAACTCGCGAAGAATTCTCAATCGGGATCTAGTGGTGCCTAGTAAGCACCTGTCGGCGTCATGGAGGGAGAAACTTGGACCATCACGTCTCTCACCCTCCGACAAGACTCTGTTCGATCTTTCGCGCATCTTGGAACTGCTGCAACCGATTCCCCTGGTCTGAATGAAGGTGGATGGAAGATGGCGGGAAGAAGGTGGGATGGATATCAGTTTCTCACATGTCGTTTGTTCTCCTTTTTAGGCTACCTACCAACTCCCACTGGCTAGCACCTTTCTTCAGGCATCAGAGGCTTGGAAAGTTGACGAGGGAAAGAGGAAAAAATATCGCTCTTCTATCAGAAAAGTGGGATCTACTGATCCATGCCATTGTGCCCAAATTGTGCCAGCACATAGCATCGCCTAACCAACATGTTGTAAATGAAAGGGGTATAGAAATAACTACCATGCTTATCTACGCATCAGAAAAAAGTCTTCCAAGGTCAACCGCCGTCTTAAAGTCGGCGTAGGAGTACTGAGAGGAAGAAGGGCCCGCCAAGCTCAACCCCGGGTGGCACCTCTCGAAGTGGACAAGAAGAGCCTCATATCTCGGCGCCGTCTTCAGACACGCCCGAACGGGACACACCCAGCAGATGCAGTGCGTCAGGACATGACGGAGGTAACTCGCCTCTTTGAGCTGCTTGCCGCATCCCGGCCATGCACAGGAACAGGCACCTGCACGAGCGTGGTTGCCCGTAATGTCGTGGACATGCTTGAGGTGACGTAACAGCTCGCCGACCGTGGTCAATTCGGCGTTGCACAGAGCCTCCGCAGGGACGCGCTCCGCAGTGCGGCTCGGGAGGCCTTTCAGGTTCAGCAAGAGGTGGAGTTTGCACTGCATGGACCCACTGTGCCGGTGTTGTATTTCGGCCACGGAGAGAAGGGCAGATACTTGTGGTCGAGGAGCAGGGTCCATGGCTGGCTCGATCCTGTCCGCTCGCTGGAACGACTGACGACTACCAGGAGCATGTTGGCCATTTTGCTGCCAATTGTGTGTCGGTACTTCAGTGTAAAATTGGGAGGGGACGATGGGGTAATAATCGGACGACAGGTTGTAACCAGGTTGTTGAGAAGCTATCCGTGCTGGTGGCTGGAAAGAAAAAGAACGTAAGCATGAGGAGAAAACACAAAATAAACATCTATCTCGCACCTCTAGTCGCGAAAATTCTGGGCAGGAGACTAGAGCTGAGCTTGAGGGATGGGAACAGTTTGCTCTCGGGTCGAACCCACTTCCACGAAAATTGTGCGTGGATAATGGATTCATGTTCGATTCATGACCTTGGATGCGGCCATCAGTCTGTGTTGCATACTCCTCATGCTGCATGACGGGATTTGGGAGGTATTGCATCATAGATTGTCCAGAGACGTAGTGAGTGCCCCAGCTTGGTGCGAAGGTGCTGCTTTGGGGGCGTGTTAGTCGCATTTTCGTTTCGAAGAATTAGTTCTTACCTTCCATGATTCGAGACATGGTCGGTGGGCAAGCTATACGGACCGACTTCGTCATCGGCTCGGCTGGCGCTGTTCCAACTTGCCCAGGCTGATCCAACAGGGGTATTATAGTCGTTCTGAGAGCCCCTGGACATAACGAAGTCAGCTTTGTCGGGAAGCCTCCAAGAGAGAAAAATGGTTCACATTTATCCCGTTCGAAGGGGTGGAAGTATGCTTGCAATGGCTGAGGAGAGAGCCTTTATAGTCACTAGCGTGAGGTATTGTATGAGTCCAACCGGTCGGGGAGCTTAGATCTTCGAATTCGGTAACCAAACAGCTATACGCGGGCCAAATACGACTCGTAGAAGAGCTCTGATGAGTTGAAGAATGGACGCGACGCAGGGACGCAACGGGCATAAGCTCGCAGGCTGGGATTCCACGCCGAACCGGATATACCAGCCGAAAGAGGGCGCGGAAACGCGTTACATGGGCTGTGGTTTTGAGTTGGAGGGGTTACGTCTCCAGAAATCGGGAACTATTTCCGAAATCAACGAATATTCTCAAATGAATGAATTTTCATGATCTTGCGAAGAAAAGATGACGTTTTTCTTCGAGTCCTCTTTCTCGATTGCACTGGATGGGAAGGGTTCATGGATGGAATGCAATGGAGTAATTTATGCTTACTTTAGCCCAGAGAAGCCGCTCCATCCTTCGAATTGGATTCTTTCCAAGATCCCCCCGCCGCAGACAACGGAGGAGACGGTCCTAATACTCAAGCATCCCAGTTGATACTCAGATTGCGGCTTCGAGAAATCTCGCCTGGTCCTCTCATAGCAATGACATGAGACCGCGACGAAGGTTGTTGCACTCGACTATCTATTAACACGGTCACATCAGACAGCCGAAGGGAGCTTCAAAGGTTAATAAACTTACACGAGCGAGCCCCCAGAGATGTTCAAAAATCATCATAATCATAGACGGGACTGTGCTGACGAAACTGGGCGACGCGAGAACTGAAGGCTGTAGCGACCGTTTGTCGGGTTCATTCAAAACCAACTTGAAGTGGGTAGAAAAACTCGATCTGCATAGGACATATGTCTAGTTATTGTTGAGCAGATATGATCCAGAGAGCAAGGGTGGGATCAAGCAGAAAACGATGACAGCCAGAAAGCCTTATGATAAGGAGAGGGCAGTGAGAGGGTTTATTTTCACATAGTAGTCGGCGAGAATGGCGTTCTTTCATAGGAAGCTATGCGCGTTGCAGCACTTTGAGCTTGGGGTGCTAGTGAATGTTATCGAAGGTGTGCACGAACAGTGTTGATGTGCAGTGGCATCAGTCGGGGTCTTAATAATGTGATTGCCGCACGGCAAACACAGCCCCAGCCTTCAGGAACCATTTAGGCGCCCGCAGATCTCTTTGCATCAATGTACAGCACCGGGGGATCATCTCCCCGAAGATGTAGATCCCAGATATGGAGAATTCCCTCATTTATACGCCCTCCAAGATAGCGCTCCAGAATCTAGCTAATCTTCTTGGCGAAGAAAGCCGAAGCCATCCGGTGTCTTGCCACCACCGGATTTTCGGACGAAGCGGTCCTTACTTGGAGCACTGCCAATATCCGGACGAGTTTATTTCAGATATTCAAATGCTTGTAAGCCAACTATCTGTGCCCGCCGATGCGCGATGTTCGGAGTGACAAAGCGCAACAAATTGGCCTGCGCTAAGTCGTGATAGGACCATTAAACATTAATAAAAAAGAGCTAAACCGGGAAACGGAAGCGGGCGCAATAGATACAGCACGTCAAATAAATAATGCGTAACAGGGAATGGATTCATGGCGATAGCCCGGCTGTGTATGCAATGCGACTCATCTCAAGGGACTGCCTGAAAATTGCTCACGCATACTGAATATGCGCTGTTCTCAACAGCGCCTCAGAATTTGCCGCTGAGGATTTCCTTCCGCCTGGCAGTCACATACTTATGGGGCAAACACAGCAAAGGCAATGAACGAGGCCTCGTTAACTACGAGGAAGTACGTATTCCTCGAGGAGTCCCCAGCAAGGATCCTACGCATTTGAAGCGCATCCTAGATTAGGCGAGTGAGGCACGAGGAGATTAGGTGGCAACCATCCCTGCGGACAAGAAACATCGTTTCGATGAAACGGGGTTTGCGTGTGGGTGTTCGATGGTTTGCTCAGCAAATCTTCTACCTACCAAAGTTCCTGAAGTTGAGAAAAAAATTGGGACCTACCTTGCCCGAAGGTTCTTCCTGTGGGTATTGTCAAGGCTAGATCTATGAGGATTTAAAAGCTCTCTTGTTGCTTTAAGAGTCCAGCCAATTGGAAGTGACACCTGCCTCACGGTCTGTCATTGACGTTTGTTTTAAAAAACAGGATTACTCACAGTGATTAGATGCGATCTGACGGCTCATCCATGTAAATTTCGACGCGAGGCTCGAGCACTATGTCTAACTCCCACCCATCACACGAATGAAGCGCGGGTGCTAGGACCGGCCTATACAGGCGCCAAGCTGGCGCCAAGACCTGTGAAATGTTGGATGGGCAACAGGTAATGAAGATGTCAACAGTGGCATGCCATCTCGTGGCCGAAACCCAATCCTGATGAGTTCAGTGACCCAGAGACGCCACTTTGAAGAGACAGGTACCCTCGACACTGGAAAAGTTGTTGAGCGAAGGTTTGACTTAGATGATGGCACGTGTTGATAGCTATTGATTGGGCCAAGAAAGTTGGCGACCCTGCTTTTGTTTTGACCTGCACTCAACTGAAGTACTTATAAGAAAGGCAAGCAGAATGAAGCCAAGTCGACCTCTGTCCCTTTTGCCATCACCACCATGGGCGAATTCAGCGATCAAGTTCTGTCGCTCTTCGCTCGAGCTGCGTCTGAGCAGGTATGTCGTTGATTTGTTTCCTGAAAACTTCAAAGAGTGCTCATATTCTCTCCAGGGAGGTGTGATTTCAGGAGACAATCCAACTTACTACAACAAGGACAACCCGATTCGTTTATGGATCATCCAAGTCTGTGCGTACCGTCCGCAAGATTGCGTATGCGTAGCTCTAACCTTCACCGTGTCGCAGTCATCATCATCACCGTCACTCATATCCTCTCACTGGGTCTCTCGCGCCTCCGCCAGCCTCGGGTCATAGCAGAAGTCATCGGTGGTATCCTTCTAGGTCCCACCGTCGTGGGCCGCATCCCACACTTCAGGGAGACAATCTTCCCCTTGGAGAGCATCCCCATCCTCACCATAACCAGTAACATCGGTCTCGTCCTCTTCCTCTTCCTTGTCGCCCTCGAAATCGACACCGGCCTGCTGAAGCGGAACATGTTCGCCTCCGCAAGCGTTTCTGCGGTGGGCCTCATCTTCCCCTTAGGTCTTGGCGCCGCTCTGGGTGTCGGGGTCTATAGGGAATTTATCGACGACACAGTCAACTTTGGCCACTTTCTCCTCTTTGTCGCCGTCGCCATCGGTATCACCGCCTTCCCCGTGCTCTGCCGGATTCTGACCGAGCTCAAGCTCCTCGACACCGAGGTCGGCCTTGTCGTGCTCTCGGCGGGCATTGGGAATGATGTCATCGGATGGGTTTTATTGGCCCTGACAGTCGCCCTTGTCAATGCCTCTTCTGGACTCACGGCACTTTGGGTCCTTCTGGCGAGCGCTGGTTACACCATAGCTCTCCTCTATCCTGGGCGCTGGGCATATCGCTGGCTGGCTCGACGTACAGGCAGTTTAGAGCAGGGCAGCCCAACACTGTTCTTGATGACGGTCACTATCCTTGTCGTGTTGGCCTCGGCCTTCTTCACTGACATTATCGGAGTTCACGCCATTTTTGGTGGGTTCCCCTTTTTTGTTTTCTGGTTATCTCTTCTGACTCGTCCTTTTCCTACAGGCGGATTTCTGGCTGGGTTGATCATTCCCCATGATAATGGCCTCGCCATCTCAGTCGTGGAGAAATTGGAAGACCTCATCTCCATCCTGTTTTTGCCAATCGTGAGTTGTCTGTCGTGATGACCTCAGAAAACATCTAACCCCCTTCTGTCAGTACTTCATGCTCTCTGGCCTAAAAACCAACTTGGGCTTGCTCAACACTGGTACTGACTGGGGTTACATTGTCCTCATCTGCGCTGTCGCCTTTTCTTCGAAATTCTTTGCCTGCGGAGCAGCGGCGTTCTTCAGTGGCTTTAACTGGAGAGAAGCTGGCGCCATTGGCTCTCTCATGTCCTGCAAGGGGTACGTTTCTCTTCTCCTTTACGACTACGTTCCACTAATTTTCTTTCGCTGGACTCGTCGAGCTCATCGTGCTCGACATTGGTCTGCAAACCAAGATCCTCAACGAGCGCGCATTCTCGATGTTTGTAGTCCACGCCCTTGTCCTCACGTTCATGACGACGCCCCTCGTCATCGCGTTCTATCCTCCCAATTACCGTATCCATCACAGAGGAGGAGACGAAAAGCCTGCTGGAGACGAAGCCGCTTTGCCACCAAGGCCACCCTCGAATGGCGACCACAAGACCAAGTTTTCGCTCGTCTTGGACAAGATCGAAGCTCTTCCCGCTGCTATGACCTTGTTGCAGCTCTTGCACAGTCCTTCAGTGGTCCTGCCTTTTTCGCACCTCTCCAGCGTCAATGGCAAGGCTTTGGAAGCTGGCTTAGACGATGAGGACCATACAGAGGCGCCTCTTCGATCTGCAATTACTATTGAAGCCCTCCGCCTCATGGAGCTCACTGCCAGGACGTCCGCTGTCCTCAGATCCCAGGAAGCCGAGTCCCTCATTTACAACGACCCTGTCGTTTCGGTGTACAAGACCTTCGGCCATCTTAACCAACTCAACGTATCCGCGAGCCTCTCCGTCGTCAACTTCGAGGAGTTCCCCGAGGCCGTCGCCAAGCACGTGAAGGACACCGGATCTGAGATGGTCATCATTCCTTGGCCGAGAGGCGTCACCTCCGTGCTCGAGGAGGCTGTTCAGGGACAGCAGGTCGGGACACGCAACCCCTTCGACGGCATCTTCCATAAGACGACGACGGAGGACCAGACGAGCTCCGTCGTATACTCCGAGTTCATCCGTAGCGTGTTTTCGCATTCGCCCAGCGACACTGCGCTATTTGTGGACCGTGGGCTGACGACGGCCCCAACGGGCAACGCAAAGCAGCACCTCTTCCTGCCATTCTTTGGCGGCCCGGATGACCGCCTGGCACTGACGTTCTTGATGCAGCTGTGCGAGAATTATGCTGTTAGCGCCACTGTTGTCAGGATGGCGACGAAGGACGATGACAATGCCTCGAAGATGACCGATGATGCCAAATTGTCCACTGCCCTTTCGCCCACGTTCCATAACGTGAGCTGTCTTTATTTCCGTTGAACCTGCCCGTTCGTATACTGATCGGTAATCTCCATCATAGACAATCGCTGCTGCTGACACCTTCTATGGTCAACACTACACTCAAACCCGTCTCGAGTCCACGGCCGACAACCTCCTCTGGAGCAAGTACACCACCCCAAGCACCGTGCACCCGTCGAATGTCGCCTCCGCTCTCACGCGCATCTCCTTCGTCCACGAATCCGCCACCAAGCCCCTCCACCTCGTCGCCGAGCTCGCGAAACAGGAGGCAGCTATCAGCCTCGCACTTTCTGGAAAGACCCTCATCGTCCTCGCTGGCAGATCGCGCCGTATGGCCGTCGAGAACCTCGGTGGCGAGCTCAAGACCCTCATCGCGCAGACAGGGTCGTCGATCAGCTCCTCGGTGCCAAAGACCCTCGGTAACATCGGCGCAGGCCTTGTCGCCGCTGGTGTCAACGCGAGCTTGCTCATCCTCCAGGCCGAATCTTGCACTGCTGCGTCGTGAGTTCGATTTCGTTTTGCTGGCGTGATCCGGCAGGGCTTTTATTTTTATAATATTTATGATTTATATGGGATGATGATCTCCTGTACGACAACCTGATTCGATGTCTTCCATCATTACGGCCCTTATTTCGTTCGACTCTAGTATAAGTAGCTATTAGCCATAACGTCACCAAGTACCAATGGTGACGCGCCTCCTGCTACTATGTGCACAAGTTCGTCCAATTGCTACATCTGCTCAAAGATCGTCTTCGTATTATACCGCTTCAATGGGCCATAATCCTCGTGGTCGAGAGCCTCCGCCCAGTCCCTTACACGGTTATCCAGCTTCCAGCTTTACAATGCCTTGTGGTGTCCTTTCTCATTGAGGACGCTGCAGGCCCTGAAGAAAATTCAGGTAGGGGTATCTGCTACGCCGGGTTATCCACTTTCCACGAGACCTTCTCCAGGAGATGGATATAGGACGGTAAGGTGGCACTACCCGTTGTCGAGTGCGGTCGCCTTAGCGCATTCGGAATACATGTAAGCGAATAGTTGAGAAGTGCAAGAAATGGGACATAAATGTACATTTGCTAATTACAAGATTAAAACTGAGAAAAGATTGAAAACGGTCAAATAAAATGTCCAGTATCCAAAGTTTCGAATTCAATAGACAAAGCTCTTCTCGCCTCGACGTCTTCTTATACATTCCAGATCTGATTGGTATTGAAATCCGTGCATTGCCAAGTCTGAAGTTGGTTGCCATTGGTGAAGAGACCGTTAGTCAAGTCAGTGCATTGGCCTGCATCGATGTTGTTATCAGTCTCGATTTATTAAAGAGGGTATGCGATCCACCTTGCCCTTCCAGAGCAATACGATTATCGTCAGTGTAGTGCCATTGTTGCGCCGGTAATTTATCGTAGCATTGCCAAATCTTCAACCCGATCCCATTTGCTGGACCTTCGAAAGCGCAGCACAATACTTGATTAATAGGAAAATCCTAGCAAAAAGCACGGAAGACTCACTCGATCCCGCGTCGAGGCAGAAATTGGTTCCAGCAAGTTGGACCTTCGTACTTCCACGAACAAGGAACCAGCGCTGAGCCGGGGTGTCATTGCAATCGTATCTGAGGCACGATCATGAGTGAAAACTCCGGGATAAGAAAGTGGTTTGCCTGACACTTGAACAGCAGTACCGCCCGCGAATTGGGCACCACGAACGTCCATGCACTTCACGAAGTTGCCATTGGGGTGGATGGCAATGCCGGGGTTCGGGGGAAGTTGCCCATCGGGACAAAATCTGTGCGGCTGATGAGTATAATGCTGCGAAGTAAACGCCGTACAGCGCACGTAATGTCGAAAGCGAGGTTGGGATAAGGGCAATTATAAGAGTACGGCGGGGTCGTTGAGTTCGGTGGGGGAGGGAACCCTTGAGGAACCCCAGTAAACGCCTCTGGGCAGTTGGCATCATTGCATGTGATGTCGGAGCAGAAACCTTGCGACTGAGTGATTCTCGATGAGCGTAAGATCACAACAGCAGAGGATGTAGTCACCGCTCTGGGCGCAATCGTCAATCCAGTGTTTATCGTTCCGGCTTCCTTGATCATCCAATACGAATTCTGACGGAAGAGTGAGTGAAAAGCGCATTGAAGGGCGTTCTCGAGAGCCCACCTCCCAGAAAGCAGCACGAGTCGTCCCCACGCCATTGAACCTTCCGCCATTGAGATCGGTATACCAAAACCCTGCACCGACGTTCTCAATCTTGGTCACGTCGCCACCAGCAGGGATAACCTGGTCGAGGACTCCTCCAATGAAAAGGTTGATGGCGCGGGGACATCTGTTGTGGACATAGTACGGACGGGTGACTCCCTGGCGAGGTTCGAGGGGAGAACCCCTCGTGATCAATGGGAGGATAGAGAAAAGGATAGCTAGCAGCATTGCTTGACGAAACAGGGCTGGAATCGAACAGCGCTATTGAATTGAGGGTCTTTTATACCTCCTCTCCCTCGGTATGAACGAAGCCGTGGCCACCAGAAACGTTTGTTGTTCCGTTCTTCCATAGACCAGGCTACGAACTCGAGGTTTGAAGATTTGATAGTCCATCGCCGTTAGAAGCGGAGAGACGGTTCTTCGCGGTCAGCCCTGACCAGTTCATTTGAAGAGGAAAAGGTATTTACAAGTGCAGGACAAAATCAATGTGACTTCGCAATCGTACTGGGAGGGCCAAGAATCTGGTGGCCATTGAACCGTAATGCCCGTCGACCCATGTCCCTTCCGGTGATCTCACAGATCCGAGTGGGAATCGAGAAAGTAGGTTCCGAAGTTTGCTGCAATTTTTGAAAATCAGGAGGCTGTTTGCAACAGGTGTGCAAGAACCGTTGAACGCCGGGGACAAGGTGGATAAGATTGGTAGGGATCCGGGCTCGACTACGACGCCTAGTGACCCCAAACCTCCCATGTAGGAATCTGGAAGCAGCGGTGTGAGGTCCAGTCCACCATATGGTCGTATGAACGCTAGTGAGGATTCAGACCTCAGGAGACATAGTCTTCGAGTAAAGTCACAAGGAGCTGAGCGGGTGAGCAGGGTGGGAAAAGGAAGAGAGAAGTTGAACCGCCGGGCCGTCCCGTCCCGGAGCTCAGGAACTATGCACATCCAACTCCTCATTGGCTCCTCGCGTTGTATCGCCGGTGTTACTTTGTGGGATATCAGCACCACCTCGAGCTACTTGAAAGCTACTTCTACATAATTACCTAACAGGAAAGAATGTACTTCACAGTGACCTCAGAGAGATTGCCCCGATTGGCATTCCCTATTCCTCCACTCGACTCAGGGTTAAAGAGATGCTCTATACCACGATTTTTAAAACCCTTCCTAGTGGCGATGACCCGCTGCAACAGTCAGGGCGCCATGCCGCACCGTTTCCCGAAGATGTCCATGTTCTAGGCCCTAGGGTTCCTAGACTTTACATCAGCACGTTTTATAATTAGACGCCCGTGGACACTTTGTTGCCGAGCTTGAGTATCGCTAACATGCCGAAGAGCGAGGCACAAACCATCAGAAGTTGTCGAACTTCCCATTGGCTTCCGCTGATACGCGAATGCATGGAGCGTCAAAAGGTAAACATTGGCGTACTAAAGCATGTGTCAGTTTTTTTAAATATAGAGCTATATGTATTATTTAATGGGAAACAAGTCGGAAACAAGAGAGGATGATTCTCGGTAACGTCTATCGAATAAATGATATAAACAATGTGCAATAGACAATAGAGTCATGACTCGACAGCCCAGCCGTGGATCCACGCGTTCTTCTCGTTCCGACTACTTGAATATAGCGTACGCATACTGGTTATGAACCTCAAAATTCGCCACCCAGTATTTTTCCCGCGGATGGTATTGCTCGAGATGGGAAGTAAGACCTTCATGCCTTGGGAAGACCTTCACGCTTCGTGCAGATTCTGGGCAGTCACGTATAGGGCATACCCAGCAAACGCAATGAGTGAGGACGTGCCGGAAGTAGCTTGATTCCCGTAGGCCCTTCCCGCATTGCTGCCATGCACAGCAGCAGTCGCCTTTCCGCGCGTGGTTGGGCGTAATGTCGTGGGTCTCCCTGAGGTGGGACACAAGGCCATCCACATTCCCGAGCTCATCACCGCACAGCCGTCCGTGCCGGCAGAAAGGCAGGGCCCTATTTCGAACAACCGTCCCATTGGCGTCTTCTATCGAGTGAAGACGGCACCGTATAGATCCCCCATATGTTGCGAAGATCTCCTGCGGTGAAAGGATGTGCGGCTGTACCCGGAGAACGGAAAGATCGCGTGGGTGTGCTGTGCCTTCGTTCGGACGAATCAACCGACGAGTAGAAGAGCCTGGTGGTGGCGGTGATTCCAGTCGTATAGCCGAAAGTGCCTGCTCGAGGGACGCCTGGGGAGTGGTGAGGTAGCGTGGGTGTGAGAAAGGATAGGCTGAGTGTTGATATGGCCTGACGATGCCTCCCTGTATATCCGCCTGGGGACGCAGGACGTACTGCAAGGAAAAGGCAGAGCGTTGGCAAGTTTCTCACCAGAAGAGCGAACATTTTCACCTACCTGTAGTGGCCTGTGCTCTGGGGCGGTTCCCGCAGCGGTGCTAGGAGGCGGTTCGTAATAGAGGATTCGATCACCGTGAATGGCGTTCCCGTTCATGACATTATTCGTGGGATAGGAAATGTCGTTGAGGGCTGCAAGGGCTGCACTGCCGCGACTTTCGGCATTCCACTGCTCGTTCGCGAAGGCCGTGTGTCCTGGGCCTGGTCGAATACCGTATGGGCTAGGGTAGGACAAGACGTTGGAGCTGGCGGTGCCGTTGACGTCTCGGGTTGACGTGTCAGAAGAGCTGCGATAGATGCTCTCTGGTCAGCCAGGAAAGGGAGCGGCGGCGGCGGGAAAACGGTCTTACTCTGGGTACAGGGGTGTAGGACCAGGCGGTTGCTGAAGATCATCTTTCCACAATTCTTCGGGGGCATTTCTTATTATTGCCCAAAATCTATTGTGATACTGCGAGTCAGCGGACAAGACTGAGCAGTGAAGGGAAGCGACGGACTCATCATCCTCCGGGTTCAGAGACATGGCCTGTGTCGAGGGCTTATTCCTGCCGCCTCAAAGGAAAGGCTGGCTTAAATGCATAGCTGGCGCATGAGAACCATGAGGGCTCCGTGCTCTTAACGAGTCCCCGGCAAGGATCCGTATGAACCCAGCCAAATGTAATGTCTGAATCGGGGGAGTAGGACACTCCGAGATTACGTGCCAACCACCCCTACGGGCAAAATAGTTCGTTTCGATGAAACGTGGTTACTGTATGGGTGGCGGATAGTTTCGCCCTCGTTTTTCAGCAAGAAAATTCCACCTCGAAAAGCGTCAGCTGAGAAATTCTCAAAGCAAGAATCAACAGAAGAGGGGTACCTACCTTGCGCAGAGATTCTTGGTCCTGTAGGTACTCCAACATTAGCTTGATCAGCGGTTATGGTAGGAGTTCCGACCGCTTGAAGTCCTCCAGAAGAGGAAAGTAGAAGCAGAAGTCCCGCCTCACCGACACCATGAGCAGGCTGTTATTTACGTTCGACTCGACCAAAACAAAAGGAATTCTACCCAGAGAAACTCTGAGTAATTAATTGCGGTCCAAGGGTGCGTTTCGAAACGAGCAGTCATGAGTGGTTTTCGAATAACATGCGTCGGCCTCATAAGAATGTAGCGAGCTAGGACCGTGGAGATTCGTCAACATGGATATATTGTATGCGTTGCAGGTGCCCAGTAACCTAATTTCAAGACTAGCACACAGGGTGACATCGCTTTGGATTCACGCTGTGTGCCGCGAACCAAATACACCTAGGAAATGCTGAGAGTCGCGGGGGTATATCCTGAGTGTAACAGTCGAAACTCACGTTAATAGGGTTTTTAGAGGATAAAGATGCTTTATTTTCAAGTCAGCAATCGTAGGTAAGTCCCAGGTCAGCGACTCAATGGAACTGCGTGGCACTGGTGGGATGGTAGGCGCGGCCTGAGACGTGGGCCGCCGATCGATGAGATAGGAGCCACATGTTGACGCGACACCGCAGCTCTACCGGGAGAAGAAAATGTAAAAGCGCGTGCAGCAAGTCAGTAACACAGGAGGTGCGTTCGAACATGAAGTCGAACTTGGGAGAACGGATTTGACCGGTTCACCATTCATCGAACAGTCCAGACCACGGGTTGGAACGTGACGTACTCTTACATACCGCCTCGAGGACAGTGCGAAGGAGAAAGTCGACGAAACGAGGCTTAGATCTCGCGGACCGTATAAAGAAGAAACGGAATCGATCATTATGAGGTAGATCATTATGTACCAGACATGCCCGTTCAACGGTGATGAGAGCAGTTGGAAGATAAGGCGCGCACGCTCGCACACGGGCGGTTTTTAATTGGGTTCAACGAAGATGAGAAGAGAAAGGTGCAGACGGCAGCGTGAGTGGACACCGGATAGCTGTCTCGAAATCATTCCTACAACGAAAAGCTGCACAAGCTCAACGAAACAAGCACTTTGAAAAGACGAGACAAGGCAAAAAAGTGAGATAGAGATTGAGATGCAACAGATCGTTTTTTTCAGATCCAAAAATGAAATACAACAGGTAGGACAACAAGAAAAAGAAAAAACAGGTCGTCAAAAAAGCAAGAGGGTTGGGTGGGTAGTACTGTCGTGAGTCGTGAATGGAGCGGACGTAGCGTCGCGGTCGCGGACGAAGGTGTGAGCGGGGTGGGTTGTAACAGGCGAAGGTTGGAAGACGTGGTGGCGGTGGTGGTGTGAGATGGGGGTCAGGATGGGGGTGCAGATGATCATCAAAACAGCGAAAGAGGTACACAAAAGCGGACGACGGACGACGCATCGGAAGAAGACAGAGAGAAATAGATTATCAGAACCGAACGCCGAAAACAACGGAACTCCCGGAACCAGATCCAGCACACGGCGCACACATAACGGATCAGCACACCTCCCCTCCTACACCGTCGTATAGCTCCATATCCTGGCCTGCCAGTCGCCCGAGCCGGTCGCGAGGACGTTGCCCGCGGGGCTGAGATCGATCGAGATGACGCTGTTCTTGTGTCCTTGGAGCATGCACTGCACGATCGCGTTGTGCGCGTCCCAGAACTGCACCCCTCGGTCCTTGGAGCCGGAGACGACCCACACGCCGTCGTGCGAGACGGCTACAGAGAGGACGTAGTCCTGGAATGGGAGGGTTAGCAAAATGGTAAATGATAGAAGCGGAAGAAGGAAGGAAGGAAGGAAACGTGAAATGAGTGAAAGATGTGAATAGATCAAAAAAGAAAAAGAAACAAAGATGAAATGAAGAGGAAAAGTAGATGAAAAAGAAAAAGGGGAAATTACAAATGAAAGCGAAGGTGGAAGTGAAAAAGGAACAAAGTAAAAAGAAAAAAGGGAAGGAGAAGAAAACACACCTTATGCCCCGTAAAGTTCATCGTGCACTGGCTCGCCTTATCCAAATCCTTCCTGCCCGCACCGCCCGGCCCACTCACGATGCCGCCATTCGCCGCTCCCTCTTTCCGGCCCTTGACACCACCGGAGCCAAGTCCACTCACATCCCAATACTTCAACGTCTTGTCCAAGCTCCCACTAACCAGACCCTTCCCATCAGGAGTAAACGCAACACTGTACACACTATCCCTGTGCCCTCGTAGCCTCTCAACGAGCGAGGCAGTGGCGACGTCCCAGATGCGCACGACGGTGTCGAGGCTGCCGGCGGCAACGAACCGCCCGTCGGGGGAGATGGCGACGGAGGTGACGCCGGCGTCGTTATTCAGCGAGTCGGGATCGTTGATAGTGAGAACCTTGGAGGTCCCGTCCATCATGTCCCAGATCCGGGCTGTCTTGTCGCCGGAGCCTGAGACGATGAGCCTGCCGTCGAGTGAGAAGTCGAGGGAGTAGATCTCTTGTTGGTGTCCGTCGAAGACGTTCCGGATGCGCTTCTTTGCGATGTCCCAGATCTATGCGGGTATTGAGAGGGTATTCTTGGCAGGATAAGGAAAAGGACGCTTACTCGGATTTGCTTGTCTTCTGCGCCTGTGGCGAGGTACTTGCCGTCTGGGCTGAAGCATACGCTCCGGATGTACAGATCGCCGGCCTTGCCAGCAGAATCGTCGACCAACACACTGAAAAAAAGAAAATGCAAATATATGCGTCAGAAAAAAAAAGGTCAAAAAAAGGGCACACGTACCAAGTCTTCGCACCCGACTTCGTATCATAAATCTGCGCCGTCCTATTACACCCCGTCGCCAAATACTTCCCATCCGCCGAGAAGCGCACACAGCAGACCACACTCTCATGCATCAACGTGTGCATCAGGTTGACATCAAGCACACGCTTGACCTTGGGGTTGAAAATGGCGAACCAGTCCGCGCCTTCTTTCTTCAGCTCAGGCGGGATGTTGTGGATGTCGAGATCGTCCGGAAAACTTGGGGGCAGGCCCGCGCCAGGCACGACAGCAGTGGACGGCCCAGCGCCTGCAGTGCCAGGGGGACCACCGCCGCCACCGGGGCCCATAGTGCTGCCAGGCCCGCCGGGCATGAGGCCGAGGGAGTTGCCCTCCATGCTGCCGCCGGGGCCGGCGCCAGGAGGGACGGAGGAAGAGGGATACGGCGGGCCCTGCTGGGATGGCGGGGGCGGGTGGCCGGGTGGGCCGCCGGCACCGGGGATGTTGGGCGGTGGTGGGCCGATGGATGAGGAGGGCGGGGGCAGCTTCGGGGTAGGTCCGGGGCCGAGTGACGGGCTATAGTTGTCCGGCCGATCGTTCTTGATCCTGTCCGCCTTGAGCCGCTTCGGGTCGCGCTGGTCGACGAGGCGCTCTCGTTCCCGGTCCCGTTCGCGCTCGCGCTCGCGGGGGTCCCGCTCCCGGTCGACCACCATCCGGTCGCGGTCGCGTTCTCTGTCACGTTCGCGCTCGCGGTCCCGCACATCCCGCTCGCGTGCGTCCCTCTCACCCAGTCCAACGGGCCCCATCCTGTCGCGCTCCCGTCCATCTCGGTCTCGCAGGTCTCGTTCTCGTTCTCGGTCACGGTCGCGCTCCCGGTCGCGGAAGTAAGGATCTGCTGCGTACATGCCCTGCGGCGCCCCAGCGCCCTGCAGCCCTGGTGGTCCACCAGCACCACCTAGTCCGGGACCCATCCCCATTCCCTGACCAGGACCGACAACTGGTGGTCCCCCTGGGCCCGACGGAATGCCAGCATGGGCAACAGCCGACCCAGGACCGGTGCTGGGTCCACCAAGTGATGCAATGCCTTGATTAACGCTCGCCCTACCCTCGGCGCGTACGCGTGCGATTTCCTCTTCGTAGTGCTGTCGGATCTTCCCATGCTGCGATTCAAGGTCGTATAGTGATTGTCGGATAATGTTCAGTTCGTTAACTTGCGAGGCGACTGCAACGGTTCGAAATTCCGATGAAAGAGGGCACGCCAAGATCGTGGACGAGATGGGGGGGCAGAGATAGGAGAGTGTAGTCAAGGCATAATGAGACGTAAAGAGCAGGCAAAATCGAGTGAAAAGACCCACTTTTGGACTCGTATTCGTCTCTCTGTCCTCTCATGATGTTAAGCTCCTGTGTGAGGAGTTCAAATTCCTGTCGTATGCCATCGAGCGACTCGTCGAGGCGACCGCGAGTGTTGGTGGCGCCGGGTGCGGGTGGGCCTGTTGGTTGTAAAGAGCGGTGCTGTGAAGGATGGGAGGTTGGAGGGTGAGCCATGGTCGACGGGGTTGAGGGTGAAAGAGACGGGAAAAGAAGGGGAAAAGCAGATGTTGGGCGATGTTGATGTTGGTGACAGGGCGGGTGGAGGCGAGGAGAGGGACGTGGGAAAGCAAATGTCAGGCTACGCCCGGCTTCTGAACGCAGAGGGCAAGCGCGGGACGAAGGCTGCGGAGTGGGCGATAAAGAGGAGAGGAGAGGCCCGACACGTGTCCTATGCACGGATGTATATTCCATCCCCACCCCTTTTAGCCTCTCCCAAAATCTCCCATAATCACGCCCACCTCTGCCACCACACCACACAAAGACACAAAGACTCACGTTGTATATCGCCGACGCCGACATGGCTTGCAAACCAAACCTATCCTCTGCTTCGCTGTCCTGCTCTGTCTGCCTTGTTGTACTTTCAAATTCAGCCAAGGGCCTGTTTCGAGTGATGAGCGTGGACAAGGTGTATATGGTTGGGCGGCCGGGCTGTGAGGTGGGGGGATAGAAAGTGGTTGTGAGAGGCGTTTTGTTGTGTTGCCAGGGAGGGAGTGGCGGGGGAGGGAGGGGCTGGCGGCGCACGGACAATTACGAAGGTGCGATTGGATCTGCCCCGGGTGCCTTTTATACCCAGACCACCCACTGCCCAACAGAAAAAGAAGCCGCATCCTGATCTCCCTCCCACGCACGTCAATCGACTGATCAAAGCCCAAAGAGGACTTGCCGCCGGGATCTCCTTATTAGGAACTCCTCCTTCACCTCTCTCGGCCCAAGAGAGGCCCTTCTTTCTGCCACGGCACACCCAGAAAAGTGGGAACAAACCCAAATCGTCTTTTCTATTTCTCCCACCACAGCGTTCGATTCCCAGCGCCCACACCCACCTCTCGATCCCATCAACCGAGGATCTAGCTCTTTTGGGGACGTAACTGTCGTTTCTGGCCTGCCTTGTCGCTCCACCCGGCCGACTCCACGCTCAAGTGCGCATGGCTAACTCGATCCTGCAGTGCCATCGCCCGAAGGGCAAGCCAAGCCTCCCACTTCCTTCCGAGATTAATCTCACTGGTCCCTGGGTAGACCCCTCGTGTGCGTCGATCGTACATGAGACTCTTACGAGAGCTACTTAATCGTGTCGTCAACCAGCGTGAGTTCTCAACCAATCTCTAAAAACAACATGATTTAATGGTCGCGTAAGGATGTAAAGCTTCCAGATTTGATATGACGATGCGAAGTGACGCTCGTCAATGTCATACCCACGACCTTCACTTATAGGCTCTACATGTCAGCGTTCGCCTGCCTTCCGCCACCACGCTTCAACGATTCTTCCCAGCAACGGCAGACATGCAGATGTATGGGTTCTGAGTCCGTGCTTCGTCCTAAAAATAAACCAACGGCTGACATACGTGTGTCTCCTGGTTCGATGCATGATTCGAATTCGAATTCATATGTCCACCTCCGACATTCCCTCCTAACGGGCCAAGCAAAAATGCTTACCACTGACGCCGGGACAGGAAGATCAGGTGCCATCATCCGCACCTCCTTCGCCCGTCTTCGCGGTGCGGTGGTCATTCATCCATTGACGCGATCACGAATTCGAATTCGAAGCAGCACGCAACAAACCGGCGCGAGAGCTCTATGTATCACTCGGATTATACTCTCGCGTATTCTTTTCAAGTTGGAACTCCGCGAACGTGCCCACCCCAGTCACTCCGGCGCGTTCCTCTCGAACCTCGAAGCTACATAAGCTAAGCTAAGCTTCAGGCTCCGTGCCACTCGTGGCCGCGCACGAGCATTCGATCTCGACTTTCAGCGTTCATCTGACCGCAGCACGCAGCCCAAGCAGCCTATGAATAGACGACGCAGGCTCCGTAGCGGCCCACGCTACACTAAACTAGCCTTTCGGACCTTTTCCCCTCTGAGTACGATTCTGTAGCACCGTGTAAGACGCAAGTAAATCAGTTCTTCGAATCTTTGCATACGTATATACTTACATAACACACACACTTATCATCCCCCGAGTTGAGTCGGGTCTGATGCAAGAACGCGGCAGGGGCGCCGTGTCATAGCCAGACTAAGCCTAGGGATACTCTAACGGCGGTTCGGCCGCCCAATTAAATGGGCAGTGGTCCATCGATCTTCTGAATCGTACGTGCCGTTCAAACCTGTCAATTAACCGTAGAAGTGATAGAGGCCTAGGGTGATGCGATGGGAGTATTGGTGGAGTAAAGACGGCTTTTGGCACGGCTTGAGGCTTTGAGGAGATTAACTTGAAGGCTAAGGCTTAAGGTGGCTAGTGCGAGTATGTAAAGGTAAGATATCGTTATGCTTTGGTAAGATATGCTAAGGTACGGTGAGGAAAGGGAAAGAAGGGGAGAAATGAACCAGTCGTCATTCACCTAGTATGATTCATGATTTCATCATACTAATGGCCCTGCCGTGGGCCGTCCTCGCGAGGAAGACCTTCTAACTCCCTCGTTGAACGATTTATTGATTATTGATTAGTGATCCATTAAATAACAACGAACATCGACTATGCTTGATAAAGCGCCCTTGGTTCTCAGCTTTGTTCTTCCGACTTCGGAGGCTCGGATTTCATCGCGTTCTACCTTCGCATTCCGTAACATAAGGTAAGTATCATATCCAGGGCTGATACTAGTAGCTGATCCACTTGTTCTTCCTTATCACAGCTCCCACCCCCCGAAGTAACTCTCAATCTCCTAGCTTTGATCAAGAGAGTAGGATCGGGCTTACAGCGCCTATGTGCGCCTATCTCTGAATCGTGCACCTATGTATCTTATCTTATCTCATCTGTGCACGCCCACATCATCCAAGATCGAGATTTACCACCGGATTGGATAGTCGACGTCACCCCCGTCAAGCCCCACGGGCGAACGATGGGATCAAGTGCGCACGGGGCGCAGTTGGGCGTACTCGGCGCATAAATAGGGCACCGTTGATTTAAGTAGACTCCGACGAGGATGATGATGCCGTCGAATAAAGGTGGGATGATGATGTGCCGTCGATGCCTAGGTCGGATGATGCCTCGGGATGAAGGACGCGGACGTCGTTTATTTTGGGAAGATGGTACTTTAAATTCGAACACAGAGTAAGAACCGGGCATCGCCTTCTGATCCTTGGTTCCTGAGGTCTGATACACGATCTTTCTCACTTGATCTCATGTGGGATGACTCATGGAGAACTTATCAGATAAATGATCAGGGACAGGGACAGGGAGAAGGTCCTCGAAGATCAGGGAACTTACCGTTCGATTTTTGGCAGGGCAGGACGCTAGGTGGGTGGGCGCTTAACTGATTTATCCCTCGGTTCGCCTTGGGAATGTTCACAACTTCGTGCGTTGTGATCGCATTGGGGGAAGCGCCCGTGCACAAAGGGTATCCAATCGTGTAGAGACCTCAGAGCTCTTCGTCGCCTCGCACCCGCACGATCCCCTCCGAAGAGCACGGCGCGCGCCAAAAAAGAACGTATCCCCTTCCCCCTTCAACCCAAGTTTCTCTGAATCAAATCAGACACGGAAGCCTCCATGAGCCGTCGAAATTCAATGTTTTGTGGCGTCGATATAACCTGGGCGTTGACTTACATCATCTTCCTGTACTTGTCGGACATGTACATACGTTTGACCCGCGTGGGCAGTGACTGCATCATGATGCAGCTGCCACCGCGAACAGCGCCTCAACGCCCCACCGGCGCTAACGCTCCTTGTCCCCGTCGATATTCATGATACCCACGATGTTAAGTATCTAGCGCAGAGCTCCAGGCCTCACCATAAGCGTTATATTCATTTGAATGTGAGGCCGTCTTGTCCAAGCCACCTGTCGTGCGCTGACGGTGACAATGCAATCGTCGCGGCACATACGACATCACGCTGTCAGTGTCAAGCCCTCCTTATCTGCTTGCCAACGCCAATGTTAACGTGCTAATGCGCTTGTCCTCGCGGGCGGCAAGCGTCGAGTGCCTATCGAGGGTTAGATGCCTGCTGTGCCTACTCTAACCTTGACCAGATAATCCAGACTCGGCGATGGAGGGGCCTTCGAGTCATGAGCTAATGGAGAATGCCAGTAAGCGAGATTTATGTGCACGATCAAAGAGAGATAACAGACAAGCACATCGTCCTTATAAGCACTCGAGTATACACTTAAGCATACGCCGGCAATGTGGACAAGCAGCCCTCGGCTCTGACCACTCACCGTCGCCCTCTCACAATCACAGATCACACTGAGTCTCAAGCCACCGTTTCTAGCGCCATCTTTAGGGTGCGAGTCTAAATCTATAAACAACACCCCAATGGCGAGATTCGCCCTAAAGATATCAAAGAGGGTTCAACTGCAGCTTCGGACGCGGAAGGTATGTGCCGAGGCGCTTCTGTCTACCCGAGTCCAGTCGGGTGACTTGGATTGGCGAGGGCATGACAGAGCGATGACCAGTGACAGGTGCATGGAAGGTGATCGATTGATCTTTGGGAATCGGGAAGTTTGGAATCGGGAATCGGCGTGGGACGGTCACCTTTAAGGTCCGGGGGATGGGTACGAATGGGCCTAAGGCCCTAAAGGAGGGAAGCGCCTATTTGCGTTTGGCATCAGAACCTTGTGAGCTCCGTCAGAAAACTTTGACCTTTGGACTGGGCTTTTTATAGGACGGTAAGGGACATGGAGCAAATTACTATGTAATCATTATATCCCTTATAAGAACTCTCACCTTGCTTGTCCAGTATTTGTCTAATGTCACACATCTCATTTAACATATGCCTCGCTCGAGCTTGTCAAGGCTTTCTGACGTCGTCGCTCAGGCAGGGAGGCCGATCATCAGATCCCGGGAGAGAGACTAGCTTTCCTGCAAGAAACGAACATTTCGACTCTCGGAAAAAAATACAGCTTCTTCTAATTCTTCGGAGCTATGTCGCCCCTTGTGGGGGGTTCTGGAGACTAAAGGCGCGATGAAGACGGCACAGGAAATCAGGAAGTATGACACAATCGCAAGGCGCTTAAGCATGAGAGAGCACGGATAGTACGAGTGACCAGTGATTGGAGTAGATTAGCGCCATCTCGGATCAATTCTCCGAAAATGGAAAGCCGCCGACTCTCAGCTCATCAAGCCGCTGTTCAAACGTTCATTCTTAACAATCCTCCGCCAACCTGCTGTTGCTCACCTAACAATCTCCTTCCAACGTCTAACTTTTATTGGACCGAGTCTAGCCGACCTATGACACCATCGAGGTGCACGGGATGGCCCTAAATACTCCTCTCCTTGTTTCACTTCCTTTTCATGCGCTCTGGCAGGAGCAGCTGGCGGTGCTCAGGACCCCAGGGCCGAACGTTGTCATGATTAGCAGGATGAACGGTACGTAGTCACTCCATCGAGGGAAATTCATTCTGTGTCCATTAACTTACGTTCTGGAGGCCTATAATTTATGCCAGGCCGGCCGCCGGCAACCTGAACCGCGACGACACTGTGACTATCATGAACATAACTTTAGAGTGTGGCATGGAGTTCAACGCGGTTGAGGCATCGGGTAGGTCATTGAATGTGTACTATGCTACAGGTAGTATGATTTGGCTTGCAATTTTACTGGATTTCAATTAGACTCTTCGCCTGTCATGACTGTAAATCTCAAGTCTGTCATGTTACGGACCGGATGTGGAACATCCGGCCCGGGGATGAAGGTTCATGTCACCACCGTTGCCACGAGCTTACTTATGTCTTCTTCCATCCCCCAGGATTCCTCCAGCAACAAATGTCCTCGACTCTTCACCGAAATACTCGACATGATCGTCGACGACCTCGCTTCGCACTTGATCGACCACTTCCCTGGCGACCTGAGTGAACCGCAGGCCATCATGCCAACGCTCTATTCTTGTGCGCTAACATCGCGCCACATGCGCACGAGAGTCAACCAGCACCTCTTCAAAGAGATAGAAATCAAGGACTACAAGTTCACGTTGCAGGGCTTCCGGCCAAGTGGCAAAGTTGACCTGCAGCTCCTGATTGCCCGCATCAAGGGCCTCGTCGCGATCATGGATGCAAATCCAGCAATCAAGACACATATCCAGAGTTTTGTGCTTTCATTCTTCGCAATGAACGCGACCCATCTCAATCATGAAGAGAATTGCGATGGGTTCGTGAAACTTCAAGATGCGCTAATGACCCTTCTTCCGAAGCTACCCGCAACGCTTCAGAAATTCAGCTTCGTAAATCTATACGGTCAGTTTGACTTACGAAGATTCCAGCAGGAAGTCTTGGCTGCAATAATGGCCTTCGTTGCTTCTCCATCTCTGGAGTCTTTGTCGTTCTCAAACATTGCAGAATTTCCTCTATCTGCCCTCTCGCACCCAATAAATTTGAAGCGAATACGGTTGCATGTCACGTCTCTGCCGACGACGGAGGAGGTCCCAGTCGGATCTGTTCAGTTCCCCTTCCAGCTCACGGAGCTCAACGCCTTCAATTCTCCAAAAATAGTCGAGCACTTCGTCAGAGCAGGTCCCTCAGGACCGTTATCAACACTCGAGGAGCTTTTAACAGATTTGGTGTATGATGCAAATATCCTCCTGGCGTGGGATATCATGTGCGGGTCGGCGCAGACGCTGCGATCTATTGAAGCTTCTCTGATCAACGACGCCCTATGTGAGTAATTCTTCCTCTTTCTAATACTCATTCTCCTGAACCCTAGCTCATGTATCATCGTCCGTTTCTCAGATAGCACAATATACCCTGATCTCATCGACTTGTCCCTCTTACCTTCCCTCCGCTTCATTAAACTCGCGTACATGATCGGCTCGCGTGAAGGCGAACGTATTGGTGTTCCCGCCTCCATTATCAAGATCCTCACGAGCCCCAGAGGGCAGCCAAATACCCTGAAAACTATTCACCTTAGATTGAACTGGGAATGCGTGACTACTAGCTCGTACCCATATGTGTTCCATCCGCTGCATGGGTGGGCCGAGCTGGATGCAGCCCTGATCGACACGAGAGCCTTCCCAGCATTGAAGGAGGTCGTCCTGAACCTGGACCTAGGCTTTCTGTGGCTCGAACCCGACCTTACTGACGAGCACAAAGAAACTCTGAAGGCGGCCGTGCAGCCCTATGTAGACGCCATCCTGCCTTCGCTCAGAAGGTCGGCTGTGATTCAACTCAATATTGACCTCAAGGTGTACAAGGGGTTCCATTCTCCCCACTAATGATCTATAATACCAGCCTAGTACGTGCCCAACCTATTACACTCCCAATGCGAGTCGACCCTATTTCCAAATCGCGGCTTGTGTACATTTCCTATGAAATGCATTTCTGCGCTTTGACAACCTAGGAGATCGCAAGAATCCCGATGCCTTCTCGACGCCAATTTCGAGTCATCATCCAGACTTCAATTATCACACCACTCCTTTGGAACTCCCTTCCAAGTCCGGATGGAAGGAACTTGGGCGGAGATGTGCTTCATGGCGCGGTCCTCGCTGCAGTAAGAGAAAGGTGACAGCCAACCATGCGGTGATGTGCGCTTGACCTGCCGTAGGTCAATATTACGGAGCTTCCATTCCGCAAGGGTCTTTCGAGTGGTGGGCAAAAGGTCGTACGGAATCAACTGCAAGAACAGATCAGCTAAAAGACACCCCGGCAGTAAGTGAGAGACGAGTATACCTGCATGGGATCAATATCTTCTTCGTAGACGAGAGCAAGCGAACACAAGCCCGGCATGCCTTTTGCTAGAAGTTTAAGCAGAGCATGGTCGACAACCTGGACTTCGAAGGAGAGGTGTCCCAGTGGATGAGGCCGCAAAATCTCGATAAGTTGCGTCGCTTCTGCTTTGTGGAGATAATCACCAGATAGATGAAGCCTAGTGAGAGTCTTGCAAGATCTGCCGACCAAGGGCAGGGTCTTTGCGAGGGAGAGACAAGGCATCTCGAGCGTCTCGAGGTCGGAGAGACAATCAGGCATCAGGCAGAGGAGATCTTGTACTCTCACCCAATCTTGTCGAGGCGTCTCGGGGTTGATCGCGATGGCGACATGAAGAAGAGAGCTGGAATTTTTGTGTAAGAAACGGACGAGGGAGGATGGATCGCTGAGGTGAAATTCACTGAGGCTGATATTCAGTTTGAGTCTGCGTAGCACAGCAAAGTTGAGGAGGCCATTGAAGAAACCGGAGAGATCGACAGACGCGGAAGAGGTGATAGTCAGTGATCGTAGGGCGGATCGTCGACTGGAAATGAAGGGAACGACTGTCTCCATAAGAGCCCCCGCAGATGGATCTTCTTTCGGCCCTTCATCCGCGCCGGGGCAGTCCTCAGCAAGGGTATAATCGAAATTGAAATCCAACTCGTCTAAATGCTTGAAATCGCCAATTGGTAGGAGCAACTTGAACGTGGATAGCTGAGCTCGCAACACCAGACTGCGTAAGTTGTTGCTGAACGCGGTTCGAATGAGTTTCAGAAATATGAATGTATTCTTGTTATTGGGTGGGTATCGCATGTCGACATGGAGTCTTATTAGCCCGGTCATACCATTGACGGCGGTCATGAACAAACGGAGAATGTCTTGCTGGAACAGATTGCTCCTGCCAAATGCTCTAGCGGTGGAAAAGCGCTTCTTCAACGTTGATTGTGCCCCAAGGAGACCTTCGAGTACATCGACACGAACGGAGAGCTTCCGGACGCGTCGAGATACGATAGGATGCCTACGCGCTTGACGAGTTAGTTACTGCTGGTGAAGTACGAAGCCACGAAATATGCTCACTGGAGTCTCCTCAATATCTTCTCGATATTACGGTCTTCTACTACGCTGTCCCACCGCACCTCGTGGTACTTCAAATCCAGGATGAACTCGAAGAATGTCCTGTTTACTGCCATCAACGGGAGCATGTACTTGATTTTCATGTTTTCCGCGATATGTGTCGCGATGAGGCGCCAGATGTCGTCCGGGATGTCGTTTCCGGCGATGGGGAGTCCAGGCAGGCGATTGACTCTCTGTAGAGGAGCTTGTGCGTCTGCCAGGGGGCTTAGAGCTTCGAATCCTTCTGTCGGTGTATATCGAACGAGGCCGCGACGAGGGGGAGAAAATAAGACATGAGGTGGACAGGTTGGATATGCAGACATGACGGTTAGTGGGCAACTGCTTACTACCAGCGGTCGCGCCGGCGCCCTTACATCATAAACTGGCCAAGTGATATCGCTGCGGACCGTGGTACCACCTGCAAGGAAATACGTCCCCGATCCACGAACAAGTACAGATAGTAGCACTCACTGTATGCACACAAATGTCATGGAGCACAGCCTCGATCGTAGCCGGGGGAATTCGGGGGAAAATCATGGGCGCTAAACCCTGCAGCAAAGCCACCCTCGACACCCAGCTTGGCTGGCATTGAAACCAGAACGAAGTACTCTCGACTCAAACTCGATTCTTGTGAAGGATGGTATACAGCTAGATATGAGGATGCAACTGATTGGCAACTGAAGCGAACAAGGGTGGTCAGAGCAGTTGAGATTAGATCAGATCAGATCTTCTCTCATCAGCGAGGGCCCCGGTCATTTGGCAGTGCACAAAGCCTTTTATTTCAGGCAGAAATTAGAGAACTGGTCTTCAAATGCTGTATGCAGCTTTTCGAATACCGGGAAGACGTGTATTCTTCTTTTCACCAAGTAATGGTAAACAGAAGAAATCTCAAAGCACACAAATACTGGGGTTGCGGTCTTGAATCGAGAACATAATAATGCCACACAGTATCCAACCGAATATCCGGCAGTCTGGGTTGCCGTTGGAGTAATGAAATCTTTCCTCTCGACCGAATAAATAGTAACTACTTCTACTTCTCATCATCATTATCCCAGTCCATATTCTATGCTTTAGCTTGCGAGCATTGTGAACTTCAATTGCGGCAAAGTTGCCTTCGCCCAAAGTCAGACTCCAGGCTATTGATAGTTCACGAAGAGAGTACGACGAATCACGCCATCCGAGTTCGCGAGATTGTTGGCATATGCACCGTGATTTCAAAATTCACCAGGTACCTTACTGGTTCAACATTTGCTGTGCTTATCGAGGTTAACAAAGTGCTAATAGTAAGCGCCTAGAGAAATGGAAATCGCGTTACAGTTAACCTGATGTGTCGACTCATCTCTTGTCGTTGATCGTCTTCGGGATCGTGCAGGCAAGTATTTAAAGAAAGCCAGACAGTGCGGATGATCACGTTGGTCCTCAGGGGATGACGAGCGCGGGTCAGTTCTACCTCGCTGCCAGTGGACGGGCTGACAAATTTAAAATTGGAGAAGCGCTCTGAAACACCTTGGTTGCCCGCTCGCATCCGTCGCAATTGAATTTCGGTCTGAGCACCAGTCGACGAAGGCTGCCGACTCATCCTCGTAGCCAAGGAACTCGAATCAAATACTAGAGCAGTCTAGAGAGAGCAGCGTTTCCATCAGTTCATGAGGACCAAGAATAACCTGGGCTCCACGTACCACAGCCCCCTGTCTCCTGTCTGTCCAATAGCCAAAGCGCCCGCTGGCTAAACCCGAAGGCGATCATGCAAAGGCTGAAATAGTCAATGCGCCACTGAGTCTGCGTTCTTTGCTCGCGTCCAAGTCTGTTCTTCGATCCGCCCTAGTCTGTGTCCGTGTCAAGGTGCACGAGCACTCAGTTAACGAGAGGGAGAGGAGCCGCGGCACCTTTCCTCCGAGCTCAAGAGAAGGGTCGTGATAGCCGCCCTTGGCAACGACGGACGTCGCCTTTTGAATAGTTTAAGAATCCAGTGCGTCTGGAGACCTCGTTGACAGGCGCCCTCGCGTGGCAATCGAACATGTGGACAAGCGCCGATTGCAAAATTGATGCCAAAAATAGAAGGGTGACGTCGATCCTTGACGATCATTCGCCACGGCATCGCGATGCTTTGCAATAGGAGCCCCTCTCCGAGAGTCGCTTGCATCTTCGAATTGGGTCCTATAAAAGCATGGTCAGCACAGCGATGTTTCTTCAGCTGGTCTCACCCCGACATCCTCATCCAATCAATTACGCTGCGTTGATCGCAAGCCCATCCTCGTTATCCTTTCACGACCTTTGAAACCAATTACAATATTCAACATGGTTCAACTCACCAACTCCGTCCTCGTTGCTGCCGTCATCGTCGCCCCCACTCTTGCTTCCCACCTCGGTGATGTGCAGTACGTCCACTGTTCTTCTAGTTGAGAGCTGGGATTTAACACTCTCTTCCCTTGCTAGCCACGAGACTTTGCACGCTCGCGACCCTAGGCTGAGTGCACTCATCAAGAAGGTCGGAAGAAACACCCCGGGTGCTATCAGCACTGCCGCCACCGTCGCCGGTGCTGCCGCCGCGTTGGCTCCCGCTCAGACAGTTGCACGCGATCTCGAGGAGCTGGAAGAGCTCGCTGCCCGCGACCCCAAGCTCGGTGCAATCCTTAAGAAGGTCGGAAGGAATACATCCAGCGCTCTCGGAATGGCAGCCACTGTCGGCGGAGCTGCTGCTGCCTTGGTGCCTCCTCCCACTCAACGGGAGCTGGACGCCCTCGAGGTCCTCGCTGCTCGGGAGCCCATCTTTGGCAAGATCCTCCGGGTCGCCAAGAAGGTTGCGGGTGGTGCTGCTCAAGTCGCTGCTGGCGCTCTTTCTGGCCGCGATTTCGAAGCCGAGGTCGAGTTCACTGCCCGGGACATCGAGATGCTCGAGGAACTGGCCGAGCGAGAGCCCATCTTCGGAAAGGCCTTCCGGGCCATCAAGAAGGTTGCCGGTGGTGCTGCCCAAGTCGCAGCGGGTGCGCTCGCCGGTCGTGACGTCGAGGAGTTCCAGGAGTTCACCACTCGTGCTCGGGCACGCCGACCTCAGGCTCCTGCGCGTGGGAGGAGCACACTTTCGCGGGTCGCCAGCAAACTGACCAACCCCGACACCCTGAACTCGGTAGCACAGCTGTCCAGCAACGCCGTCTACCTCCACCAGGCCCATCAGGCTAACAAGTTTGCCAAACAAGAGGCCGCTGCGATGTCTGCTACCCCCTCCACAACGGAGGCCACTCAGTACACTGCCCGGGAGTTCGAGGAAGAGTTCGGCCTCACCGCTCGCGAGATGGACACCTTGGAGGAGCTCGTCCTCCGTGAACCCATCTTCGGCAAGGTTCTCCGGGTCGCAAAAAAGGTTGCTGGCGGTGCTGTTCAGGTTGCCGCTGGTGCGCTTTCCGGCCGCGAGTACGACGACGTCGAGGAGTTCACCGCTCGTGAGCTCGAGATCATGGACGAACTCGAAGCCCGCGACCCGTTCCTCGGCAAGATCTTCCGCAAGGTCAAGGGTTTCTTCAAGGGCAAATCCGCCGCCGCCGCCGCCGCCGAACCTGCTGCCGAAGAACAACAACCCGCCGCCCGAGAATACGACGACTTCGAAGAGTTCACCGTTCGTGACCTTGAGCTGATGGATGAGCTCGAGGCACGCAACCCTTTCCTCGGCAAGATCTTCAGGAAGGTGAAGGGTTTCTTCAAGGGTAAGGCAGCAGCTGCCCCCGCTGCGCAACCCGCGGCTGAGGAGCAGCCCGTGCAACGCGACCTGGAGAACGTCGAGGAGCTTGCTGGACGTGAATACTACTACGACGAGCTTGATTAATTTGGATTAGAGTAGATATATCGGACACCAATAAAAATGACCTAGTCTTTGGACATTCCCATCTGTCGTGACTAGCGTGTAAGCTATACCAGGATAATTGGCAATGGCAGAAGCGCTGAAGAATGTCGTCGGAGTGGGGGCTTTGAACCCGATGGGGTGTCAGAAAAAGTCGCACGCCTTCTTTCCATCTTCCCCAACATCAGCGACAGCAAGCTCATTCGGTGCTCAGTTCTCTACTCTCATTTTTTGCCATGACGTCCCGAAGGCCTTGCTGATCAAAAAAATCTGAAGACCAGAACATGGAACCGCTCTAACGACTGATGTGAAGTAGGCATGGATGTTAGGAAGAAGTGGACAAAGACCGAGATTGTGAGCTATTTTCTTTTTTTTTTCTCTCGTTCAAACCCGTTTCCTGCCGTCGCTTGAGATCCCCTATCGGTGCTACATCGTCTCCCGTGACGTCTGGAAGTCTTCGTATTCCGAACGGCTTTCTAGATCCTCATGAACCTCCCCGATACCGACCTCTGTAACACATAAGGAGAAAGTTCGTCCACGGTGTCTCTCGCCTCCTGCCTGTGGGGTTTCCCGTTGCGCGGAGGCCAGAAAGCCGTGCACTATTTCTGTCTTCGTTGCACCAACGGTAGTCCCCACATCGATGCTCCTGGTTCAGATGGAAGATTTTTGCGCCTTCTTGGATGGCTGTGGTGCCGGAGTTTGCGCATTATCGTCGTTCGTGGGGTTTACAACCCTGGACACGTGGAGTCCTGATAGAAGGGAGTGGAAAAGTGGACGATTGCTGGCAAATTGGCGATTTGGTACCCGTCTGTGGATTCACCAATCTGCCATTGTCGCCGAGCTGACGAGAGGTTCGCTGGCCGGCATACGAGGGGGTTTTCATTCGACGATGCACCAGAATCGGCAGCTCCAAGATTTGCACCATCTATTCGAGCGTTTGCTGACGTTGTTCTTCACAGGAAAAGATCAGTGGAATCGACGAGGATCGTGTTCTGTTCAATATACAATGATTATTTCCAAGCACAGGATACGATACTGTCGATGCTAACAGACGATGTGAGTTTTCTTGGGTGATTCCCTCTTTCCAATTCGCTGTCGAACCCCCTATCGGTGTCAAGTCGTCTTCCAGGATGACCGAAAGCCAGCTGAGTTCCAGTTGGCTTTTGCAACCACTTACCAGTGGGGTTGACCGAACCTCTCCGACACGAGCCGCAATAACCAATAGGGTGTAACCTTGTCCACGGCTTGCCTTCCAGTAAAGACGTCTAGCTGCGAGGCAAATAGTCGTGGAGCCAGTTTGCCTGGGTATTCTGGTGTCGTGGTCTCCTCTGTCGGACCTCCCCTCGAAATCATGGTCTTGCATCTTGTGGGGTGTGATTTTACCACATCTCGGTAGACGACGAAGTTTGCTCGTTGACCAAGGGGCTTCTGGTCCTACAATTGTTTAGCCCAAGAAGCAAAGGGAAGGTCTTTGGTGATGGCCGTCATTTTTGGGCGCTGCGTCTGGCCAACGGAGTCGTTCTTAGGTGCTCAGCCGAGGAGAGGTTCACCAGCCGGCATACGAGGGGGGTTTACTTTTGAATATGTGGCAGTTACTGTTGCATTTCGACGAATTCCGGATGCTCGACTACTGGCTGACGTTGTCGTTCGCAGGGAAGGAAGGAAGGAAGGAAGGAAGTGTATTAACCGGTACTAGGTCCCTATCAGAAACGACCGGCTCAGTGGTAAGGAAAAGAACGTCTAAGTACATAAATATACTTCTTTTCATCTTACCCTGATCACCAACCCCCATCACCGCGCGATGATCTAACCACAGATGCAAAGAAGACCCTCGGCTCAATCTACAGCAGTAGTGAGTAGGAAAACGACTACAACCCTGTGGGAGTCAAGGTGGGTTCTCCCGCACTTGACTAGAGATCCATGTCTCAAAATCATCGTGTTCCAGGGCCTTCCGCAGCTGCCCAAGACGACTCAACGGTCTCAGGAAGGAGGGTGTGAGAATTCAAGGAAAATCAGTGTAACAGCGAATACCGCGGAAAGCGTGATACAAGATAACTAGTTCTTTAAGCGTCACGGTACTGTGGTAATAGATAAGGTGGATAGCGATCGTAGAAGGTGAAAATACGATGGGCTAGTCTGCCTAGTGGAAACTCCAGCACTCGAGTTTTCAAAACAGAGCGAAGAAAGTCGACGTGTGTCAATCTAGCGAAGTCATCTGGTACCGTCGGAACTCTCTCAGTGGCTGTCAGGAAGAACTCCTCGCGTGCGGAACGTATCTCGGCTTTCTGTATGCACACAAATAGAGCATGTGCCTCTGTCTCAACCTCTGCTTTGCAGAAACGGCACAGGCGATGGTGCCGAGGTACTGGTTTTTGTCCTCTTTCCCGCCAGCGAAGACATTCGATTGCCAAGAAATGGCAAGATGTGCGTAGAAGGGTGAGTGCTTTTCGGTAGGCAGGCACATGGATTTCATCGAGGTAGGCTGACCTTCGTAAGCGGCTGGGGAGAGGGTTGACTAAACCATGAAGCAGAGAATGACGCTCGGATTGTTCAATCTCCAAATAGAGCGAGTGAGTGCATGATGTTTCGACCTCCTGGATCAGATTCGGTATTGAATCGGGGTTCGAAATATGGGAGGGGCGGAACGACACCGGAAGGGGAAGATTAGCTAGGACATGTATGTCTCCAATATAGCAGGGTTTGCCCTCTTCCCAGAGTCGAATGGAATCCCGGAGAGCCCTCAAAGCATATTCGCTCTTGATGTTTGTAAGGAGTTTGTGGATCGAACGTAAGGCCAGGACAATTCTGCGGTATTTTAAAGGCATCACACCAGTTTCGATGAACAAGATAGCACGCGGCGATCGATCATGTACACCGAGGAGGAGACGAAAAAATTCCACTTGGACATTCTCGAGGAGAGCCAGCAGTGAAAGGTCTATGTCGATGATGGTTTCGCAGCCGAATGTGAGGTCAGCGTCAACTGTGCTCATATAGACCTGTATGCCGCGATCAATCGGAAGTGTCCCCTAATGCACCTCGGATCCCATGATGTTATACGCCGTGTTCAATGCTGAAGACGCTTTGTTACGATAGTGCTGGGCAAATATGCATCTTTCCGTGGATGAGAAGGTAATTCCCACATATTTGAAGCAGTCGGTGAATATGAGGTTATCATCGCCGATGGAGAGGTTGGAGAGTGATTGGGGAAGGGGTCCAAACACCACACCCAAGGACTTAGTCGAGCTAATGATAAAGGAATTCACGCCGGTCCAATCTTCTGTGTAGTGGACGAGGTCTTGAAGACACGGGAGCTCAGTGGCCATCAGGAGAATGTCATCGGCTTGTTCCAGATGGTAAATGGAATCGCCGTCGATGAATATGCCATGTCGGGGGGCGGGTGGGTTGAAGTCTGACATCATGATGTTGAACAGGTCGGGAGAGGCGGTATCGCCAGCGAGGATGCCCCATAGTGAACGGAAAGGTTCGGAGCAGAATCCTGGTTCAGCACCGGTGACGACAGCATACTGCATGCGGCTATAAAGCATTCGCATCCAGTCAATTATTGGACCCTTAGCACCCTTGTTATAGAAATTTAGCCACAGCGTCGAAAGATTGGTGGTTGGAAATGCATTCTTGAGGTCCACGAAGGCGACATGAAGTGATTTACCCTCAGCCCGGGCCCGGTCTACAGCACAGCGTAGGATGAAAGCGCAGTTGGTGGTGCGATAACCTTCTCGGAAGCCGTTCTGAGATGGTGGGAGGATATTCATTTCGTTCATCCAATCCCGGAGCCTGCGTGCATTCATGAGCATCATCATCTTGAGAATCCCACACTCCCAGCCGATGAGTCGGTAGCTGTCAGGATCGCTCGGGTCTTTACCGCGCTTGAGAAACGCAGCAAGTAATGTAGTGAGCCAGTTCCCTGGAGCGTCGAACTCGGAGATGCACAGGTTAAAGAAATCGGCCCAATCTGCACTTTCAACACCGAAGATTTGGGAATAATCAACGCCATCGATCCCCTTAGCCTTGTGAAGCCCTCGCTTGCGTATATGGGTTTTTGCCCAGTCAACCTCTACTGTTGCGAAAGGGCGAGAGAAGTGTAGATTAGGGGAGATGTCAATGGTATGGATAGGGACGGCCTTCATAGTCAGTTCATGTCGAGCGAAAAGAGACGCGTCGAATGAAGGGGGTAGTGATGAGGGCGGATTCATGCGGGCAGCAAAATTTTCCTTCAGGGTTAATAACCGGATTTTGGGCTGTGTGGGTTTCGGGTCATTCCAGCGCTTGAAGAGTGCCCAAAAGTCTGCTATCGACTCGCAAGCTAAAAGCTCCCTTAGGTTCTCCCACATGAGGTCCCTGCTCTCGGCTCGGCCACGATGTGATTCAGAAGTTCGATCAACATCGCGCAGTGTGGGAGCATGAAGGGGGAGGAGGTCCAACCGTGTAGGCGTCTCTTGGATGGGGTCCTCAGGGATATTGGCCAGGACTTTAGGGCGGTTGGTAATCGGTGGGATATCGGTGGGGTGTTTCCAATCGAGTCGATCCGAATCGTCATTCGGGGGGAAAGAGACGTCATGAGCGAAGAGATGGGCAGAGCTCGCAATGTTCACTGCTTGGCTCCAGGCACAATTCGGTTCCAGGCGACGCAGCCTAATCGTCTTCAAATCCACGGAGGCGGAGCGGCTAATGATAAGATCGACCACAAATCTGATCGAATCCGCATATTTGCAGCACCATCCCTCCCACGCCAGCCGTCCAGCTCGATAAGCCAGCGTACGTATTGTCTCATCAGAGGAGGTGAAGATCCAGAGAGGACGATTGGGGGGAGAATGAAGTAAAGCTCTGGAGATCCCTGCCAGGACACCGAGAGCGATAGAACCCCGGCATATGAAGGATTCTGACTTTCCATCCCTCCAGTGACATGCTACCCCCACCACGCCCTTCTGCACTTCTACGGAGGCGACCCAAATATTGGTAGGGTTGCTATGAAAGTAGGCAGGTCCGTAGAGTTTGAGAATTGCGTCACAATCGGACACGGGGTTGTTAAGTAGGGCATGGAGCTGTTTATCCACGGCAGACCACGAAGAAGGTGAAGGCAGGAGATTGGAAGAGGGGACAGTTGGGGAGGTGTCCTCAATAGGTTGCACTGAGCCACCGTCAATAGTGATGTATAGGCAGGCATGGTCATCCGATGACGACAGTCTCTCAGCCCGCATGAGGAGAACAGAGTTGAGTAGCGCTGTTGCTCCGACTGCATAGTCAATGACAGATTGTCCGGCAGGTTGAAAGGAGGTCCAGCTCCCGGAAGCGGAGTCTTCTTTCGCAGTCCCGTTGAGGATGTGGAGAGAGTTGGTGTTGCACAGCTCGATCAACCATTTCCCGCGTGCATTGCTAACAATGTCGTTTGAGCAGTGTTGTAACTCGGAGTGTTCTGCCTGAAGTGAGCCCGTCCGGGCGTTCAAGTCACCGAGGAGGAGGACGGGCTTATCTTCGCTGTTCGAGCAAAAGGTGACACATTCAGCGAGTCGGCGGGCGGGGTCAATTTTCGTCCACTTCCGCCAGTTGGAACCAGCAGGAAGAAGATAGGTGCCAATCAGGACAAAGGAGTGTAAGTCGAGGACCAGGTCGCAGACGTCATAGGCGACATCGTCCTTTATGATGGCGGCGACACCGCCACCAGGGAGACGGCCCCGCGATCGGAGAGGACGCGATGTGCAGAGGGCGTGGTATCCTTTAGGAAGCACAAGACATTCTTCTTGCCGTGGAGAGAGAAAAGTCTCCTGGAAGATACAGATGTCATTGGCGACAATTAGATCAACGAAGCGTTTACGCGCTATTTTCAGCGCGAGGTGTCCATTGATATTCCAGGCCAAAATTGACAAACTAACGATAGAGTAGATAAAGATAAATAAGTGTCCAAGCGCAGTCCTTGTGAGATGCACAAATTTGACGTTTCTGTCGAAGGACCGAGCAAGATGGTGTCTCTTGTTGAGTGTACCTACTCCTCGACTCTCGAAGACAGCGAACTCGTGACTGTTCAAGCCACTACATAGGTTTCGCTAACGTGGGATATGTGGTGTACAACTGCCTCCACCCCTTCACTTAAGGCCCAAGTCAGCGCGGGGGTATTCTCCGCGAAATACTCATGAGAATCGGCGTTCTTTACCGCTGTTTCTGGGGAGCTGATCGCCAGTGACTTGCATGCTGATTTCCCGTAGGCGTAGTCCCGAGTTCCGCCATTCGCATCGAAGTGAGACGACTCGTGGACGATGGTTCCAGCCTATGACCTCCATCAGCATGGACGGAGAAGAGTGCTATGTCACTGACCTGGGAGTCTGTTCCCGTGAACGGTGCATTCCAGAAAGCACCACAGAGGTAGATGCGTCCGAAGCTATGCTGATGTTCAGGATGGACGACTCAATGATGGCAGGTAGTACTCACACATTAGGATAGACGTAGGCGTAAACATTCGACTTGGTGCAGGTGCAATCGTACGTGAACGAGGAGAGCGTGTTGTTGCTGATGGCGCTGACTAGTGCGAGACGACGGCGTCGTACAAACCGGCAATGTATGTTCCAAACCAAGTCGTGTAGCGGGACGAGGTGGAGGTGTGCGAAGTGAGGTATGAGAGCGCGCTCGAGGTGTAGGTTTGGGCGGCTTTGGCAGCAGAGGTGAGGATGTCCTGCCTGGCTACGGAGCAACCGTTGTACGTCGCGCGCTTGCTAAGGTCAGGGCGAGCGACAGCGAGTTTTCCAGAGACGTGTGCCTTGTGCGCCGAGAGGTGTTCAGCGTACACGGTACTCACAGTACCATCGTGGTCGACGATATAAAACAAATTGGAAGCCCGAATGTCGTAGGCGCCGGAGCCGGAGAATGTGAAGTTGTAGGCCGCTCCGACTGTAGGATGATAAGAACATTGAGACTAGGTTGAGGCTACAAAGGACAATTCACGCACGGTTGTGCTCAACTTCAAGGGACTGACCGGGGACAAGAATCCTGAACCCGCCTGCGGCAGCAGCCGTCAAAGGGGCATATTTCACTACAACACCAGTACTTGAAGGCAGGTCGGACGCCTTTTCCATCCGTGATGACGAAAGTGTCAGTGGGCATCTGCGAGAGAGCGCCGCGGGGATCGTCGAGGACCTTGAGGGTCTCCTCGCCGGTATTGGTGATGGTCGTAAGAATCTTCAAGTTTTCGACATCCGAGACGCTCGCTGGGCCTAAATTTGCAGGGTGTCAAAGCAAAATAACAGTTAGAGGTGAGTTAATCCCACCGGTGACTTCGAGCAACAGCGAAGGAGCTGCCGACGCAACGACCGCCAAAGAGGCAAGAGTAAGCAAGATGGTGCGAACAGAGCTCGAAATCATGTCAGTGGCTAGGGGAAGTGTAACTGCGTCGACGAGGACAAAGCTGAAGGAGATTGGAAATGCTTTGCCCCTTTTATATCGTTTCGGCTGCCCTTGTCGTCAGAGGGGGAAGTCCTCATGTAGACGGATAAGGCTTAGATGTGGCAACGGGAGGAGACCCAAACGAGAAAGTCAGCCTAAACTCTGCTAGTTTCCCTCTGATTAGAAGGACTCAGGAGGCGTTCAGCACAAGATACATGGTCAAGAAGCTCAAGCCGGTACGTCAAGACTCTTACCAAACGCGTCCTATTATGGGTTGACAGATACCTGAAACGGAAATACAATCAAACTTCCAACCCTTCGTGGCGCACATAGCTGCAGATGGTGTCAAGAACCATCGTATTAGGTGGATCGAATCGCAGCGGTGCGCCACCGACGTGCTCAAATTGCGAGAGAACGACTGGTTCAGGAGTTGGAGAGGAAGGCTTCGACAGACGCGAGCCCCTTAGGAGAGACTTCTAGCGCCGGGGACCGGGGTAGCGAATCCTTGCAACCTACTCCCCTAATCGGTTGGATTGCCACAGGATGGGACAAGTTTTAATTTACGCAATTTATGTAGCCCTACGTGATTCTGTATGAAATCTACTCTACTATGTAAGTGTTTCTCGGCATGTATGATGTGATTCAGATGTTCCCCCCAAAGAAAGCTGAGAGGAGCGACGCGCCTCAAGAAATACTCTTCAACTCTTCATTATTCTTCAACTGTTTGTTTTTGGACTTTAGCACTTCTGCGTTTCACCATGGTCCGCAGTTCCTCCTGCCACAAGTCAATCACTCCTTCGTTCGTTAACAATTTCGTACAATTCATTTCAATAAATACACAATTAGATCCCTTGTTTTTGACCTAAAATCTACCCAGTGCATCAAGCAAGAGCGGGGTTGTTCTCCGCGAAGTACTCATGAGAGTCGGCGTTGTCGACAGCTTGGGCAGGGTTGCTGATCGCCAACGACTTGCAAGCTGATTGGCCGTAAGCATGGTCGTCGGTTCCGCCGTTGGCGGTGAAGTGGGAGGACTCATGGATGATAGTTCCGCCCTGTGAAGCATATCAGTACACGCACAGAAGACGACCAGAAGTCCGACCGACCTTGGAGTCAGTGCCAGTGGTTGGGGCGTTCCAGAAAGCACCGCAGAGGTAGATGTGTCCGAAGCTGCATAGATACTATTAATGAAACTGAAATTGATCGGAGAGAAAGTCAAGTACTCACTCGCTAGGGTAGACATAGGCGTAAGTGCCCGAATCCGTGCAGGTGCAATCATACGTGAACGACGAGAACGTGTTGGCACTGATCGCGCTGAAGTGCGATACGATCGTGTCATGGCGCGCCGTCGTGTACGTGCCGAACCACGTCGTGTAGCGTGTCGTCGCGGACGTGTGGGAGCTGGCATATGAGAGCGCTGCGGAGGCATAGCTCTGGGCCGCGGAAGCGGCAGAGACGAGGGCGGTCTGCCGGGTCGAGGAGCAACCAACGTAAGTCGCGCGCTTGCCCAGACGGGGCCGGGCGACGGCAAGCCTGCCAGATACTTTCGCGGAGTGGGCGGAGGCGCTGTCGGCGTAGACGGTGCTAATGCTGGAGTCAGGGTTGACGATGTAGAACAGGTTTGAGGCGTGAATGTCATAGGCGCCGGCACCGGGGAGGGTGAAATTGTAGGCAGCTCCAACTGATGCATGATTAGAACGAGGCTCCAAGTAGCGAACTTGATATACGCACGGTTGTGCTCTACTTCGACGGACTGGCCAGGGGCAAGAATCGTGAAAGCTCCAGCAGTAGCAGCGGTCGAAGGGACGTATTTCACTTTGATACCGGTGAAGGAAGGTCGGGCGCCTGTCGCATCCGTGATGGTGAAGGTGTTGGTGGCCATCTGCGAGAGGGCGCCGCGAGGATCGTTGAGGACCTTGAGAGTCTCGTCTCCCGTGTTGGTAATCGTCGCAACAAGCTTGAGATTGTCGACGTCCTGAACACTCTCCGGACCTAGAATAATGCGAGGTTTAGGCCAAGCATGGACAGGAAAGCAATGAAACATACCAGTGACTTTGAGCGACAACGAAGGCTCTGCAGACACCGCGACTGCCAAGGAGGCCAGAGCAATCAAGGTAGCGCGGAGAGTGTTGGAGAACATCGTCAAAAGGATAGCTGCGTCGACGGGGACTGGGAGCTGAAGTAGGCTAACATGGTCCTTCTTTATACGTTTTTGCGATCCTCGCTACGGCAGCAGCCATGTGAACGTCGAAGAGAGAGATAAGCCGTAGATGCAATTTTAGCAGGTGGAGTGGAGGTGGTTCTCGTCGAAGACACACGCGAAGGGGCGGAAGACCATAAGACAGCTGGCCAAGAAGGTCAAGGCTAAAAATAGAGTGCCAAGTTCCAGCATGGACGCTCAACCACAATCACCGGCGCTGGTATCAAACTTCCACTAGAGCCATTGATAGCTACCCAGAATGGAAGAAATTGTGATAAGGTGACCATTTTCCATGCACCGTTTTGACGCGTAGTTTATCTGGGAGCAGACACGTTCATTCATTGTTCTTCCAACAGTCCGGTCGCCCGCTCACTTTTTCACCGTCATGCATCAGGCCTCAGGTGCCAGTGATGCAGGCAAAAGAATGGAACGAGGATGTTGAAGAGTGGGCGGCCTGTCGCGTTCTACTTAATGAGAAAACACCAATGTTAGTACAGATCAGGAACTAGAAGACAGAAGAACGTGCAAAATCAACTGTCCATCTGAATCTCCCGGGGTGTATTTATTCGGGGCATTTGAATTGGGGATAATCAAAACTTGATTTTGTCCATGAAAATATACCGTAGGGACGTTGGCTGCTCTAAAGCGCAGGCAGAAAAGATAAGAAAGAGTACGCCGTCGATAGAGCTTGTCATGTTGTCTGGAGAGCTCGAGGGCCAGAAGCGAGCCGGGGAGCACAATCTTCAATTTATTTACCAAAAGAACAATGCGAAATACCGCAAACGCCATGCTATAAGGGTTTGCGTAACATCAAGTACGCCCTCTGGCCAGTAGCAACGTGGCTCGAAGAAGAGTGAGTCCACTGTTGATCCAAATTATTGAAAATTCTGAAGTCAAATGGGATGATTGTGATTGCATGGGATAAGGGTGAAGGAAGTCTTCAGTAGGATAAGCTTTGAAGCCCTTGACCACCTATTAGTATGTATATTCTGTCGTGCTTGATGGAACGTCGAGGATGTCGAGAGCCAAGTGGGTGGCTTACGTGAGCGTCCCAGGTTCAAAGCTTCACTTCGGCAAACTCCGGACTCCCTTCCAACCAGCCCGCACTGGCTCTCGCTCTCTCGCTCCGTCCTCAAGGCCTCAGGCTTGAAAACTGCAAATTCTCAGAGCATTTTCAGTGAACCTACGAGAAGTGCCAACTACTCGTCTATATTCGGTCTGTCCATTCTATCATTCAATAGCGTACATGTCTTCCTGATTGTCGCCTTTATGTAGGACTAAGCACTTCCCCGGACTCGGCTGGCGGGTCGCAATGCCTTCGTCGAGCTGACATTCGACTCCACAAAAGTCCCCGATGATGTGGGCAGCTCGGTCAGGAAGTAGCGTAATCCGCATGCCGGTGCCCGGCCAAGCGACCAGTGTCAAGCTTAAGGTTGCGAAAACTCGTTGCATGTTGCAGGAAACATACTGATTGGTTTTGATGTCAGTCTAGGCTCTATTATCTGAAGGTCTTGCACGCCTTTACTCAATAGAAGATATTCCGTAAACCAGAAGAAGCCATCTCCCTTACACTAAATAGGCGGGATTTGGGCTTAATCAACCGCGTCAACACCAACACCCAGGATGTTGTCTGCAAATGGGAAGGAGTATGGGAGGTTTTCCATCTGCCGGGCTATTCTCAGTGATCGCCTAAACATATGACCGGCCTGATTGACACACAGGTGGTGTTTGTGCGCCGTCGTCCCCATCTCATGCAAGAAGAAGCATTTGAAGTCGAACAAACAACAATCAATGGCAATAGAAATACTGTCAACTTCATTGGTCACCTTCTCCTCTGCCACCCAACGGACCACCATGTCGCTTAATGCGACGTTCACTAACGTCCCCTTCCTCCATGACATCTCCTATGGGGTCTTGAATGATTTCAATGTCGTGAAGTCGGCGTCCACCCTTGGGCTTGCTTTCCTCGCGTTCTACGTCTATCGTCTCTTCTTTCCGAACGCGAAAGGATCGATCAAGCAGCTTGGCGGTTTCCCAGTGGTAACTGCATGGACGTTTTTCAGCAAGAGGTCGGACTTCCTATGGAGCCACTTCAAACGATCAGAGGAACCGCATTTTAGGTTCCAGGTCCTGCAGGTACATATGCAAATGTTGCTTGTTGGGGTGACTGCTTACCAGTGGTCGCCGGCGTTTAGCATCAAGTCGTGGCTCTGAGAGGAGAAGAGGGACGTAAAGCATTTTTCGACACCAGAAGCTTGGATTTCACCGAAGGCTACAAAATTCTTATGGGTGCTGTATGTTTGTATTGCGCCTCGTCGCTACCTCATGTTAATCTATTGTAGGCCCCACGCCTCAATGACATCGACGTGGATATTAAAGACACTGGCGACGTCTCCTGGTTCAACAAGCAGATCCTTACTCTACTGAACAAGAAACGCCTGACAGATGGTAGGTGTTCAGCCCTCTTCTGCTATCTATCATCTAATCAATGTCAATTCTAGTTCTACCTACCCTGCTTGGGGATATCAATAATCGTATGATTGGCTGGGGCAAGCAAGGCCGGTTTGATCCCTTCAAGAACATATATGATGTATGCATCTTCCGATATGTGCCCCGTGCTCTTTGAATTAACAAATTTCTAGCTCGTATTCCAGATGACCGTCCGAATGGCCAGTTGCTCCGAACTGGCGAACAACAGGGAAGTTCTCGACGAGATGCAGAATCTTTATTGGCAGCTGGAGAGGAGTGCCACCCCGACCGCTCTGCTCCTACCTTGGTTCCCAAGCCCTGCGAAGAGAAGAAAAGAGGCTGCAACGAAGGCTCTTTTCGAAAAGCTCCATGGCTTTGTCGAGGATCGAAGGAACGCAGAAGTCCCTTCGACTGATGCGGTTGATGTACTGATTGCGCAAGGCCACACGAACGTCGATATTGTGGGCGTAAGTGGTCTCAGCGTCGATTGCTAGATGCTTGATGCTGAATGTCAGATTTTCTTGTAGTTCATTTTAAGTGTCATTTTTGCTGGCGTGATTAACACTGGCGTCAACTGTATGTCTCTGAACCATCGCCTCATAATGTCATATGCTCATCTCTCATCCCGACTTGTAAAGCTTGCTGGGCCCTCGTCTACCTTGCCTCACACAAGGACTGGAAAGCCAAAGCCAAGGCTGAGGTTGACGCCCTTATCGAAAAGCATATCGGTACCTCATCCGCGGAAAATCTCTCGAAACGACTCGCCTCTATTCCTATCTCGGCCTGGGAGGACGAAATGCCTGTCATGGAAAGCGTCATCCGGGAAACTCTCCGCATGACCATCACGGGAACGGCTCTGCGCCGAAACCTCCTCGAGGAGCTCACAGTCTCGAACGGAACGATCCAGAAGGGTGACTTTGTCGCGTACAGCCTGGTCGATGTGCATCGGGATTCTGAAATCTACTCCAATCCGTACGAGTTCGACCCTCGTCGGTTCGATGCCGGACGGGAGGAGGACAAGAAGGCGACGTTCGCTTTTATGGGCTGGGGTGCTGGTACGTCCTTCGCTTGGGTTTTTGTCTTCCTTGTCTGAACAGCCTTTCGAAGGGCGTCATCCTTGCACCGGTATGAAGATCGCCAAGCTGGAAATCAAGATAATTGTCGCCATGATGTTGGCTGGCTTCGACTTCGATGTCGTCGACAAGACCGGCGAGCACATGACAAAGATCCCAGTTCCCGACAGAAACGACATTCACCAGGTCCGTACCGCGTTGCTGTCGCTCTGAAGCTCGATATATGATCTGACGATGGACTTCATCTATTAGGCTCGACCTGTCGGAGAACCCTGCTTCTTCCAGTTTAAGAGAATCGTAGATTGATATGGTTGTGTTAAGCTTTCAGGTTATTTTTAGTATGTAAGACAATCATTGCGCTTTCTATCCAGGTCTGACTTATCTGAAATAGGTGTCGTAGTTCTGCTTGCGACATCCTGTACATTGAGTGCTTAAATGCCAGATTGAAGTCATTCCGAACGAACACCATCTTGGTCGCGTCCGCCATTATTTAAATGTCCCATTCGATGCGAACCCACATACAGTCGGACCCCTCTTAACCCATACCCCCTCCGTGGATGGTCTGGGGTATGGGTTATTGGGGGTTATGGGTTATGGGGAGTACTAAAAATAGACCAGAAAAATAGACGGAAAATTGGGTAAATATCTGGGTAAAATAGTCCAGTTCTGTGTCACTAAAAGTGAGTTCAGACATCAGACTGTCAAAATCAGTCTTGACTGAGGCGAAATCACGCTCTCGAGCTCATCTATGCGGTTGTATCTGTCTAGTGAGTGTACGAGGGCCATTTTTGCGCAAACCAACACAGTTTAGAGGGCGTATGACCAGCCTGATCAATTTGCACCTTCACAAGTGTTCGCTATGGGTTACCAAATATGGAGCACTCATGTCTGATTTGTAAGCGATTTGTCACTCTCACGCCTCTTTAAGACTCCATTCATCAGTTTTCGGCAGCTTTTGGGTGAAATCAAGGGCATTCCCATCAAACTGGGAGAGTCGCAACGAAATGATGTCCTGTAAGTGCCGGTAAGTGGCACCAAATATGGCCTGATGGCCGGTAAAACCTATGGGTTTTGCCTGAGAAGGGGTATGGGGTATGGGTTATTACGGACCTATGGGTTATGGGGTGCAAATCTCCGCCCACCAAGTTGGTGGACTGAAAATCCTATGGGTTATAAGGGGTTATGGGTTATCAGGAGTATGGGTTAAGAGGGGTCCGACTGTAACATCACGATTCAGGCACGAAACCACCTCAAGCAATCTTTGTGATTGGCTAACCCAGCCCAGTCGACGCCCACTTTATGTATTGGTTCTCCCCGTGTTTCATCAAGTCTAAAGCTCTTGTCGGGCAAGTCTTCTCGCCGGCTGTACAACGGTCGTACTCACGAAATCTTGGAAGCCTGGTTTCACTACAACAAGGACTCAATACTGCGCACTGCAAACATTTAATGTCAATCAATATAGGGTCCCAATGGAACGGTCTCATCGGGGCGCCTCTAGCTTACATTTTGATTGAAGCCGTCAAGATCAAGCTGCAAGCAATCTGCTTCTCGAGACTCGAATGGGAGAACAAAGAGAAAGCACATGACCTCTCTCCCGACGCGCTGAGTTCAACGAGAAGGTTGCGTCTCAATTGCGACTCTAGGATGCAGACGACTAAGTAGGTCACAAATGGCAATTAACGCGCCGGACGCGTTAGCACCGCATGCCTCGAGCGGCCACCTCGGCCCAGCCAATTCAGGCTCTGCCCTTGCCCTTCAAAGGTTCAGGTTTGCCGAAGCCTGCTGCAGCGCCGCCGTCGACCACATCGGCCAAGCTTGAGAGGAATATATTCCTATGCAACCCTAAGTTCTCGGACAGGCGATGAAAACTCCGAACTGTCAACAAATCGCAACTTGAATGGCACCATAAGTATGTTTTTGTCTTCTTTATCACAACTGACAATCATCATTCGAGTTTCGATCAGCCTCGTTATTCGGGCCTAATGATTGGGCGTCGCTAAGTCCATGGGGCAAAGTCTGCGCTTGGTGACAGCATGGCGTCCACAGGGCAGCAGTAGAAAAGCGGCAACTGTACGAGTGTTCCCTTCTTCCAGCCTATTTCCCCCCACCTTCTATCGTCGGTTCAGAGTCTGAACTTATAGAGTCCTGATTAACGATGTCGCTCAACGCTACGCTGCAGGCCGTACCTTCCATTCTCCGAGACTTCTCCCCGGTCGGCGCAGGTGAACTTGACCTCCTACGATCAGCGTCGACAGTCTCTGCTGTGCTTCTGGCGATTTACGTTTACCGTCTGCTCGCCCCGAGCGCGAAAGGGTCTATCAAGCAGCTCGGAGGCATCCCAATCATTACTGCTTGGACGTTCTTCACCAAGCGGTATGATTTCTTGTGGGGACACTTCAAGAAGTCAACGGACCCACATTTTAGGTTCCAGGTTCTGCAGGTATGTTGTACAGTACGACAGAAGGTTTCTGGAATTAATCTGATGACGACGACTTGACGGATAATAGCATCAGGTCGTTGCCTTGAGAGGCGAGGAGGCACGTAAGGCATTCTTCGACACGAAGAGCTTGGATTTCATCGAGGGCTACAAAATCCTCATGGGCGGCGTAAGTACTCGGAAGTCCGTTGCCATACAGGCGTTCAATGATAACGTCGCAGGCGCCCCGCCTGAACGACATTGATGTCAGCGACAAGGGCGGCGACGTCCCTTGGTTTAACAAGCAGCTCCTTTCTTTATTGAATAGGAAACGGTTGACTGATGGTAAGAGGCGATATGATGTCGAGCCGTTGATATGTTGCGACGAATAGTTAACTCAATGTGAAGCTCTCCCCACCCTCCTGGACGACATTAATAATCGTATGCTTGGCTGGGGCAAGACAGGCAGCTTCGACCCTTTCAAGAACATCTATGATGTATGTTCGCTCCCTTTCATGGTTCGTCGACTTATGGCTCACTTTCCTTTCCAGCTCGTCTTCCAGATGACTGTCCGAATGGCGAGCTGTGCCGAGCTCGCCCAGGATATGGAAGTGCTCAACGAGGTGCAGAAGCTCTACTGGACGCTTGAGAAGAGCGCCACACCAACAGCCCTCCTGTTGCCCTGGTTCCCTGGCCCAGCGAAGAAAGCCAAGGAGGCTGCGACGAAGGAGCTGTTCATGAAGCTCTACGGCTACGTCGAGTTAAGGAGAAATGCAGAGGTACCGTCGTCGGACGCCATTGATGTGTTGATTGGCCAGGGACTATCAAGTCAGGAGATAGTCGGGGTATGTCATGGAATCCAGTCGTTGAGCTAAGGTTAACGAATTTTATTCCCAGTTCGTCCTCGGTGTCGTTTTTGCAGGAGTTATCAACACCGGTATCAATGGTATGTCGTTCTCGAAGTACCGTTCAGGTGTCCAGCAGAAAACTGAGATGGGAATTCCCATAGCTTGCTGGGCGCTGGTCTACCTAGCCTCGCACAAAGACTGGAAAGCCAAAGCCAAGGCTGAGGTTGATGCCCTCATCGAGAAGCACACGAACACCTCATCGCCCGAAATACTTGCCAAGCGACTCGCTGCCATCCCTGTGTCGGTCTGGGACGACGAGATGCCCGTGATGGAGGCCGTCATCCGCGAAACGATCCGCATGACGCTGACGGGGACGGCGTTACGCCGGAATCTCATTGAGGAGCTCACGGTGGCGAATGGAACGATACAGAAGGGCGACTTTGTCGCGTACAGCATTGCTGATGTCCACTTGAACGACGAGATCTACTCCGACCCGTACACGTTTGATCCAACCAGATTTGATGCCGGCCGTGAGGAGGACAAGAAAGCGACCTTTGCGTATATGGGATGGGGTGCCGGTGAGTTCATCATTTACTCCTTTTAAAGTTGATTTTTTGACCGCGCACGATAGGACGCCACCCGTGCACAGGCATGAAAGTCGCGAAGCTGGAGATCAAGGTCATTGTCGCCATGATGCTGGCTGGGTTCGACTTCGACATCGTCGATAAGGCCGGAAAACCTATGGCGAAGATCCCGGTACCAGACAGGAATGACATTCAGCAGGTGCGCGATTTGCCTTTCATTCCGTGTTAAAGTTTCAAGGAAGCATTCATCTAATGCTCTGTCCTTTCCAGTCGAGACCCCTTGGAGAACCGTGCTATTTCAAGTTCAAGAGAATCGTAGACTGATAGAGTCCGGATGTGGTGTTACACTATGATCCTAGGATAGATAGTGGATAAAACTATTGAGAAACCCCATTTTCGGGTCAAACCCCGGGTTTCCGCAGAAACCCGTGTAAAAGCGATGAATGTGCTTGTAACCGGCCGAATCATGCCGACGTGCGGAGTTGAATATTCTGAGTAGAGGCTCGCAGAAGTCGACCTTCGCTGCTGTCTCGCACAAGTCTCGCAGCTCTCGGGCATGGATTGGAGATCCTTAAGCTTGTAGTATCTTGGTAATTTGACTTTATTTCTGAATGTAGCCCTTCTCATCCTTATTTCAGGGTTGTAAATTGTAAATTCCAGGAGACGATGCCCTCCGAATCCTGATCACTGAGAGTATGACAATTTGGTTAAAATGGCCGCACTCGCCAACCTTCGTTTCACATTTTGGCCAATGGACTAGGCCTATAGGTCAGAGCTGTGCCCCTTCAGTTTTCGTTGTTCCCTCACCACGACAATGGCTCACTGGCCGAGTTTTCGAGAGTATGCATCGCTGCTGCTAGCATCTTGATTGTTCAGTGTTTTTTTTCTCAAAAACTCATCATTTATCAAGTACCAGAGATAGACTTAACTATCCCACAATTTCAGACCATTCCGCCTCTGCATGCCGGCCTATTTCTTCAACATGAGCTAAGTCCTCCGAGAGTACAATTACAGCGGAGATTGAAACCTTATCAGCGTCAATTGGGTTTCCAAATAAGCGATGGGGTTTCTCCGAAAAATGGGGTTTCTCAATAGTTTTATCCATAGATAGTTAGTTCTGTTGCTTTAAGTCGTTCGTGTCCGAATGTGTATTCTACATTTTTAGTGAACCCACGTTGTCAGTCGCCTTATCAACTGGAAACTATTGAAAATGGTTGTCTAAAGAGTGCGGGACAGCCTTACGGAAGAAGCCTGAGACACGATCTATCCGCCGGAGGAAGATCCCATCTCCCCCTCAATCCTCCATACCTAATTATAAGTGATCATGCGAATAGAGCATAAGGCAGTATGTACATAGCACACTTAAAGAGTCACTCTCACTAACGCACACCTAGCTCTCTCGGCATGCTCAACTCTTTGAGTGTTGGCGTTCTCATAGATGATAGTTCCGAAACACGATTCCTGGTGGGCGTCACTACAATTTAATGCGATCGCGTTACTGCCGAACGCGGAGGCAAATTGCCATAGGCGATTCGATTAGTTGCCAGCTATACATATTATCTGCAACGTCGCAGAACGACAAGATGTGACGATTGTATTTATGTCTTCGCGCAGCTGTAATCGCGTACTCAGGGGTGTACGCCACTCTTATCAAACGCGTACACAAACGATGATAGTCAACAACATGTCAAAATGCCGGTATTGCTTGGCACGTCTCGGCGCTCTTTGGAGTCCATTGACCAAAGAGACTTGAAAGAGGCCAGTGGGTTGGTCAAAGAGATTGGAAGCTATTGGAAGGCGCACAAACCAAGAATTTGTGGAACCACTTTTAAGTGACTCAGCACAAGCTCTTTGGCCGTGATTTCCGACGAGAAGCAGGTTCTGCGTGGCAGATAGATCTCGGGGGTTGTGAGAGTGGACTTGATGGAGACTACGGGCGGCGATGAGGGCATGTTCCAGCAGAATATGTGGCTAGTAATTGGGCGATAATGAACCTGAGAAAGAAGAGGGCGGAGAGGGAGGCTAAAGCGTTGATGACGGGGTTTGTGATGACCGTGGGAAAGCTGACGGTTGGTTTGCGCCAGTTTGGGCAAGAGGAGGCGAGGCACAAGCGGACCTGCAGTCTTTTCACCAGGACCTGCTCTCCGAAGGCTTTCATCCGCGGTGCAAGCCATGGCTTCCGCAGGAGCCCCGGTCCTGCCCCCCATGCCCGACTTTTCATCACACAACAATCCTTTTTCAACCGCAGGCGACATGAAATTTCACCTTCAAAACCTGCTTGACAGCAAGGAGAAGCAGCTCCAACAAGCAGGCAGTCTCGGGCAGCGGGTTCTTGCCCAACAGATGGAGTTGGAGGAGCGCATACGGCAGCTGCAGGAGCTCGAGGCAGATAAGGACGAGGACGATGAGATAGACGAAGACGCTCGCGACCGCTATCGCGAGCTTGCGGACACTATCACGGCCTGGGACCAGGAGAACGCGCAGCTATCAAGTGCCTTTGGTGGCAGCTCAAAGGTGCGTGGCATTCAGTGGCATGCCCTCCAGGCAGTATCCCAGCGGCTCTAACACTCCGTATGGCCTCCTAGCGCTTTCTGAATGGTGCCTCGCATTCGCCTGCCGCACCTTACTCGGACCTGCCTCGCGAGGAACCAGAACGTGTAAAGCCTTCTGCGGGGACCTCGGCTGCACAATCGCGACGCGCAAAAAATGCCGCCCATCGAGCTGACGACGTCGGTACGACCCCTCTCTCGCTTACGTCTACCTCATCACCCGTGGAACTCACCGCTCATGCTCCACAGAGTTTGCGTTCGAAATCGGCAGCGGGCTCCTTACCGAAGTCAGACGTCTTCAGAGTCTCCTCGGCGAACGGGACAAGGCTATTCAGGACATGAAAGAAGAGAAGGATGACCTCGAAAAGTCTGTGGAAGCACTCAGGACCGCCCTAAGGCAGCAAGAGCAAAACGCTGGTGCGTTCAGACTCATGATCATCATACTCCTAGCTACGGGCTCATCTGTTCCGCAGATAATTCCAAGGAAGAGAACTGGAATCTGCTGGTCACCCTCCAAGAGATCCGCACACAACTCAGTGACTCGCAAGCCACCGCCCAACGCCTCGAATCCGAAACCAAGCAACTCACTCGAAAACTTACCCTTGCCCGTGATGCTGAAGACCAACACAAGAATGAAAGCGAACGCCTCCAGAACATCATTGAAGAGATGAAGGCCAAGCACGAGACAGATGTCGCACAGGCTCGTAAGAACGCAGCTGGTCTTGCACGCGATAAATCCGATCTTCAGCAAACAATCGACACCTTGAAGGCTGAAGCTGCTCGCGCGGCAAGGCGTATTCCTCGGTATGGCTCGCCTCTCACACCCGGGAGAGACGACCAGAAGGACTTCCTAACGCCCGCTGGACACGACATAGACGGCGAATCTGACATCTTTGGCACCACAGGACGAGGGTCCGTCAACCGCAGGAATCTGGATGTCGCGGGCCTGTTCCCTCCTGACGATCTAGGAGACGACTTTGGCGACTCCCCCGAGCCCTCACCCCTCCGCAAGCCCTTCCTGGCGGCGAACCACCCGAGCAACGAAATCGAAGCTCTCCAACAAAGGCTGGCACACGCCCAGAGGCAGATCAACACGCTCAAAGGGTCATTGAACCGTGAGAAGCAGCTCCGTATGCGGTTGGAAGGCTCGGCCGGTGGCGCGGGTGCAGAAGATGACGGCGAAGATGAGGAGGGCGAGGAATATGCGGACGAGAACACCGCTGTGGCTGAGAAACAGCGCGCTCCGAAGAGATTGACGCCGTTCAAGGTTGGAGCTGGACGTGGGCGTGGAAGAGGTCGCGGTCGGGGTGGTATTTCCCTTATTCAACGACTGGGGATGGCCGCTTCGAGCCCAGCCTCTGCATACAACGACGATGGCGAACCAAGATTAGACGACTCGCCGCCGCCGCCCGTGCCTTCACTCCCAAGTCAATATGGCCAATCCTTCGACGATGAAGACGAAGTCTCGCAGTTCTTCGGAAGCAACCAAGACCACAACCAACAGCAGGAGAACGAGGAAGAAGAGGAACCAGCGCCTCGATCACCTTCTCCGCCCGCCCCGCCTTCGAACCGGACGAGTGTGGATGGCATGGACCCTGCGTTTGCCAACGTTCTGCGCCGTGTGCCCTCCAACGGATCCTCATACGGTAGCCCTCTCCGCCAGGCCGTCCTCGGCCGCTCAGCGCGCGGCGGTGCTCGCCGTCCGAGAGGTGGCGCCGCGTTCCAGCAGGCGCGGCCGCCGTCGATCGTCGACGCGCCCGAAGTTTTGTCCTTCGAGCTTGGCGGTGTCGACTCATCTCCTTTGAAAGGAAACACATCGCTGTTGAATGAAGCGGAGATCATTGAAGAGGGCGAGGATGGTGAGGAGTATATCAGGGTGAAGAAGGTCGAGAAGGTCGAATTTGGTTGCCAGACCGAGGTTGTAGAAGAGGAGAAGACGGTCGTGCTGCCTGAACAGCCAGTCGTTGGCCCAGCGCTGGTTGAGCCACCGAAGCCGGCGGTGATGCACATGGAGATTGGCATTCAGTCAGAGCCGGAGCCCATTCCTGCGCCTGTACCTGTGGTGGTGACGCCCAAGATCGTCACTGCAGAGATGGCCCTCCAGACGGAGCCTGAGCCAGCCGTTGTGGTCGCGAAGTCTGATATGGCGATCCAGCATGCTGCTCCGGAGCCTGTTCTACCTCCAGCTCCGGTCTTGGTGGACAGTGGAGTTGCCACCGATCCACTGCCCGAGCCTGTCTCTGTTGGCAAAGGCTTGCCTCCTCTCGTCATTGCCGATGGCAGCCGAAGGTCGACGATCACTCAATACGACGTCTCGCGTGCAAGCACCAGCGCTGGCGACACAACTATTACCCGTAGCTTCCTGGCTGCAGGTCGGGTTGACGAAGACGATGAAGAGCTGGACGATGGCGAGGAGACAGAGACCGGTGCCGAGACCGAGGACGACTACCACGACGCGAGGCAGAGCATTGCAATGACTACGCCCTCGGAGGACTTCCACTCTGTGCTGACGATGACAGACAATGACTACTCGGACGACGACGACGACGACGCAGAGAGCATCAAGGCCTCTCATTTCGCCCGCTCGACAAGCTCGATCGACCGCCCAGCGACCTCAGCGTCATACTATGAGCATACACCTGCAAGCTCAACGTCGCAGGTATCGTACGAGACCGTTGGTGTCAGCGCAAATCTGTTTGTGCCACCGGAACCCATCATCAAGTACGTCGAGGTTCCGGTGGAAGTTCCGGTGGAGGTCCCAGTGGAGGTCGAAGTTCAGGTGCCAGTCGAAGTTCAAGTACCAGCGCCGAAGCCGGAGGTCAGGGAGATTTCGATCCAGACAGACGACTGGAAGCCGCCTGCACCGGTGCTCACACCTGTCTTCATCCCGCCGCCAGGGCCCAAGCCGCTCGCCTCGCCTGGTCTCTTCCGTGTTGTGTCTGCGACTCAGCAGTTCCAGTTCATCCCTCCTCCCTCAGCAACTTCTTCCAATGGACATCCGTTGGCGAGCCCTGGGCCCATGTTTACGACACCCTTACCTTCACCAGGTCCCCTCGCCAGTATGTTCCGCGAGTCCAATGGCACCCTTGCCCGTCGTACAACAGGTTCTGACAGACGCCAGTCGATTGAGTCGCTCGTCTCGTCGGGTACCGGCCCAGAGGATCTGTCGAGCAGGTCGCGTGTGCCCTCATCGTCGACGACTGGCAGTGGCCTATTGACGTCTGTAGACAAGACGAGGCCGCCGATGATGTCTCTACCTCCGCCGCCCAAGCTGCCACCCCCGCCGAACAGCATGCCTCCACCTAACTTCATCCCAGACCGCAGGATGCTTGCGAGCTCGAGTGGATCGCACGATGGACCTCCGCCAAGACCCTCTTCGCCTCCACCGGCAGAACTGATTCAACGAGCAACAACGCCTCTGGGCCACTTGCTGTCTGCGTCAGGAGGCAAGTACTCCAGCGTTGGCCGCCAACATGGATCGAGCATGCCTCCTTCGCAAGCCAACCTACGCCAACCGCCATCGACAAGCAGCTTCAGGTCGGCTGCCAACGCTGCCAGCCACGCCTCCGTGCCTCCTTCGCAGACCCTTTCATCGTACAACGTCAGAGAGTCAACACGGAGAGAGTTCTCTTCAGCGTCTCTTACTTCCGAGCGCAGTATGGCGTCGCCACGGTCGTCTATGTCTTCTGAACACCGCCCGTATGCGTCCCCCGTGCGCGGGCCCAACGAGCCCCCGACAACGCCCAATAAGACGGCGGACATTACCCCACGGGCTAACCAGAATCAGTCCACGGACCCTGCCGTCATCCATGCCATCACCCAGACAATGATTGGCGAGTTCATGTACAAGTATACGCGCAAGGCGATCGGCAAGGGCGTGGGCGAGAAGAGACACAAGCGCTTCTTCTGGGTCCATCCGTACACCAAGACACTCTACTGGAGCTCGGCGGACCCTGGCTCATCGAACGTCTCCGAGTCGAGCGCGAAGAGCGGTATGTGGTTCTTGTTGCTGCCGCCGACGAGGGCGAAACTGAGGAAATTCTTACCTGATGTTCATCTAGCGTATATTGAGGGCGTCCGCTCGGTGCTTGATCCCAACCCCATGCCGCCTGGTCTGTACCAGTACAGCGTCATCGTGTCCACCCCGCAACGTGAGATGAAGATCACTGCTCCAACGAAGGAGAGGCATGATATTTGGTTGAATGTATGCGCGCTTCCTTGTGTGCCTCTTATCTGCTTTGTGTCTAACGCGGCTTGTAAAGGCTCTCAAATATCTCCTTGCTCGTCCCAGCAATCCGAATATTATGTCTCCTGGAAACAACACCGAGTTGCCTCAGACTCCAGGTTCGGGAGAAACAGATGATGAACGGATATCTCGACCTCGTGCTCTTGCGAGTCCTAGAAGCCAGCGTAGCGGTAGGAGCATTGGGAGGGGCGATCAGTGGAATACGACACCCCGTGGGCAACGCAGTCGTTCGCAACTCTCAGTGGGCGGATCCGTCAGCAAGCGCTCTGGAACTCCTGCACTCGAGTACTTGAGATGGAACGCTCCTGAGAGCCCATATAGCCCCGACCGCTCTTTCGTTGACGTTCCAGCTCAGGACCCGGAAGATCTTGACTTCGAGCTGCACGACGAGTCGTCTGAAGAAGGTTTCGAGGGCCTGGAGAATGTCCGCGCCTGCTGCGATGGCCGGCACACCGTGGGCCACTCTGGGAAACACTACCACCATCATCACAACCACCCTATTCAGAACCAAGGCACTCTCACGAGCAGAAGAAGCACCGACAACCAACACCTAGATCCCGGTCCTCAGGTGCAAGAGCGTCCGTCGTCGCCTGCTTGGTCGTTCCGTTCGAGGACAGGCAGTACTCAATCGCATGATGGCGGTGGTCTATTCTCGTGGGGCCGCGGCGAGGATGGCAAGCTTCGATTCGGCTCGCGGCGTTCTGCGAAGACCTCTGTTCCTGCTCACGACTAATACCAGAATATCTCAAGCACGCTTTTAGTATCTCTTTGGGTTTTGGATATCCCCTATTACCCCCTCTCGACTTCGTTACGACCAGTACCCACATCCCCTTTCTGCCTGCCTGCCTGCTTGCCATACATAAATTTGTTTGCTGTTGAACGCTTTCTGTCTTTGTCGTTTGTCATCGTCTGTTTTGCTCAAGCTATGATCCTTTCTAATACACTTTAGTTGGCTCATATATCTACGTTCCTTTTCTCGTTTTTGAGTTCCTCTATCAGCTTATTTTTGTATGCAATCTTGTGCCATTATCACAAAGAATACCACTCCTTTCCCTAATCATGGGCTCGGCTCATCTCCTTTTTCTTGGTCCCTCCTTGTCTGGATCTGAAAAGGTTTAAGAACTTATCAACCTGTTCATCGACTGGCGAATTATTGCGGCAACACTCTTGAGCAAGGCGACCTTACAGTCAGAGTCACTCTAAATCTGTACATAACAAGGATACGAAGGACCGGCTATATTTTATCGCAGGTAATACATTCGATTCAAGCAAGAGAGGCGAGACGTCATCAGGATACACAGCGAGCTACGCTCGAAAGGAAAAAGAGGAGAGAGACACACTTATACACAAAAAACGACACGGTCGACCCAGTCAGTAGCAAGTATATATGCAACCGAACCATCACAAGAAAATCCCAAGGGTAGGACAAACACAGACATGAAGGGAAGAATTGAAGGGATAAGAGAACATGCATATGAAGAAAGGAAGAAAGGAGAGGAGCGCAACGTGGGTGGAATGTGTAGGAGCATGTAGGGTGCCAAGTATGTATGTTTTAGAAGGCGAGGATGATAGTCCCATACACGAGCGTAGTTCGAAGAGAGGGAAAAAAGATAATAAACAATGCGTAAATAAGGAGAGCAAGGCGAGAGGCGGAATTGAAAGAGATAGGCTCTAAGACAGAAAAGGCGAGCGAGGAAAAAGAAGTGCGGAAACAGAATCGGACACACCACTATCAGGAGACAAAACGAGGAGGGAATTGAGGCGAGGATAGGGAAAGGGATGTAGGAGTTCGTCAACGTCATCGAGTCGTAGACATGTCCTTGCGATATACAGACGTGGCAGTACTTCGAGATGGATGGAGGAATGGACGAGGGACTGGGCGTGCCCTAATCCCGGGGCAACGTCAATAGATAGGCAGGCGGAAGTGGACTTGGAGCGTTGAGGTGCTGGCGTTTGGGGGCGAGAGTGAGTGATAAGGGGTGTAGGTGGGTGTGGGCGATGTGAAGTGGGGTTTACGATACAAGGGTGTGGGTGTGGGTGGTGGGTAGGATAGTGGCTCATGGCGATCATGAAGGTGAGATTGAGGTTGAGGTTGTCGTCCGTGGTAGTTGATGGTTGTCTCTTGTCGTGCGAGGTGAAGACGTTGACAGGAGGACGACCAGTCCAGCTGCCAGGCCCGTGTGCACGCAGTCTCCGGGTCGTCGTCAAATATAAAAACCTCGTCCCGACAACCTGACTGCCTCGTCTTTCGCAGGCTGCCCATGACACCTCGCACTCCTCGACCCCAAACCCGATCCTTGCCTCTGATCTTCTCGGAGCTCGTACACTCACCTCGACCCCATAAACCAACCGAGTGGATCTCGTCCTAGTCCTCATCCTCCCGTTCATGTTCATCCAGCCCAATCCATCACACAGATGGACTGGCCAACCAGCCAACCTCCCTCAAGCACCTCCAACCTATGGCGACACCTGCAGCTTGATTGATGACCTTGAGAGTATGAACGACCCCGACGTCGGCGAGAGCGGGGGTTGAGGCGGGCTGGCGGTCTTCGTGCCCTTATCGGGAGCCCTATCGCCCTTAGTAATATTATTGCCCTTGTCGTTATCACCCAAAGGTGATCCCAAACCCGAAGGTGACCTTAAGGGCGACCGCAAGCTTCTAGAGGAAGCGGCAGTGGCAGTTGCACTCGAGCTGACGGTCGACCCCGAGCTCGACCTTGATGCTGGCGGGTGATGGGGCGGGGGCGGGGACGAGGTCGGGCATTGAGGTTGGGATTGATGTTGAGGTTGAGGTTGCTGGAACTGAGGCTGTTGGAATTGAGGTCGAGACAGAGAAGGAGGCTCCTGAGGCTGGTTCCACCCCTCTCCACCCCCCGGAGTCGGCACGACCGTCTGCGCGAGCGCCGCCGGTATCGCCACATGTCCCATCGCCGGCGATGTTGCAGCCGAGGGTACGGGGGACAACTGGTTGTTGCTGTTGTTGAACAGCGCCGCGAGCCCGCTCAGCGTGCCCGCACTCCCGCCCCACGAGTTGCGCGACGCTTTCCTATTTAGGACATGCAAGAACCCATCCTGCGCTCCGGCTCCCGCCAACGTCGGCATCGAGGCAAGCAGCGACGGGTCATTGTTCGCGGCGCTCACGCTCGCACCAGCGAGCACGTTCGGGCCGAGCTTCTGGCTCTTCTTGCGCATGCTGCCCAGGCGGCTCGCTGCTCTGATCGCCGCGTGCGCCGCACTGGTGGTGGTGGACGTCGTGTGGTGGGAGGAGGTTGTGTAGTGCGAGGAGGTAGCAGAGTGGTACGATGACGACGCAACGGACACCGTCGACTCGTTCCTTTGTCTTGGTGGGAGGCCTCGCCCCTCGCCCGCGCCCGACCCCGACCCGGCAGAGGACGACTTACTAGACGATGACGAGGAGATGGGGGAGAACGGGAAGGTAGACTCGGACTCGGACGGCGAGTCGGGGATGGAGAGCGACTCTTGGTCGGACCGGACGGAGGCGGCGGGGGTGTAGGGCGGCTGCGGCATGCTCTTGAAGGTGGGCAGGGTCAAGGGGAAGACCGTCAGGTAGCAGTCGGACTGTCTCGGCGACGTCGGCGGGGGAGATATCGAGTAGCACGTCGACGCCGTTGAGGGTGGGGGTGGAGGCAGTGGTGGAGACGTTCGCATCGAGGAGGAATGTTTGGCCTTCTCCTCCGCCTGGCGCGCATTGACGAGCTCCGCCTTGCGCCTGCCCCACGTCTGCAGGTTGTTCTTACAATGCGTGAGGTGCATCGACATCTCGGGCACTGCTCTGACGGTGAGGTCGAGCAGGGGCTTGGCGAACCGGGTGATGAAGAATATCTGCGACTCGGTCTCCTTGATGGGGTCGTCGGAGGACATGACGGAGGGCTGGAGCTGGAACTCCTCTTCGAGGTGCGCCTGGGCGGTCCATTCTTGCATGAGGGCGTTCGCCCAGTGCTTGGAGACGAGGAACGGGCGGGTCTGTACATGTGTGGGTGAGTGGGAGCGAGCGAGAGGGAGTCAAAAATATATGCAGTTAGGATAGGTGGGTAAGAGATAATAGGCAAGGTGACGTACCGGGTTGCTGATATCCGCATTCTTCAACAGCGCCTGGCAGATGATGATCTGCCGTGCGCACAGCGACGACGCCTCGCCCTCGATCGCCCGCCTGAACCGCTGCATAAAGTCCTCATGGACACCCATATCCGTCGCGATCACCGACTGCCAGAGGATCTTCCGGAACTGGCTCCCGTTTTTCGGGTCATCGAGGAGGATACCCAATCCATGATGCCGCATCACTCGCAAGAGCAGCTGGCAATGCATCTGCTCGAGTGCGGAACTGTGATCGAAGACGAGGGATAATGGCGTCTTGGCATTTTTCTAGTGGTGGGTAGAGAGGGCGGATGAGCCCGGGAGAGGCGGACTCGATGTTAGTCACGGTGCCGGGTGTAGTTGGGGAAGATGTAGGGCAAACGCACCATGAACATATTTGTGAACCCTGGATGGCCGACATCGTGCCCAATAGCGGCGATATAGAGCATGAAAAGCTCCCTAAGCCCGAGACACGAGACGAGGGAGCCGCTATCGAACGCCTTCTTGGGTTTCCAGAGCCGGTTTGGTTCGAAGAGGATCGTGGGAGATGGGACCATGCCTGCGGACTTGAGGTAGGACTGGCAGGCCTGGAGGACGTCGAGGGCGTGCTCGAAGTTGTGGTAGGTGTTTTCGTAGCGGTATATGCGCCTTAGGTGGTGGATGAATGCGGAGATTTGGTCTGGACAGGGCAGGGCAAGGGTTGGTCGTATGACGGCAGGTGGCGGGCAGAGAGACAGATAGGGTTACTCACGCATGGAGAGGGGGATGGCGTCCCGCATGCCCTCGACGCGGAAGAGGGCTTCGAAGAGGATAAGGGAGCATGCAAGGACCTCTTCGTCGGGCAGCTTGTGCGGCTCGAAATGCCACCGATCGAGGGCGCGGATGAGGCGGGATCGGACGGCGTCTGGGAGGTCGGCGGGGACGCTGCAACGCCGCACATCGTCAGTATCGCCGCACAGACCACTCTGGATGGACGTACGAGTCGAGGCTGTTGTCGTTGACAGAGTTGAGGGTTTCGGTGTACATGTCGCTGAGCATTTCCGCGTAGATAGTCCTGATATGCACATATGCTGAGCACCATACCAAAAACACAGGGGGAGAAGAGCACTCACTCGACCTGCGCAGAGTCGCCGCCCATCCATCCTTGACCTTGGCCCATGCCTTCTGTTGCGAGCTGGAGGCCCCCGACATCTGCACTACGACGGCGCCAGTCGCGGGGGACGACCCTGTGGTTGAGGGGTGGCTTTTGGTCGAGGACGACACCGCACATGGCGTTGGTGGGTGGATCGAGGTGGGGCGGCGGGGACGGCGTTGGCGATGAGCAGAGGTGGGCGATCGGTGGAGTGGACGGTGTTGAGAGTAGTTAGTTCGCAGGCAGAATAGTCGCCGGTCGCGTGGTTGTGCCAAGTAGCCTCTCGTGGCCTGCGCGTGGGTTTTTCCATGATCGCCCTCAGGACCCCAGTTACTCCAACCAAAAATACAAAAATCACTACAAAACATTTTCTAGCAAAGTCCAACCGCTTCCAGCAGAGAGCAGACAATCCTGTTAACTACTTTGGCAAAGTACCCTCATCGAACGACCCTCCAGCTATCGGGTACTATTTGATCTCCCCGCCGTCCCCGGGGTCCCGCCTCGCTAAGTAATCAATCTCCGACTTCATTTTTCGGCCACTCGTTTCAGCGACCGAGCCCAGCGTGCCTGGCAAGCCCAAGCGCCAAAAGCCTACTTTTACCGTGGTCTCTCCTGACAGCACCTCGAGGCAACCCCCGACGCACCCCAGCGCACACAGAACTCAAATACTTACATCGAGCTCGCACTCAGTCTCCCATGCAGATCCCTCCTTACCCCCACGAACAACGCCTCAAAACACGAGGAAGAGGGCACGCCCCGTGGCACAATTCATTCACAACTCAGAAGCCTCCTTTCCCACAAGATCCCCTCGAGATATCGGGCCTTTTCGTAACACGCCCCGTCCGCTTCCTTCCAAGCTTCACGAATCGCTAGGGAATCACTAGGGGCCCGCCCGGAAAATCCTTTGCTGATCCCTTCGAATTCTTTGCATCCACCTCCGTGTCCTTCGAAGGAAGCTGCGTAAACGCGCGGACACAATCTGTCGCCCCGGAAGAACGACGTCCTCGAACCCACCTAGTTTCTCCATCCGCCCCACCCATGGCCATCATCACCTATCATCATCTTGTCAACACCGTGTTAAATTAACTCACCCGCTCACGGTATCAGGAACTATTCTAGACACTCTGGATGGCTTTCTCACAGTGTCAACGCGAGCGCTGGTCCTCTTACTTAGGAAAAGGGCAGACAACGGTCCGTGCTCTACGGCGGCCTACTCTCGTCCTGCCCTGTCCAACTCTGTCGTTCCCACTCCACACCAATTGCCAATTCATCTAGTTCATCTCTCAGAGCCAAATCCCCTACCACGTTCCTGCCCTTTTTTCTGTCATTTCTCTGACACGCCCTCGTTATATTTGGAATTCCGTGCTTCCCAGTGGCGTTTTTTCTCTCTCTTTTTTTACTCTCACTCTCACTTTCACTTTCACTTTGCCGTGAGCTATTCATAACGGCGATGTCATTTATTCATTTGACCTCTGGAAGGATCTGCTCTCCGTAAAACGCGAAACTCTGTCGTGGATGTGGCCGTGCACGTTAACCACTCTATGTGTTTGGCGTGACGCAGTTGACGAGTCCGACGGCGGTAGGCAGGATCCATCGAGGAAAAATAATGGCAATGCCACCACCACGATATTGATCCAACATGGTCTTATTTTCTGTCTGTCTGTCTGTCTGTTTCTGTCACCAGCTTCGACTTCTAGGTTCTCTTCTCCCATTACGACACACATACACGCAATGCATGTGTGCCACGCTAGCCACCACTCTGGCTCTCACTCGTTCGGGCACGGGCACGGGGATCATTCAGATGCACGCACACAGACCCTAAACCCTCTCGTTCCAACTGGCTAACCTGTACTCCCTCGCATAATCGTTCTCACCTTCTTCTCCTCGATGATGATCGAGAAAGGCTTCGACAACCAACGGCCAACGCGCGTTTCGTCGGACCTCGTAGCTATAGGCTGATATTCTGGTCAAGCTCGTCCAACGAACTACTCTGCACCTTCTTTGCGATTGCTAGCAAGAGTACACAATCGAGTTAGTAGTACTTCCAAGCTTCGGTCTTCCAACAGTTTTAGACTTGGACTTGGAATTGGACTTGTTCACTAATGGGCCCGTCACGTTAGGTCCCACCTCTTAGCGCGCTATTAATACCTTCAAATACAAGTCCATGGGTATTCTTGGGTGTGGGTATCACGGCGCGGGCCCAGTGCACTCCGTGGGGCCACGTTTATACCAATATCCCATCGACGGCCCGTGTGCTGTCAGATCACCAGAAGGACACCCGGGAGAAAAGTATTTTAATGGCAGAGTTCGCGCGTCCGCAGTCATTGGTGGACTCTGGCAACCGGTTATCGATGAGCTTGAGGCTTGAAGCTTGAATGCTTCACGGCGTTCGACGTTCGACACCGGACCCGAGGTTACGCTACTTATGGTCAGGCTACAAGGTACAAGACAAGACGCACGGACGCCTCCCTACATACTCGACGTGTTAATGTTCTGGCGCTGGCGTTGGATTTTTGGCGTCCGCGTTTAGAGCCCAATTGTGGCGAGCGACGGCGTACGGGCGCTCTGAATGTGCCTTGGGAGGTTGGTACGAGACCCGAAGTAAGTGTGAAATTATGAGTTTAAGTCCACCTATCGTCGGGCGACCTGATAAGTACTTATTCAACTGGCTACTGATAACATGGTCGTACAGTGGGAGAAGAGAGAGGGGTCTCAAGTTCGAGCTTCTCCCTTGCTGTCTCACGCACTTATATAGTTTCCAGCCTCCGAGCCCTATAATACTTATGCCATAACGAAAACCACTGACGTCAACTACATGACAGAGGTGCGTCTACTTTAGCTTGTGCATCGACGCTTTCGCTTTGATTAACGAGAAAATGATACCGCACGGCCCTGTAGACCCTCCATTTACTACACTAAACCTGCCCTGCGGCGGCTCGAAACCCAAAGTAAGTATGCTTTGATTTCGAGTTCCATTGTTATCGGGTCTGACATTTGGCTGCTTTGCGTCCCAGTAAGTAAGTATCAACGAAACAAGCTGAAATGAGTTTCTTCCTCCCCAGTGAAGTTCCCCGATGAGGGATCCCTAGATATCATGTGCCAGCGGTACGTCCACTATCGCGCCTTCGTTATGACTACACCACCGAGGAACTGATAACGACAGACCTGTGTCCCGTACTAGGCTACAATCCATTATACATGGCTGTCAGTGCGCAAGTCCGACTCTTCGAACCCTTATCTCACCCGATATGGCCAAGCGGAATATCAGGCGTCTCGCGGTTAGCAACCCAAAAGGGGTTGTGGCGCTTAGCGCCAGGTTCCGTTAATTTATACCAATGTTGGATGTCCTGATATGCACGGGGGACATCCAGCTTAAAAGGTTCTCTACCAGAATCGTTCAACGTGTTGATAACAACAGAAATATGGTCGTTGATGACTCGGAGGTGCGATGCCCTCCGTACCGACCTTTTTGCGTTGGCTGATAAAGTATGTAGGGATTGCCACAGTGCTAGCAGAGCCTCACCTCTGTAGAGGCCTTATCGTCGTACTTCGAACACACAATACTCGGCCCTGCGATTGCGCTCGCCAAGCTTTTACGCGCTAGACCTTAACGTTTAACTCTGATCCATTTAACATTACACAGATACTCACAAGTTTACCCTGCAGCGGCTGTTACAGACATTCCGTTCAAACCCGGTTCTTCATGCGCAACCGTTCAAGCCAAGGCTTATGCCTCGATGGTCAAGATGCAAGCCGGGCGCCGGGCGCCTCACCATCGGTGGTCTTTGAGACCGACGTCGTCCTCACCCAAAAGGGGATGCTGATTTTAGCGCCTGCTACCCAGCTTCTGGGTACGGGTAATCTTGCCTGTGTTATCGGCACCTATCATATGTCGGTAAGCACCCGCACCGCACCCCATTTATTTTTGAATTTGACCTCGATGCACTCAACCTGACACTGACAGAGATTATTGTTTTAACCCTTCTTTCGCAGCCCTCACACGAAGCGACTCGCCTGCACGCGCAAATAAGCCTCAGCGCGATGCTTCTGCTCCTTTAAAGTTATATTACACAGCGCCCTGCACCCTCGACTTCGGCTTCGAATTGGGGCAGGTTCACGGCTAACGGCTGACGAAGGGGGCACCGCTAACGTTGGACTGTCGGACACCGTTGGAAACTGGCAACTTGGCGACTGGTCTGTTACGCACGAGTGTCAAAGAGCTCCACAGTGGCAGGCAGGAAGGATGAAAGCTGCTGATCTTCGGTCCGTACGCGGGCGTGGGCGTGAGCGTGGACGTATGTTCGGTGGCCCACAGCCGATCCTGCAAGTAGTTCTTGGTCTTCAGCTCTGGCTAAATGCAGAATCTGTTCGATGACACATTGTATTCGATATAGGGACATCGTGCGTGCGTTTTGTCGACGTTCGGCTAGGGGGGGGAGTGCTAGCGAATCGACGTCCTTGATTCTCAGATTCTGTTCGAATTCTCTTCCTCCTCTTGACTGCCACTAGGGGCGGGGCGTGCTACGGATTCCGGAAGCGTCCAATAAATTAATGCGCAGCTTGCGATCTGGTTTTTTGACGGTCCTCGTTGTTGATCTCAGCTCCATCTGGATTGCTAGGTTCGTGTGCTACCATCCGTCAGTACTTCAGTGGTGATCCGGACCGGGCGTGCACTACAGCCATTATCTGCACTAGGTGTCCTGGATCAATTACAAAACTCAAACTGAAGCTCAAGCTCAAGCGCCATACCTTCCTCTTCCGTACCACAGTCCAAGGTGTAAATAGGCGCTCTCGGTCATCACTGAGCGCTCAGAATTTTTCCGCAGCTCGTCGGGTAGAACTATCAAGACAACTGAATCAACCATCTACCGCATTTCTCGAGTAGTCGTGAATACTCAGCTGACTTTCATTTTCTGTCGCCGCTCTGTAGTCAGATCAAATTGTACAATCTGGGAGAGGAAGGTTTGATGGGATACTGAACACACGCCTGTCGTTCATCAAGAAACCTTGCGTTCTAGACTACGGCTCAAACATATACTTTCATGTCTATGCCTGCGCAGAGGCGCTTGAAAAAATCTACAGGCCGTTTTGGGGCTGGGAAAATTGGACCTCGTTTCGTGAGTGATCAGTTCATCCATTCGCACTGTTCTGATGAATTCCTCAGAGCTGGTGTCATTAAGATCATCGAACGTCTTGAAGAGGTAGATCGAGTGATACCTTACACCAGGTTAATAACTACATAACTGTCGAATAAAAGCACCGCAGGTCCGTCCAGCTTCAAATCGATTAGTCCCGTCCTTTGTTTTTGAAAAGGCACTGTCGGTCACCAATTCAAATTTTTATCAAGCCAAGTAACCGTGTCAGACCTGGACCCGGCATTCTTGAGCATGCGGTTTTTCCCCTCCTTCTCCCGTCTCTTCGAGACCCCAGGACTGCCGGGACAAGTCTCTTCCTTTCAAGAACATCGACGCGCGGGGTCAAAATCCGGGGAGTTGGTTAATTGACGGTGACAAAAGGCCAGGAGCTTTGCGATTGCTCGCTTTCCCCAAGGCGATAGCTGTGACGGTGTTTCTGATCGAACGGAGCCGTCTAGATGGTATTTCGTGCTGCTCGACAATGAGGACGACAGTCGACCCAGTGCTGTTTTGTCACTCTCGATTGCACCTTGGTGGGACTTTCATTCGCTTCCTCGTCGATCGTGCGGACTTAACAAGTCTAGGTCACCTATATCCTATCGTGAGTCGTGCACAGTCTCACTTTCGACACTCGACTAGACGTCGCCGTTTCTCGCTATAAAATTAGAACAAAACTCAGCGCATGATAAATTGCCCGCCATCGAACCCACTTCGAAGACCAGCCTTGGACCGTGCTTCTCACCACATACACGCTATAAAGCAGGCAGCTGGATGCAGCAGCAATCCCTTTAAATTAACATCGCGGTAGCCGACGATTTGGGAGCCTCGTTTTCTGTGCTCAGCGGAGCTTTTCTCTTGACTGCCTGCACATTTACTCCTTTCGATTGTCAAGATATTGAACCTAGTTCCTGGCTACCACTCTGTCGTCCTTATTCTCAACTCCGTCTCCGGGTTCCGCCTGGTGTTCGAGAGACTCGAGGCTCACTTGGCAAACTTGGCTTTCCGTTACACAACCCTGCAAGACTCTCGAGTCCACCTTGGAGCGCTGTCAGAGATATTTAATTAGTAGTATGGCACCGTGGACACTCCAATTCTAGCTCGACCGCTGGCTAGGCTTTTGTTGAGACGACAGACTATGCTGTCATATTCTATTGTCTCGCGAAGCATGCCTGTCTTTTTTTACCCTAACACAGCTTTGAGAATGGCGCGAAATTCTGGACGAGTTTTCAGTTGCAAAGTAACCTTATGGCTCATTAATTGAAGGAACCTCCCACCTCCGAGTCACTGCCACCCCTTTTCCGCATATCTAGTGCGCACATCCTCACAGGGACATTTGAACTGTCTTCGGGGCTTTCACCTCTGCAGTATACAGCTTTTCTCCCGGCCGAATTCAATTGGCTCAGCGCTTCTACAGTTCATTTATCTGATTGTTCCATGTCTAAAGCCGCCGTGAAACGATTATAGCTCGCAGTCTGAGCTCCGCTTCCCCTTCATTGGCCCTTGGAGCACCCTTATCGATGGATAACTCTACCTCCACTCTCTCCCGGTTCCCTTCCCGGCGTCCGACATAGAATGACAACTTTCAGGCAGTCTTGGCCGTGATAAAGGCTTGTCGAGATGTATCATATATGTAATCGGGCTCGAAGTCCGCAAAATATGACTCCGTGGCCCTAACCTGCTGAGTCTTCTGCGAATCCTCTCGTGAACCCAGGATCAGGCGGTCAACACATGCCTTTCACGTCCTGGTGCGCAGCGTAATTTCACAACACCCAGCTTCATTCGGATCTTGGGGTACACGGCCACGGGAAACACGGGCAGGGGTTTGAACACGCCTGAACTTCCGCCATGGTACCCAGACGCAGAGTAATGAAAGATGATGAGAAACCCTCGGTGGAAATTTATGAAATGCGTGCGGGATAATGACCCATGAACGTTTGAACTGTTGGCCTATTTGCCTTCTGCTAGTGGGTGTAGCAAGAGTCTGCAAGACTTTGAGCGCCTCATCCTCATCCTCCAACTCCGAGTCATAAGACCAAGTCTGATCAATAGCTATATCAATTCTAAGGGACGTAAACTATTCAACTACCTTTACTGCAATGTGACATTGACGGGAAATCCTGCTATGAGTGCCATATGAGGCTTCCTATAGCGTCATATTCTGGCTTAGATAATCGAGATACTTGATGGGGTTGGAGCGTACATGTGTCAAACCTGATGGTAAAAAGTTAAATTCGAATTTCGTACACCTTCGCTCATGCCCACATTTTCTTCGAATTCAGGGCGATCTGCGCATCACACGATGGCCAGACCTTTCCCAAGCAACGGTTTACTCCGAGGAGTAATGACCGTGCACTATCCAGGCCAGGTTGTGTAGGGAAAATGCCGGAGGTGTAGATGTTCAACTTAAGGCGGATTTTCCGGAATCCCCAAACAAAAAGCCCATCGTGGAATTTGTTACTTCATTACCGATCAATTATAAGGTCTCTAAAGACAGAACTGGACCAACGGCCTCACGCCGATCGAGAACGTAAATTGCGCATTAGATGGCCTGTCATGACCCCGATTCAGATCCATCGAGGGGGCACCGGTATTTCAAATGAACATCCCCCAATTCACAACTGATTCCGCGAAAACCTGACTGCGTAATAGATCACCTGCCTTGTGAGAGATTTGACGCTCCGCTGAAGTATGATGGGGCATCCGTCAGGATTGAAGAACTGAAGAAGTCTCTAGGAGGACTTCTTCTGCCGTGCTCGTGGGACGGTGTCTCTTGTGTCTCAAGAAGTTGGGGCAAGTGATTTTGGGCCGGAGAACCGATAGGGACTACGATCGTATTCTATAAAGCTATCCTCCACAAAATTAAAGTGTGGGGTGCGTTCGGAATATAGATGTGACGAATGTAAAGCAACAGGAATGATTAACCGATGGAAGAACCGGATCGAGGTCGGATCGACAGCGCATAAGGTCATATTCCAAAGCTTAGATTTGTCACAGAGTTGACGCTTAGACTCGCGATATCAAGTAGACGGTTAATCGCACAAACATGTGACCCACCAGAATTCTAGAGCTCGCAATATTGAATAAGACCACTTCACGCGTACAACGGATTGAACAAGATGATAGAAGTACAAGTGAAGTATGGATGAGAGAAACATATGTCCACAAGATACAGTTTACTTCGAGTAGCCCATGAGTGTGTAATCGAATTACAAGCGTAATTCTAACTTTTCTGGAAAACGCACATCGTTCGTCAGTGCGATAGGCGAGACGTATATAACGGGTATTTCGCAAATGCAGAACATGTAATTATGTGTCGAGAAGCGATACGTCACCACCGCGATGGCGGAGTCATGGGTGTATGTCATCAGTGAGGAGGAACTGTCTAGAGGGAGACGCGAGCCTAATGGGTGTGCGCCACATTCAAGGCACCATGACTAAACGTGTTTGGCGACGATCAGCGCGACATCAAATAACACAAAATAAAACAAATTACCGAATCATCAGCCAAACATCCCGACCCCCTCTTGCCTCCCGACTACCATCATCCATGGTCTGTCCTCCCTAAGCCTCTCACACGTTTCCCTCTAATCTCCCATTAGCTAAGGTCACGCTCGTCTCCGGTAGCGACCACCTTCGGGCGTTCGCGGCAGCGGCGAAGGTGAAAGTTCCAGGATGACGATGAAGGGTCTCGGTGGTGGAACCAAACACCATAGAGACCTATGTCATCAAACATAGCAATCATGGGCAGAAGCACATGAGTGTCGCCTCAGGAAGCAAACGGAGGAGAAGCACGTACCTCATCCGGCGATGGTGCGTACCCTCCCGCCTGCGCACTGTTGGTGACAATGATGGTACCATGCGCTGCATTGCGACCATCCTGGCTGGCTCGGTGGTCTTGCAGACCCCTTTCGAGGCGCATATACGAAGAGGATGGCTGCTTGAAAGCCGAGGCGCGATCGAAAGTGTCGACCGTCGACACGGTATCCGTCAGCGTGGGTACTAGGCCACCTCCGTACAGGGCCAAGTGACTCGGATGAGGTGGTCGAATGTGCTGTGGAGGATGGAAGTGGTTGTTCTCTATTGTTGCGTGCGGCTGATGATGGTATTGATTTGCCTCGGTGTGAGGTTGGGAATGGTGTGTAGGCATATTGAGGAGCATTGTGGCAGGCGACGCATGCATTGGAATGGGGCGCGGGCTTAAGCGCGTCTCGAAGGTTGCATGCGAGGGTTGTACCGGTGTGGGGTGATGTTGCAGACTTCCTCTTCTCAGGTAAGGGTGGGAGGTCGCTATATGCGTAAAAAAAACTTAGTTAAGTCATTCGCTTCATAACAGGAAACCGCTCTGACTCACTAGCGTGCAGCTTAGCCACTCGTTGATGAGCGAAGTCGGCCTTCGAGATCGCAGGCGCAGACATCTCCCTGTCGGAGACTCCCTCGGCTTGACGTCGATAGTCTTCCGTGATAGCGTCCCATAACGAAGGCGAAGGAAGACGCCGTAAAGAAGACGACGGAACTTGCGGGACGTATCCGTGCTGCGCCTCTGGCTGACGAAGGGAGACATTGGCGACTTCCGCAAAGGAAGCTGGCACTAAACGCGTGGTCGTGCTGATCATGTCTGGATGGCTCCCGCTATTGTCCTCTTCCCAGACTCCAGGCCGTCCATCTTGGCCCTGCCCGTACTCGGAGCCCCTGCAGCTTTGGATGTCCTGACGATTTTCAGCCTCAGCATCACGACTGTCGCACGAATGCGCTTGGGCGTCAATGTCGACATCGTCGTGGTGAAGCTGGAAACTCGGAGAAAATGAGCGTAACTCCACCTCTGCCTTGGCTTCCAGGCTTGGGAAAGGCGATGCCACACGTTCAACGCCGTCTTGATCAACCTCATCCAACCCCACTATATCCAACTGAAACTCGAGCATCACTGGCTCCTCTTCCAACGGACGTGCCTCTCCGCCACACCATGGCGCTGCCCCTGCTGAAGTCGGAGAACCTAAGCCATTGTAGTCGTCACCATCTCCGTTGGTACCCATGCTGAGGCTGTGCATGGCGAATGGGTTGAGACGGAAGACGCCCATCATCCGGCGCATTTCTTTGGAGGCTTGGGTGGCGCGCAAAGGTACTTCTGTCGGCGGTGCCAGTGCTTGACTAAGGAGGCTGCTGTTGTAGGCGACAGCAGTCAGAGAAGATGTCGAAGCCGTAGATGATGATGCCTGGCCGGACGATGGAGAACGAAAGGCGGAGAGCTCCATGATGAATCGGCCATCTAAGTCTTCTGGCTCGACTTTGACCGAAGTACGTGACGAGGAAGAAGTGCTGGCGGTGATAGATACGGGTACGGAAGAGTGCCGTGATCCTGAACGCGATGACTCCGTGTATTCGTCTGCCCGCTCGCTTGCTATGGACGACCCAGTCACCCCCAGCTCTCCGATGTCGGTTGTCGAGAACCCTATCTCTTCTAACGAAGACGAAGAGCCATCCCAAGCTCTCACATCTTCACGCTCGCTCGCGCCGAAGTCTGATGCGGATGCGTGCGATGAAGGGGATCGAACGCGATCCAGCTCAAAGGCATAGGATGCGACGGTGTCTTGCTGTACCAGACGGGGAGAGCACGATAACGCTGCTCGCTGCGACGTAGCGCGGAAGTCAGAAAGAAGTGATTGTTGGTGCGTCAATGAATGGGGGTCTGGGCCAGTGGCCGAGCTTCGGGGAACGATGACATTTTGCTGAAGGTGGGAAGGTCCTGATGTCGCGGTGTTCGGCCACGACACTGTGTACGATGGCGACTGGGGTACGGAAATCTGTGCAGCTGGAAGATATCCTGTGAAAGAGGACGGCTGGGGACTGAGCTCGGTGTAGAACTGTGGCCAGTGGCTGATGTGAGCGGGGGCGAGGGACATAGCTGGGACGGGCGGTCTTTCATAGTATGGAGGAACGCGCCTGTCGTGGAGCAGCTGGGACATGGAGAGAGCAGAAAAGGATGTATCGGGAAAGGGAAAAGGATATCATGGATTGCGTTGTGGGAAGGGAGGATATAAGAGAGTTGGCGAAAAGGTGTCGAGTTGGAAAGGCATGGCCTCACCGAGGATCATCATCATCGAGCATCTCACCAGCTCGATCTACGATTCCGCGATGCGCGTGCCTTGCTGATAATCCCGGTTTTTTATTTCAGATATTACTGTGCACACGGGGGCCTCGCGTTCGCGGCCTACTGTCGTCTTACCGCATATGGTAGTACTTCTGGGAGGGATCCACAAGAGCCGCCACGGCGTGACCCTTTCAAACTCCGCGATTTTTGCCACACCCCCCGCCGACTTCGGCACATCCTCCGCTTGTCAGCCCCCCAGATATTCATTCCCCCGATATATGTACCCGATCGGTCCTGCAAATGCTAAAACTCGTATCTGTCGTTCGACTAGCGGCTGTCGAGCCAGCATTTCGGTTCGATGCAATATTTGGTCCTTCCCCGATCACCTCGTCGCACAGACATTTTCACTCGGACAACGGAGACACGGAGAACGTTTGCACGTCCACGACTGCGCGGCTATTTTGTTTTCTCCTTCTCAGACTTGTCAACGAACCTGGGAGGGTCATAAAACATCCTTCACTCTGTCGTGCCGTTATGTATTCTTGGGGAGTGCCTCACACGTCTCCCCTTCCGTCCACATCATAACAAACGCGTTCTGGGGTCTCCTCCCACAAGAAGGATGGCTTCGCCGAGCCTTCACGAATCTTGCTAGGATCTTCTACTGGAGACCTCCTTGGTTCTCCTTTCCTCCCGGAGTGTGATCCTCGCATCGTGGTCAGGGATTTTTCACCTCGCGAACTCGGCCTAGCCTGACTGCGAGGTGCTGCTTTGGAGGGGCTCTCGGATTCGCACTTTAGACAGCGATCGTTACAAGGAGAGAGACACTAGGGATTAAGTACGGCTTCGAGCTGATGATGGGACTGATCAGGTGGACCATGTCCATGCCCTCGACGCTCAGCCTAAGGTGGCGGGCCGGGCGCGAGTTTATTGTCATCAGCATGAACGATTGGTTCAGTACCGAGGTTGGAAGAGACCAATTATTCCATTCCGAGTCTGCTACGTGCATGTGTTGAAAGACGCGGTATGAGGATGGCGCTTGTCGTCGCCATTTAGTATTTCCGCTCAGTGTGCCTAAACTCCGTCGACGTCGCCGCATTTAACTTCTCGAATTCGATGGCTGCAGGCTTCACAGCATTTTTGATATCCCAGTCATTGTAGCTCATAGGATAGAGATATGGTAAGGACCAGGACGATCTGATCCCGAGCCTCAGCGCCTATCCCATAATCTGACACAACCCCATTTCCTTGACAGAAACCGTATCATTATTATGTCAGAATAGCGAATACAGTCTGCACTGCGCTTAGTAAATTTAACCTCAATTACATCGTCTCAAGAGGAACCAAGAAGTCTCATGAAGAAAACTACAGGTCAAATCTAATTTGTGAGAAACAGGAAAGAGGCCTTTACCGGTTATTCTAATTACATTCTTCCGCCTACTCCATATCGACTAAACACCCTCTTGACAAGCGCTTCAGAAAAATGCAGATATATCTTCTGACGCGAGCGTCTACCCATTGCACATATCTATCCAGTACACCAATAAGCGCCGGAGGGCGTACCCTCGTGGTCCATTTTCACAAATTTCCGAGATAATGCTGTCTAATTTGCCGGTGCTCACGCCGACAGTAGCGGCTAATGCGGAAGCGCAGTCGGACACATTTACGCTGGGCCTAACTGGCTGCCTGATTGCTACGGCCTTCTCTTCATCAAAACTAAGAAGGTTTTGTCATGAGACAAAAATTTCCCTCAAATTTCGAAAGCATGAGGACTAGTCCTCTTGTGACAATATTTGAGGATTTCTAGTTTTAGGATCGAAAGGGATCGATAGGACTTAATAATAAACAATCGCCGACCTCCATAAAAAGGTGTTATCGATGATGATTGCCTCGAAGATCCATTATTGGTATCATTGAGTATAACCCTCGCAATTATGAAGAACGCCTATGTGCGCCGGGCCGTGCGACGCCAACGCCACGCTCCGTCCGATGACTGCGCAGATAATAATAGCTTGACGCGTTTGGATCCATAGAAATGCCCATCCTCTGTTGGCTACCCGCATGAAGTATATGTAGCAAGGGGTCGTCAGGTACCACTTTGGGGATTATATGTCTCCAACTATTTAGCCGCTCAGGAAATAGTTAGACTAGGAAAATAGTGCTTTTCACATCCGATCAGACTAGTGAATAATGGCGTTCATACAGGCAGAACAGGCCTTCATCCTGATTCAGATGTTCTGATGATTTCACCGTAAGCCCAGTTGAACGCCGGTATGCTAGGTCGCCACTGCGCATCGGGACACGTGGTGTGTGGCGCACTTCCAAGATAGTGCGGACCCTTGAAACAAGGAGGTCTCGCCACTGTATTGGAGCCTGGGGAAAGATTTGAACCACACATTCGATCGGCTGTCAACTGTACGGCTTTTTTCAGGATATCAACCGAATAGAAGAGAATCGGGCAGGTGTACCTTCACAGGAACTAAACGCAAATTAGTGGATATGCTCCTCTGGCGATCTGGGACCACTGGTTCTTTGGATCGGCTAGGCTGGAATAGGCGCCCACGAGTTCTGCTAGAATCGAGCACATGGAAACATGCGCTCGCAATGATTTCAGAGTGGTATGAGTGGCCCTGCAATCCAGCAAGCAGCAACTACAATGGGTCATAAACAGGCCGCGGCGGCGGCACGTTGGACACACAAGGGCAGACAACGAAGTCCGTCTTCGGGTGCGCGAGGGCTGTCTACCGTGGCGTACACAGAGCATCTAGCATGATGAGCGGGTTCGGCTCGTGGTCAAGAAGAGATAGACATGCCCGCCGGGACAGCGACCTTCGAGAAGCCGGTCTACAAATCGAAGTCCTTGTTCACCGCATCTTCACCTCATGCGGGAAGATTATACGTATGTGGAGTCACTGAAGGACTGCAGTGTGATAGTGTCGTATTATCGTATCGAGGAGAATTCCCTCTTGAAGAATATGTGTCAGTGGCATGCGCCTCACACGAAACAAAGCCACAGAGACCTCGAGAACCACGAGGCTCCGGAGCGGTGTCGACGTGAGCATATTCTTCCTTCGGCCGTATAAGCTTTAACTTCACGTCCGCTTGGCCAGGCAAGCTCACGATTTTACATTAGGCGGTTCGTGGTTCGGAAGCAAGATTGGCGTGAGCGGAGATGAGCGAGGCGTAGGTGACCGAGAGAAGGCGCACGGGTAAGCAAAATGAAAGCCGAAGGCCTGCACTCTAGCGCATGCGCACAACTTGGAGCAAGGTTCTAAATGGCGCATTAATGAGGTACCTCCATACCACCACGTTAAATAAGCGGCAACGTTGTTTGAATTGCACACTGTCTATATTTGAAGTGAGTCCGAGAACGCCGCCAATAAAGCAAGTAGTGCCGCAGCGTAGTGGGGGAAACCAAGGGAGTATAATGACGACTACATCGAATGGAATTTCAGATGCACTCTAGCGGCCTGTGAAAGACGTGAGCAAGGATTGATCACTGTTACTCGATTTGTCACTGGAAACCCTTACAAAATTAGGCGTCTATCGCACGATCGAGAGAGAAGACCTGCAGGAAGAAACAGGCAGTCAACGCAATAGGTAACATCTACCATGTAGGTCCAACGTCGTCGAGTTAAACTACGAACGGTCGAAACGTGAGGCCAAGATAAATCAAGAGAGCTGTTTGGAGCTACTTACGCATGCTGGGTGGGTGTCGGAGCATATCAGCGGTTTGTTATTCAAAGAACTGTGCCGCATGACAGACTCGGAGTCACGCGCAGGTATAGTTCGTGAAGGACTACACGAGGCCGAGATGGTACCTGGTGTAACACAAGTAGAAGCAGGTTACAAGCACCATGAAGAGGTTTAATACAACCTTCGAACATGCGATGGAGCTCGACCATTGGCGGAGTTGAGCCTATGAAATTGATAACGTGAAGGGCAAGTGATCATTGTGTGACTAGCAACGTCAGCTTAAATTGAACCCAGGTGAGTGGGTGGAAGTTTCCCTCCGTGTGTTTTTCCGAGGGAGATACACCATAGACGCCACTTTCGCTTCACGTCTGGACCTTCTGAAAGAAGGGGTCCCGCCAGGATGAGATCTGATAAAACATACTTCCTGTTTGTCAGCGGAGGTGGGACGAGGATAAGGCTGACATCACCTGCTCAACGACAAACCCACCTGCTCCCCGCTATATTCAATCGACCAAGGGTCGGTTGTAGAGTCCTTATGAGCGTCTGCTGGGCGTCCCGACTCGGAGATCTTGTTCTCCCGTACATCTCGCGCGCGTGAGATAGAAAGCCAGGCCACCGGATCCATGCCTCCATAAACATGATTAATTAAGCCTTCGGTGTTGACGTTTAAGGCCTCTCATGAGACGGTGAAAGAACAATGAAAAAACGTGGTTTATACTCGCCTTCCCTTAGAACAAACCCCGTGAAAGGTGTGTAAGGGTGGAAGTTAAAGTGACTGTCAACTTCTAGCCATCGGTGCTTGTATATGAGAGGGCTGTGCGAAGAAGAGGCTCACTATTAAGCGTATAGGTGAAATAGAGTGCTTACGTTGAGATAGATAGGGCTTGTGGAAATTCGGACACTGTCACCTCAATGCACGCGAACGTGTTGGATAGGTTACCAGCCATACCTGAGGCCTGAATGAACGCTTGAATCCAAAAAGTCTTTAATTTGCCCTCGACAGCAAGGAAAGACAACATTGAGTTCAATGCCGCCGAGGATTCGACTGCCATACACGCAGTGGCTTCGATTGGAGACTCTCTTTCGATATGATGCAGTCGCGGCGAGGATCGACTATCAGACAGACACCAGGGATCTCCGCGGCCTAGGCTCTCTTTTTGCGGCCTCTGAACCATAAGTATTAAAATAACTCTTGAGATAGACCTGCGGCGTTGCTGTCAGCCTGAATCTAGAACACCGGAGTCAACATATCTCAATCTCTGAAATGTGAAGGGTAGAAAGCCGACTAGTCTTTTTGTGGATGTATTGCAGGTCTGTTATAAGGCTTAGAAAGGGTGTTCTCCATTGAAGTGGCGAGTTGCATTGGGGTGTTTAAAACATAGGTCCGGTTGACAGGTTCTTCAAACGAGTTCTAGAAAATCACTTTGGGGCGCATTTTTCAAGAGATCTATATCTGAAGAATAAGGAATTGAATAAGGACCTGGTAGAACATGCCGCCGGCCAATGTCTGTCAGATAGTTGGCAGATAAGCCTGAGAGATGTGTCGTATATGTGTGGGGTAACGCTTGGGTAAATGCGGGGTCTTTTAAGCTATAAAGGTACGCCATTCGTTGCTCAGTGACGTTCAAGTTGAAGGTAGAGCCTTTGCCGGATTCCCACGCTCGGCAACTGCGACCGGCGATCAGCACTCCGTCCTACTGAGAGCCCTGTCGGAACTTCAACATGTACGCCACACAACCCACCTGTTCTTCCGATGTCGAACAAACTCGCAACTCATGTGGACGAGGAGTTTGAACGGGCGTAAGTAGCCTCCTTCAAGCTTAGCTTTACGCTCGACGATTCGGACTGCTAGCCGTCATGCCCGAGGCGTCAAGGCCTCATGATACACAGGCGTCTTGATGAACGACTTGGAGCCTGACCATGGTAGAGGCGCAAAATTGGTTGATCTACGCCAGTCAGGCGCGAAGATACAGCGCAGATAATTTGAGAAGCGATCTACCAGCATCAAAGAATGACAACAAAATTTTGCTCTACGGCCCGGATTGTAGCCTTCGTTCGACTGGAATTATCCAACGTTCGGCCGTCGGTTGCAAACCCTGGTGCTGCAAACTTAGTTATCCTGATCATTTGGCGCAACCCTCCTACGTATTTCGTCGCAAAGCAGGTCAGGGGAACGTTCTCGCAATCCATCACAGAAGCGCTGGGCCTGTGATGACCAGCAGCCGTGCTCCGATCGCAAAGGCTCACAATCATACTATTACGATGGCTTTCATTAAACCAGAATTTTCTATCTCCTCCCATCCTCCTAGACTCAAAATCCTAGTAGTACCGACGCAGCCGTATCCCTTGCCCTCCTGTGGACGTGATATCCGCGATTTCCGTATCAAACAACGCTTCCAGGATGCTCGGGTCTCTTGCCGCTCGTCTTCTTGTTGGTTTATCTCTTTTGCTCCTGGTGCGATATGGGATAGGAACTGATACTCGGGGTATTCGCTCGTTACTTGGACCCCGTGCAACTATACGACTGACTAGATGCTAGCAGTGCTGAGGTGCCAAGATGGGGCTAATGCAACTCTCGAAGATGTTCAAGTTCGCGAGGGCAAGGAAATGAAAAGATGGTCCTGTGCTGTGAACTCGTTCAGCGAGAAGAGGAACCGCGTCAAGGATTTCGATCTCTGTCCAGCGAGTTGCATCACTTACTGCGAGAAGCTAATGTATGTAAAAAAAAAGTCTCTCTACATTGGCATACATATACTAAAAACAATTCTGAAAGCGAAAGTAGTGGTCCAGACCCGCAAGGTGCGTAGATAACGCGTCCGGCAGAGCCTATCTGAAACGATAAAGCACATTTTAGATTGTCAGGAGCTCTCCAGGTTAGCCTTACGTAGTGCAATGTGGTCATTGTTGGCACCCGTTCTAACCAAGTCTTCAGCTACTACGCCGGCGGTGGCCGTTTCACGATTGAACCCAAACAGTATACCGTCTGGGAGTATGGCACCTGCAGGGTGATTCAGTTCAATCGTCTCGAAAGCACCAATCAAAAGATTAGCTATTGTTTCGATAAGCACCACTGTGAGTCATCTATCTGTTGGGCCTAGCGACGACGCTAATGATACCTTGTGGTGCTTAGGGGCCGGGGTAGTTGACCACTTATCATCTCGCTGTGGTGCAAAGCACGGCTCTCGTGGAGGCAGCTGCTATTTTTACGATAGCCTACACTTTTGTGAGTTTATTTACAGGTTTATCGTGACCGCTATCACCCATTCTTGGATTGCTACTACAGCGACCATTACCCTCGAAAGGGTGGTGTGATCGAAGAAGAAATGCGATGCTGCAATTTACGAACATCCCATCGGAACCCCTGAATGATAATTTACTCTTTCAGTCCTCGAAAACTAAAACGATAAAACTTTAAAGCTTATTACTCTTTTTTTTAAAAAAATACGGAATCTGTGATACACACGTTTGGGTCTACGTCAATGGTCGCTGGAAGTCGTCGAAGGTTGACGCTGATCGATGATCTTTCGAGTCCGAGTTTCGGATGACAGACACCTATCGTCAGACGTTGTGCTGATTACCTAGTGGCGGATCATGGTGCGAAGTCATCAGGTGCCTGTTCACACCATCTGGAGGCCAGCTGCTTGAAGTTTCGAACGTCCTGATGCATTGATGGTGGACCTCAGACTCCCGAATGAAAGGGATGGTCCGAGATGGCAGGATGAAGGCAGATGGGTCAACAGGTATGATTCCTAGGACCCGAGACTCCCTGTGACATTTCTAGCTGATAAATGGGTTGGGTGGTCGGTAATCGGACTCTGGCTGGAAGAGCGCCTATTCAACTAGCGCCGGTTGCCGAGCGGCATCCTTGTGTTAGGAAAAAAGACTGCCATCAAACAAAGTCCTATATGTCGCGGGCCGTTCTAGCCGCTATAACTTGCTCCACAACCACCATGTTGTTCTCCTCTGCTGTGCAGCCCTCGATCGTGTCTCTATTCTCGTCTACGGGATCTGATCCTTTATTCCTCTTCAACTCGTCTTCTGATCAGTCTTTACCCTCGGACTCCTTCGTCCATCTCCTTCATGACAAGCAGTCAGAACCTTTACCTCCGGATCCTCATTCATTGTTGCGGCCTCCAGAAATCAATGAGAAAGGCGAGGATGGGTCAGAAAGCTACGGATACGAGCTTGATCAAACTGTGCTGCACATTCAGTCACCAACCATTGGGACGACCTACATCCAATGTCCACCGAATGGTGGCACCGTCGCCTTACCTGATAGGCCTGACGCTGTGTTGGGGATCAAGCACCCATGGATGCACCTCCAGGTACGGAACCTAGGGAGGCAATTCTCCTTCGAGGTTGGGATTGTAGATCAGGCGGGCCGTGGTGGGGTCATCCGTTTGTCTACCTTCCAGGTAAATCTTTGATTTATTTTTGGTGCTTTATTCTTGCCACGCAAAAATGGGTATATCTTCTCTGGCGGATCTGGAATTCTACGGCTTCTCCTTTGCCCCGAGTAGCCTGTTCCGGTTCTGGAGAATGTGGCTCAACAACTGCGAGCCATGAGGCCGCTATACGAACTGATATATTCTCGACATCTGCTTTCGTAACCAATGTTTTGCAGTATCCATTTTTTGGCTTAACTGCGGTACCTTTGTAGCGCTGATCTACCTTCAGCTTAACTACAACACGATGCACCGCCTTTTCGAGGTTATTTTCGCGGTCATGATAAATTGTGACCACCCCCGCTGTGATTTCATCTCGCCTCAGGAGTCCCGGCAATATATCTGACAGTCCTCATTAACAGAATAGGCCTCGTCTCAAAGTGAACCACCAGAAGCTGGGATCCCCACCGCTTCTCCTCCTGCCCCTCTCCTTCCCGTCGCGTTCGACCCATCTTTTAACTCCATGGAGCATCATCAACATTCATTTCCCCACTTTACTGCCACATTTCTCCTCTCCACTCCTTCGTTCAAAGGGCGAGCGCGATGATCAAGATGACGACGAATCCGAAAGCAAAGAACCGGCCGCTAGTCCCAGCTCCAGCTTCGCGGCTGTGCGGAGACAGTGGGGCAGCAGCTCGCATCCGCCGCATCCGACTGGTGCGATCCCGGCCGCCATCCCCACTGGAAAGTACTCGCATGTGTCGTACGTGCGCGTGTACGCCAACTGCCGCCTCAGGAGGATCTGGTTTGCAGATAGCCCGGCCCACCAGAAGGTTCCATGGGAGTTTGAGCTGTATTCATCTGATTGATTCGCACTTTTCGCATGACCAACCCTTACTCCAAGGGCATACCAGATATTAGTGCTCTGCCAGGTATCAACGTCAGCATTTGTGCTATCTAGTTTCGATCATACGTAGGGACTTCTGCACCTCGCGGACACGGTTGATTTATTACTCTTGGACTGCTGCCAACATGTCTGTCTCCTCGGAGACCTCTGCCCCTTCCTATCGTTGAAAATGGAAATGGTTTGCCAGGTGACTGGAATTATGGTACATGGATTGAGTAGCTCTATTTTGTCTGAGCAGGAGGCATCATTGAGGGGAAATACGAGCAGGGATATGTATAATACAGAAAGCAACAGTTATAGCAACGGTGGACGAAGCAGGGAAATGAAGCAGCACAAAATGAACTATCAATTGGACGCCGGCGCCTGGACATACCGACGAACGACGTCCTTCATACGGGAAAGGACTTCTTTCCTTCTGATGGGATCCTCAGGAAGCTGGAGCTGTCCGGTACCCAATTTGTATAGATACGCGAAATCGGCCTGCGCAACAAGCGGCATTCTCGCAGAAGCCTGCTGTTCCTGCTTAATCTGGAGTTTCTCCTTGAACTTTTCAGCAAAGTCTTTGGAGATGACGTCGGCACGTTGTACGACATCGAGAGGCACTCCAGCGAGGTTGGCAACGTGAGTCCCGAAGGAGGATTCGGCGACACCGTTGACGAGCTTGTAGAGGAACACGAGCTGACACGAAATTAATAAGATTAATGTGACCCTAGATGAGTAATCATGAAGCGCAGACCTCGTGTTTTTTGTCGTCAACCAGCGTCGACATGTACATGGTCCTGATATTTGGATGGTATGCGTGGTCATCTGTCAAGGAACCATAGTGAGTCGCAAAGAAGGACAACGGAAGCGTGTGCGTTGAGAGTTCATGGAGCACAGCCTGCGAGACCATGAGTGAGATGCTAATGGTCTGGTGAGGCAAAACGCACACTAGCAATCGCCATTCCGTCCTGTAAGTGAAATTAGAGAGAAGTTCACCACGACAAGGCGGCGATACTCACGAAAGTTGAGGTTCCTCGACCAAGTTCTACAAGGATAAATCAGTCAACCCGAAGAAAGGGAGTTCCGGTTCCTTTACCATCGAGAATAACCAAGGACCTTGGTGTAGCGTTGCGGAGAATCTTGCAACTGAAAGAGAAGTGTTCATCAAACCATCCGCTCAATCAAGAAAAACAACTTACCATTCATCGAGCTCGACCTTGAAGGTACTGGCATGAGAGAACATGTTATCATATGCTCCCATGCGCGTAACGATCATGTCCACCGGGCTGAGTCTAGAAATAATACATTAACAAAACGGCAGGTTGCAACGAAACGCCACCAACCGTGCACTGGAAGCTGGTACAAGCATTCCAAGTTGCGCCATAATAACACCCGTCGCTGTCATTCTCATGACCTGTGTATACACTGAATAAATATGTTGTCGAGGGTTTGATTAAATCAAGTACTCACCGTAGATTTTCCACTGGGGCATTCCCAAAGTGCGATTAGAAACAGAAAACGAAAGAGATGATCAGAGAAACATACGCCATGTTAGGACCTGTAATAAATTATTAACTGAAGCCCTGCGCAGGATGTGCTAAATGCTCGCCTGTTAGCAAAACGATCTTGCCCGCATCGCCACCGATTTTGATATCGTTGGGAATGAAGTCTCTGAGGCTCGTACTCAAACAGAGCGTGGGATGCCTCAACTCTTGGAAGTCCAACAGTGCCTCATCGTTTCCCACAAACTCGGGTCGGCAGGAGGGTTCGCCGATTGCCATGGAAGACTTCGCCAGACTGAACAAACAGTCAAGCTCCGAGAAGACCCGGATGGCACGAAGCCAGAGCGCACGATCAGTGTCGAATTCGGCGTAGAGTCGGAATTTGAAGGCCTTGATTGCAGTACTCCGGTTTTCGCGGGCCTCTTTCAGCTGTCGAACACGTTTTTGAAGGCCGCCCACGACGTAACGATTCTTAGCCTAGGAAGTGGTTGGTTAACTGTGGAAAAGAATGGGGAATGTTTACCTTAGTTCCACCCGACTTCGTCCAGTCCTTGGGTATCTTAGCCTTGTCGACAGTAGAGGAGGTTTCGACGAGGTAGATTTCCTATAACGCCGAATGAGTTTTGTGCAATAATCACCGGGTCATAGCCACACTTTATTTCCGATAGCGCTATGCCAATATGCTAACTTTAACCTGCGAGTGGCTCAATCAGCGACATTTTGCTACTAAGAAAAGTAGATACTAACCCTAGCGACTTCTCCATCTTCTTGAGTTCGTCTTCGAGGTTCTTTTCAAGGGAATCGATCTCCTCGACAACTTCATCGTATCTTTCATCCTTGCCATCACGAGGTATAAGCTCATCAGCCTCTGAAGTCCAAATATGAGCACAAGTATAGAGAAAAAAGGGACATCCAGGCGTACTCTCGTCTCCAGCAGGTTCAAACATGCTCTCGACAGTTTGCAAATTGGGTAAAAGATCTGGAGCACCTCGCAGCAAGCCAAAGATTGTTTTACTCTCGAAGGACTCGGATTCATCTGCCAGCTTAGCCATGCCTTTGCTCAGCTTCCGGAAGGCCTGCAAATGATGAATGAAAGGTCAGCAACCGCTGGAGCGTAAGATGATAAGATGTCTACCTTGAGGACCTTCAGGAAGTCTTTAACTCTACAGCTCTTGGCATGTATGCGCGAGACAATCCTCTCCAGGTCGGGAAGACCCTTCGCCACTTCAGTGAAGGTTGCCTCGAAAGTTGGGTGATTCATAATGTCTTGTACGGCGTCCAAACTGTCGGCAATGAGGGCGAAAAGCTGGGTAAGGAGTGGAGTTCACATACCGAGCATTGATATCAGAAATTTCGCGCAAAGGCATACAAAGCCATATTCTAAACAACCGCTTGCCAAACGGCGTCACACAGCGGCCGAGAAGTTTCAGGAGAGACCCGTCATCCCCGCCTTCATTGTTCAAAAGAACCTAGAATAAAATATCAATGGACGGACCAACCATAAGCATCTCAAAACGACATATGTGGACACACCTCAAGATGAGCCAAGGTCTGACCATCAAGTGTAAGACCCATGCCCTTCTTCATCGGGTCATATATATTGAAGTTCTTCATGCTCATGATCTCTTTGTCGATGTTGAGCTGACGGAGGTACCAGATCATAGATCCTAGAGCTTCGATCGCCAACCTCTCTTCCACCATGTTCCGGATGGGAAGTGGGACACTTTCAGGAAGGACTGCATACGAGGCATCACTTTCATCCATAGTGACATCCTCACCTGGGCCAGGAGGATAGATCGACTTCAATTCGTCAAGAGTTTCTTCATATTTGAATCCTTCGACGGGACGAAGAGAAGTCCAAAGACATCCAGACGGCAGGACCGTCTTCACAACCTTTGAGTGTTGGTGGACAACGAGCCCTTTTGAATAACTGTTAATAAATCAAGTTCATAAGATTTGGCAAGTTTGAGATACCTTTTTGAACAAAAGCTCCTTGGGACGGATCTGCCTCATCAAGGTCTCGAGACGAGTTCGACAGACGTCATCCTCGAAGAGACTCAGATTGAACTCAGAGGTGGCACAGTCCAGAACGCAAATGCCAAATTTGCGCTCTGAATCAGGATCGCTACCGTCTGCACTGACTGTTGTGGCTTCGACGATGGAAACGCAATGACCCGCTTGTTCGTCTGTCAAAAGCTCTGCATCGACAAGAGTACCATTGGTATAAACTTTGTTCAACTCTCTGAGAAACAGCTATCAGGACGGTGTCTCGGCCGGAAAATATGAGACTTACCGTCGGACGATCTTATCACCTGCGGCAGGTTTAGCCTTGAACTTGGACTTGGCCTTGCCTTCTTCCTTCTCCGCGGCCATGCGCATCTCAGCTCCGAGGGCAGTTTCCGCTTGTTCGACACGACCAACTTTATAGCCTGGGAAGCCATGAAGGTCTACCCGGGTTCAATCTGCGCAAGAATCATGCATACCTTTCGCAAGGAACTTTCTGCGAAAACATTAATATACGCCATCAGGACAAAATGGGAAGACACTTACGATGCCCACATGTTGAAGGAAGACTCTGGAACACCAACCTGACCATGTCGTTAGTTGTGCAGCCAGAAGATTCAAGACAATAGATTTACCATGCACATCTTTACCCGTTCGGTCAGCTTGAGATCAAATTCTTGGTGCCCAATTCGCGCGTCATCTTCATATAACTTAACTCAAAAGTCAGTGGCGTTAGAGTAGGAAGAAGGTCAGAATTACCTCGAAGAATTTGCTGATTGCGAGGATTAATGAATCAGCGAGCTCTGAGTATAAAATTGGTAATGATTACCCTTTCTGGAAGAACAAAATCTAGAAAAGCCAGGGTCGGTAAGTAGAATGAATCAGGGTATGAAGATGAACCCAACAGTATCGTAGTGGTTCTGCTTGATCTATGGGATTACGCGTTTGACTGGATGGAGACCACGAGGGAACAATGTGATAGACGAACCTCCCAAAACTGTATGAAGATTTCATCAACAGAGTGTTGCGCAATGATCAAGTGGACCGACCTGTTTTTCGAAGGGTGTAAATGACGCCCACGCACTCTTAGGAACCAAGAGAGTCCTTGGGTCATAGTCAGGATCTCCGGGCTTCCGGCCATCTTTCTGAAGGTAAAATAAGTCAAGGCAATGCAGAGTTACGCACACAAGACACTCACATCTCTGACATCCTGCAAGAAACCATACGGAGATTCCGCTGCCTTCTTCTCATCCTTCTTGCCTTGCTCCCGTTGTTCCGCTGCAGTGAGGAAATTGAATGCTCCTCCGGAGCCTGCATCGCCGGCTGTCTTGGTCGACTTCTTACTTCCGGCTGACTTGGTGGTAGTTTTCCCCTTTGACTTGCTCTTCTTCGGGAGGTCATCATCCAAGTCAAGGTCGTCTTCGTCGAAGCCGGCCTCTTCGTCGTCCTCCGAGGCAGTTGAACATCGAGAAGACATCGAAGATCGGCGCGAGGATGATTTAGCAGACTTGGAATACGATTCTTCTTCTGAATCGTCGGGGACAATAAAATCGTCGTCGTCGGTCGAGGCTCTGGAACGAGCTTTCCCTGATTATGCTCATGAAAAAAAGGAACAGCACAGCAGGCTGATAGACGGTACCTTTCTTGGCTGGTGATTTTTTAAAGCGGCTAAGACGCTGAGAGAAATTTGTTTTCATGTCGTCGTCAGCCTCATCATCTTCGTCGCTTATGACTTGCGACAATCGAGGTTTCTTGGCCTGACCTAGAATTCATGAGAATCGAATGGAGCAACCTCGAAATGGCGCAAGGCTTGGCATACTTCTAATAGCGTCTGTGGGAGATGAGCTTCTGAATGTAGCTTTTCGCCTGCCGTTGAGAATATTACTCTCGTCGTCAGAGTCCTCTATGACGACCTTGCGTTTCTGTCGACTTTGGGTGACCTGTATGTGGACATGTAGTAGACTTTTGACGAATTATGAAATGAATAGATTACTAACAGATTTAGCCGAGGATGCCTGTGTCTCTTCGTCATCAGAGGCGAGCATGTCCACATCGATAGGGTCGCTGGTGGGGGGCGTGCTCGCGATTCTCGACGACGCGACAGAACTAGGAGCGGCAGACAACGTTAGAGCGTGCGCATTGAGGAGTCGTGAGTCTGGCGTTTTGGGGTCATGGGGAGATGATGACCCCGAAGCTTTTGACGCGTCTTTTGAGCTACTAGGTTCGTCTTTTTCCTTTGCGACGGGCTGCGGTTTGGCTTTGGGAGCTGGAGTTTTAAATGGCGTTGGTTTTGAGGCTGGGGTGGCGATGCCCTTTGTCGCTGACGGCTTCGAAAAGAAAGAAGTCAGGCTTTTCTGCTTGAAGGCGTCCGTAGAAGGTTTCTGTTTGGGCGCCATGGTGGTTGAGGGAACGATGCAAGGTGTCACTCAATTCTGAGAAACGCGTTGGGGGTTGTTTGGCTTGACCCTTGATTTTCCTTCCACCCTTTACGTATTGCCCTCATGGAAACAGATGTCAGAGACCCCTCTGTGCAAGTCGCGAAAAAACAACCACATTGAGCATCTGCAGTGTGTCTGACGGTTTTGAGCCCATCGATTTGGGTGATTTGGTCGAGACAGCGCGTCGCGACGCGTCGGCTTCGTTAGGATCAGGCGAAGCTGCCAAACACGCCCTGAGTTTCGAAGTCCATCAGGAGTGGGGGCGGTCATAATAGTCAACGGAGCTCAAGTCATAATGTACACCCATTCAAACCACATCCCCCAGCCTCCGCACTCTGCTGGTTTGGACTACAAAGGTATTGTTTAGGTCGGAGCGTCAGTTATGAATTAGATCTGACGACTTGCGATGGCACAGGTTTACGACCACGTATCGACTATGCCCAAGTTCCATCTCCCATTGACGCGATTGAAGCTGACCGACACGCATGGGAGAGCAAGACTTACATGACCCTACCTGGCACGCATGCCCCATTGTGCACCTCTGATTTCGTTGCTGTTGATCAAGGTGCGCAGTCTTTCATCTGCCTGCGTCAAAGTCCTAAGACGCGAATCTGCAAGGCAACTCCTCACCTAAATTCGTCCGTGTCTCGACATGGAACATGCCCAGCACCTCTCGGCTTGCTTCAGACTGCCACATTCCTATCGCCGCTCTCTTCCAACCGTTCGCCGACCTTGACCCACGCGAAGAACCGGTACCTCTGATAGACACGGGAGCTTCGGGACCAGCACGGTGTGCACAGTGCAGGGCATACATCAATCCATGGTGTACTTGGGTAGCAGGAGGTGTACGATGGAAATGTAATCTTTGTTCTCATGAAACGGATGGTACGTCCTTATGCGCTTCTCAATTAGACAGCGACCAAGCCCTAGGCCCTCCCAGTTTCTTCGGAATACTTCTGCAACTTAGATGTCAACATGATGCGATTGGACCATCTCCAGCGTCCTGAGCTCAATAAAGGCACTGTGGACTTTGTTGTCACAGCTTCCGAAGAATACTGGGCGCAAAATCCTCCTCCACGAATAAATCAACCTTTCTTCTCCGTCGAATCACCTCTCATGGGAGCAAGGCCGCCAGTATTCATGGATTACGTCTTCGCGTTTGATGTTTCAAACGAATCGGTTATCTCCGGTTTCCTGCAATCCGCTTGTGATGCGGTGAAGAAGATTCTTTACGGTGAAGAGGATGAAAACGGCGTTTTTTTCCCCGCGTTTTTTCCCCCGTCTAATCGAATAGCAATTGTCACGTTTGATACCACATTACATTTCTACAATATCTCCGTGCGTTTATCTTTTGGCCTTCGGAATGAAAACTCACGTCGCCGTAGTCAGAAGTAACCCAAATGCTGGTTGTCGCCGACCTCGACGAAGTTTTTGTGCCTACGAAAGACACAATATTCGTCAACCCATTAGACAACAAGTTTTTCCGCCTTTTTTGTATTGTGGCCCTGGCTCACCCGCTATTTTCAGGTCGACGGTGGTGGCGCTTCTGGACTCGATTCCGACGCGGTTTTCCGAAGGCGTCTCAACCGACTGTGCCCTTGGATCCGCTATTCGTGGAGGCCTCGCTTCTCTGGTATGTTTCCTCCCCTGTAAACACCTCTTTTTTCCTATTTTCTTTCTATGACAGGCAGGACGAGGTGGTCACCTAGTCGTCTTTCAATCCGCCCTGCCGACTGTCGGAGCAGGCGCCCTTCCTCCAACACCACCAGCAGAGTCGGCAATGTATGACACAGACAAGGAGAGAGTTCTTCATGCACCACGTTCGACGACATGGATTTCCATCGCTGAAGAATGTGCTGAAGAAGGCGTGGGTGTCAGCATGTTCCTTGCACCGGGCCGATATATGGACGTGGGCAGCGTGGGCATCGTGCCCACTCTCTCCGGTGGAGAGCTATTTTGGCACCCTAGATACGTTCCAGAGAGGGATTATAGCTTGGTGCGATCACAGCTTGCCAGGCTCGTGAGTAGGACCCAAGGATTCAACTGTTCGCTGCGCGTTAGATGCTCTCATGGTCAGTCCGCATTCCTTCTATCATCATTTCCTTAACCTTTTACTTTAATCCTGAAATGAATCACGAAGTCTTCCTCCTTCCATTCAGGCTTGCAAGTAAAGACACATTATGGAGCGTTCTTCCTGTCCGCACCCACCGAGCTGACCTTCGGCAACATCTCATCCGACAGCGCGTTTACCGTTGAACTGGAGCATACAAGGAATCTATCAGCGCGAGCCTACGCGTTCCTCCAGTGTGCTGCGTTGTACACGAGCGTGGAGGGACAACGGAGAGTCCGGGTGATCAACTTGGCGATGAACGTCGTCGAGTTAGCGGGCAGTGTTTTCCAATACGCGGATATGGAGACCGTCGTTGCTCACTTGGCCAAAGCAGGTGCGCCAGTCTCTTTCCTATTCTACCCAGAGTCCACTATTTTATATGGAATTAGCAATGGCGTCCATGACCCAGCAACGAACATTGATAACCCGAGAGGATCTGATGGAAAAGTGCTCTGCTCTGCTCCTTGGATATAGAAAGCAATGTGCAGCTGCTACACGGTCGACACAAGTAAGCATTCCTTAGCTCCTCCATATATGCGTCCAATAGTCTTGCGATTCAGTTGATTATCCCGGAGGCCTTCCGTGCCCTTCCAGCATTTACACTAGCACTCCAGAAAACAAAACCTTTGAAAGGTAGACACATAATGTTTCCAAATGTTGAATATTGACAGTTCTTTTCAGCGCGGCAAGTCTCATCGGATGTTCGAAATTACCATATTCATCGAATATTGTCAATGGGTGCTCGCACCCTGATGTTCTACCTATACCCTAGATTACTGGCACTGCATGACCTCGATGAGAGTATTGCACTGCCGCAACTGGTGGAGAACGCAGATGGTGTCAAAGTCGAGAGGGTGATCGCCCCGTCGTGTATGAGAGACAGCTACTTCTTCATGCAAGCCAGTGGTGTCTATTTGATTGGTTCGTGTTCTTCTCGTCCTATGTGCCAGAGCCGTAGATGATCATGTTCACAGATAACGAGGAGACCGTGATATTCTGGGTTGGAAGCAGTGTATCACCTCAACTACTACAAGACTTGTTCGGTGTCGACGACATCAATTCTCTGAAACCTCAAATGGTGTGCATATTTTCCTTCTCTCTCCTCTTGCTAACACTTATCGTGCTTCCAGTACAATCTTCCAGTTCTGCCCACAACGCTCTCAACCCAAGTGCACAATATCCTCTCGCTACGCTTTGCGCAGAGAGGACGGCCTGTAAAGATACTGCTCGCCCGTCAGAACATGGACGCAGCCGAGATCGAGTTCAGCGACATGCTTGTCGAGGATCAAAACAACGGTGCTATGTCGTATATCGATTGTACGCTCCTTAATTTCTCCAAGATTTCTCTCTCAGCTCATCAGCCGGCGACAGACTTGGCTGTTATTCATAGGCAGATTACGAAAGTGGTGGGTTGCGCATGTATACATACCGACCGCAGATCGCTCACGATTTCATTTCCTTCACCTAGCTAAATGACGGTGGCTCTTTCAGTGCTTCTGGGATTCGCGGTTCGCCTTGGTAGACTTTTAGAGGCTTGTAACTCGTAATGCTTCATGTAAGACTTGATCTGGTCCATCGGCATGATTTCCAATATTTGACAACTCATGCCTCCCAATGCGCTTTATTCTACCCGTCTCTCGTGCACCCACCAGGCTGTCGTTTTGCCTTTGTTTCTCAAGTTGGACGTACGGCTGTAGGAGGAAGAGTCGTAGTGCGAGGTGTAGTTGGTCTCGTCTTTGAGGAAAGGCTGGTCCACCTCAATACCCTGCGCAGCCATCCCCTTGACCCTCCTGCTGACATTCTCGAAGATTTTGATTTGCTCTTCTGCTGACAAACCGATATTAGGCACACGAGTATTCTCTGGCAGGAGACAGAGTAGACAAGGCCCAACCTTCGATGGTGGTGTCGAACCCGGAGTGGTTGTCAGCTCAGCGGCTGGCAGAACGCTCGAAACTGGATCTGACTTCCTCTCCCTAACCGTCTCTTCGGCTTCAGGCTTGAGACATGGAAAGACAACGACGTTGCCACCAAGCACGACAAGGGCTTCTTTCTGCATCTCGTCGATGTCATTCAGGGAATATGAGGTATGATGAGCCCAATAAGTATTTGATATGGGGTTGAAACCTTCGTCTTTTTCATCGGGCGAAAAAAGGCAAGTGATCTCCAATCCAAGGTGAACTTGCGTGTGCTGCTTTGCCGCCAGAATATACGCCGCAGTGAACAATCGATGAGGCGAGAATCGACGTCGAGCTTCATAAAGGTGTCGCGGAAGTCGGGCACACAGTCGCTCTAGGAGAGTGAGGGTGGCGATCAAAACTATGAAAGGGTAGCCAGTTGCGAAGACGACTTTCTCGATGTAGATAGAGAGAGGGGTTTCGGCATTGACGTCGGTCTCGGACTGGTCGAACTGGCAGTGGAAGGCGCGAGCCATGAGATGTACCACGGTGGCCCCGAAGCCAGGGGATTGAACGGGACTCTCGAAGTTTATTCCATCACGTTTCTGTCGATGAACGAAGGCGCTCCTCTGGACAGGGTCACACTCCAGTCTTTCCAGAGACAATTGGGCAAGAGTTGAGGGCATTGTGTTCTGACCAGCAAAACGATCAACGAGAACGAGAGAGGGAAGGCTTACCCCAAGTGTGAGACATTATTACGATGGTGATATAGTTGTCAGTTGCGATAAAGGAGAATACTTACATAGGCCGTGTAGAAGGCCGCTGGTCGTCGATTGAACTACATTGCAGAACATTGGCGTAGACGGGCGTAGACCCTCATAGCGGGCCGCCACCGCCACTGACCAAAGCAGGGGCAAACATTGATTCCGCCCGGCTCGGCGTCACCACCAACATCGACGATGAAATTTATGAGCGTGTTCGACCGCAACACTCATGCCAGCAAAGGGCGACAATGAAAACAATAGCCCAGAAATCAAGAAACCAAAGCCTCGACGTCTCTTTTCTTTCGACTCTATCAAGTCGGCCGCTTCGTCTTCCTCACGCCGTTCGTCAACCGACAACGATGTTCCGAGAGGAACTCGCCCGTTGAACCCTTTTGATCTCTCCAACGTAGAGGAGAGGGACGACGAGAAAGAGGATAAAATAACCTCTATCGATGCGAAGAAGCAAGAGACTTATTTTACCTCAGAGAGTGCAACTGCTGGCGTCTTAAGCCCTCCTCCAGGCTCGGATCGCCCTCATGCTCGATTAGAGCCTGTTCGGCCAATATCGATAGCACCAACCCGACCTTTTTCTCCCAACAACACACCTGCTACCCCTTCGCCGACCAGAGTGCGCTGGGAGAATCTCAGACAGCATGTTCTACCACCTTCACGCCCACTCACGCCCCCTCAAAGACCTCCTTCTGCCCAGTCTTCGGTCAGCTCTCTTCTGCAGCGATCGACCACCCCGAAACCTTCACGACTTGGTAAATTGGCATTCAGGCAAGTCGTTGAGGGGGCACAAGGAATAGTGGATGAAACGCGCAAGTTCGGGGAGGAGATTCTGCGAGCGTGCGCAATTGCCCGTTATTCCGAGCAACAAAGGTCTTCAAAGGAGAAAGATGCATCAACCACGACTCTTACAGGAGGTACTACGACTATGTCTTCCGCTGCGGCTGCTGCAGTCAAGAGGATGGACTACTTGCGCCGGCCCCAGTCAACGTCGTCGGTTGCACTCACATCAGTGGCTGCTGGAATATCTGCTGCTCCGTCTCTTAGGTTCTTGTACCAAATCCTCTTCTATCATGCAGGCCTTATCGAAGAAGGTGCACAAAGAATTTCAAGGCATCTCCCACATGAATACCAAGTACTTTCCACCCTTCTATGTCCTTTTCTCCTGCCCACGAAGTATCCCGGCGAAAAGCTCCAAGAAGAGCAAATCACAAGTGTGGAAGCATTTGAACTCGTGTCGAAGAGTTGGATACCGTGTGACGAAGTTAGTTCCTCCGCCTATATCTTGTTGCTCAGAGGCTTACGACAAGACCAAGGCGGCAAAGGTTGAAAGATGTTTATGGTGCATCAAGGCTGCTGCTGGTCTTGCACCTAGCCCCATACGAACTCGAGTTCTAGCTTCGTTATGGAAACTCCTTGTTTCAGGCGATAGGAACAGAACTTTGTTAACAGTGGAAGGTTTCCAATCCATATCAAGTGGTCTGTTAATACTTTTGGCTGCCTTCTATCGTCCACCCGCTGCCGTCAGCTCGTTTGCGTCCATTCCTGCCAACTTCCAACAACCTCCCCACCCAGATATACACCTTGTTCAGGATGTCATCCAACAATTTCTTTCTGGTTCCATGGGCGAACTCGAAGATGATGCAGTAGAGGAAGAGTATGGAGTAGAGTTTGGGATACGAGACAGGCGTCATCTTGGGGCTGTGCGGAGAGCCGTATTCCTGGAGGCTCTGGTTATTTGCATGGAGAACGACCCGCCTGCGAGAGAGTGGCTTCTTCAGAATGCTATTGAGGTGCGTATAGAATTTTTAGGCATCGTTTCTTGACACGAATTCCTTGTATTAGCAATACTGGCCGATGCCTTCTGACGACACCACGCTGACGACTTTACAAGCGTCAATATGCATTCGTAGACTGAACACACTCTGTCGATTGTTTACGATCCTCCTCCAACATTCGATGCCTACACCCTCTTCTCCTGTAGCCTCTCCTGGCCTTCAATCTCGGATGTCATCTTCCTCATCCGATTCCTCTTTGACTTTAGGCTCGCTCGAATTCCAAGCTAGGGACTCGAAGTTGCCAACCTTGATTGCGTCTATCATCCAAGCGAGGGTCATCCCGGCAGCAGAAGCATTGGGCATAGAAAACGAGGCAGATCCCAATGCCGTCCTCAGTGCGCGACAACAAGTTGCGAGAATTCTGTTGCAAATACTTTGCTTGCGTCCAGGTTTCGCAAGCTCTCCCAAGGAGGATGTATTTGGGGGCATCAACTCACAGGCTGTCGGAAACAAGGAAGAAACAACAGACGTGGTTAGATGGGTAATTAGGATACTCTCGGGTTGGTACAGAGCGGGAAACTCGTTGCCTTGGAGAGAAGTTTTGGACAAGACGTTCCGGCAGGTAGTGAGTGCTTGACCGGCCCTGCTGTAAAAAGCCCCTGTGTTTATGCTTACGTCTCTTCTGAAAGATTACAGGAGATTGGCGCACATCAACGGCAATTCTGCTCGCCTTGCTTGACCATATCCCTGATGACCTCAAGAAGAATGTTTTCGCCTCTATATTTCCCGCTCTCAACGATGTAAGTGTTAGCTTGTAGTTCGGCGTCCCAGGTACGCTGACGTGACGTCCTTGCAAACAGCAACTAGTCCAAGATCCTCCTCCGTACCCATTCCCAGACCTGACCATGCTCTTTACCTCGCTTTCTCGTCTCCTACCGCCCATCTTCTTCAAACCTATGTTTGCATGTGCAGCTTCAGACAAGGAGGTCATCGTCGTCAACCATCTGTGCACCCTCCAGGTGCATGCGAAATACGTTAAGGACTACTGGATTCGGGACGTCGAGATGATGTGCGTTGCGCTTCTCGGCGAAGCTGGTAGCACGCCGTCTGGAAATATGGAAGGACAGTGGGGCTCTGTTCGACTTGGCCAGCTAGTTCTGCTGGTGGAGTTGATTGGCAAAGTACAGGATGTCCGGCATGAAAAGGAGGGAGCTGGAAACGTTCGTTCATTTCCTAGTGATTAGTATTATCGAAAACTAATGTCGACTCGTAGTCGTCGGATGGCAAGTTCATTGAGGTGATCCGCTTCGTCACTGCGCTGGAAAGTCGATTGTGGCAGACTATTGACGTCAAGGTCAGCCCTGCTAAGTGTGTCTATTGGACCTCGCTGATCGATCGTTTGAACAGGAACGAAAATTCCTACTACCACCATCCCATCGTATGCTCTTCTGTATGCTTTTCCGCGAGATTCGATTGTTGACGCGGTCCTCGAAACCGTACGAGACCTTTCTGGTCCAGGTTACGTCTTGCTCATATTTTCTACTTCCATAGGGCACCATGGCTGCCGAGGACACTCCAGTGGTTCGATGCATATTGCGCAGATGAGCACGTCGGCGATCTTGAGCAAGAAGTTACACTCTCCGTCGAACGTATCCAAGGATTGTATATGGCTGCCCAGGAAGGAGTTCAACAAATCAACAAGGTATTCGATGCTATCTGCTTTTCCTCATGCTACGCTGCTCACATTCAGACGACAATCCAGCGACATATCTCAATGCTACTTGCCCGCGCCTCCTCCAAAGTGATTCCGACGGAAGGCGCCGATCCCAATCTGCTTGACCTAGCGGTCACTTTTGTTGAGCACCGCAAGTTGATCGATTCGTTGTCCAAGGGATATATCTCCAGGACCATGAAGCTATTTGTAGCTTTGTCGACTTTAATATCAGTCCAAGACTATCAGAACCTTGCTCCCTCACTTTGGCAGCACTCCTTGGTGGACAACATGGATCCATCGTCAACTGCCTCTGTATACATTTATCCTCCTTTTACTCTCTGATAGCGGCTCATTCGTATATCTAGGCTTGCTTCCTTCTCATGCAGTGTGCAGAGAAGGCGCCTCTGGATTTGCAAGCCATCATTGAGGTAGACCTCCAGACGTAAGCGTTCAGATAAAAGGCCGATTATTACGCAGAGACATTGAATATTCATTTCTCAGATCTGACGATATGAGCAGACTTGAAGCAGTGCGCAAAATCAGCATCCTCGTCAACTGGAGATTCCAAATATCGTCTCAAAACTATGTAACTGACCGTAACCACCGACCATTTAAATTAGCCCGGCCACCCTTACCCTTTATCGCCGCTGATATGGGCACAAGCTTATATGTTCATGCAGAGGATCACAACGAAAGCCAAGATAAAGACGATGTGCCATTGGAACTGAAGAAACGATTAGCGGAACTTGGTTGGGCCGAAGAAAATGCTGGAATACCTGATCCTCGACAAGAATGGATCAAGATTCCTTTGTCGATCTTACCTGCCAACCAAATGGATCGCCTGGAAGTCGGTTCCAACGACGCTCCTCTATCGCCCAATCCAACACCACAGCCATCACCGCAGAAAGCACGTACTCAGCGAGATCAGCAACAGTCATCTCTTCATCCAGTTGATGAGGCCGTTGCTCTGCTCAGACGAAACTCGTCGTCGGGAGGTCCCGCGAACGGCGTCAAACGTCGAGCCATTTTTGTTCCATCTCTTACCCTTATTTTTCCGCGTCTGGCATCGCTGGTTTTCGACCCAAACTTCATGGTCGCCTCTGCAGCTCGGACGACAGTTCTCGACCTTATGCGAAACGACCCCGCTCTACTTGTCAGACCTGTCCTTGATTTTTTAGTCGGAGAACAGAAGGACCTGAGAATGGCAATCTCGTCTTTCACAGCTTTCCTCCACATCCGTCGGGTTCTGCCACCACCATTGACACACTATATATTCAACAATTTGTCTGGATTCTTAAAAGCTGCGACAAGAAATGTCGAAAGTCAAGATACTTTAGATCAATTCGGACAGGTTGCCCCTATTTTGGCTGGTTTGGCGACTCAAGTTAGTGGAATGACCATTCGCGAGATCCGTCGTTCCAAGATCGAGCACTTTTTCATTCCAACTGGCTCTCTGTGGTTTGCAGGTTCAGCTCCTAAAGGACCAATGTTTCCGCGAAACATCGGACCTTCTGGTAATCCCTTCGAACCCGTCCCGCCTCGCCTTGTCTCTATAACCATGATTCGAGTCTCCCAGAACCTGTTTTTTTTGTCAATGTTGAAGCGCAACTATCAAGACGTGCAGATCATACGAAAAAACATGACTCGCCTTGTGCTACCATCACTCGACGATGAAGGCCTCATCAAGAGTCTGGAGATGAGCGACTTCGTCCCCAAGCAACAGACGCCGGATCCTCGACCGCCTTTGAAGAATCGAGTTGTCGAAGTCCTCTCCTCGATGGTCGCCCGAAGCTACATTCTCCTTGTCGCCCAGATTTTCCGTTCTATGCCACGGCACTTGAGCGACCGCCATGAATTAGCCATTCTCACTGAGGGTTTGAATCGTGCGTTGTTGGCACATAGTGACGATATCACTATCATCAGCCAAGTACTCATTGGTAAAGTTTCTTCGTTTCTGCCGTCGTATTCATTTATTGATTGTTGTATAGCCCTCATGGTCGCAGGTACACGGTTTAGACGTTTATTCATGACAGGTGGTGGATATACTCTGTTCATGCCGGCTCTGGTTAAGGTCTACACCGAGAAGCCGTTGCACCCGGGAATCCGCTTAGCCATCGAATATGCAGTCAGTCGGTTCTACGCTTTACACAAAGAGGCCTTCCTGTACCAAAGTGTCAGCACGATTGGGCAACTTGCTATGCTACCAGACATCGATCCCGAATGGTTTTCCAAAGGCGTGTACGACTTGTTTACATCTCTGAGGAAGGGAGCAACAACCTCAACGACGGATATGGCTGGAATCCACGATGTTAATAAAGCCGAAGAACGCGAAGCCCTTATTCTTAATACCGCCGATGAGACACCACAAACATTCCTATCATCTATGCGCCGGGTTGAATCCCAGAATGGTTTCCAGATGGCCTTCCAAGTTCCAGATCAATACGAAACCCATCGTTTGAGTATGGACGATTTCGTTCGGCTATTTTTGACCGTCATCGCTCACGATCTCTCAAGAGCACGAGCACAATACTTCTTGCGTCTCCTTCGTCTTCTTTCCCCACATCTGTACAACGCCTCTGGTTCCACCAGGGCAGTCCTTGCCGATGGCATAGCTGCGCTTGGTCTCATCATCACGAAAACTTTCGCGAAACCCAAGGGTGGAGAGACCTTTACAAGGTCCTCAAACATCGAAGAAGACGAAGCATTCCTTTCTCCTGGGACAGGAGTCGAAGACGCTGCGAAGGAAAAGTCCAAAGTCCCGAGCGATTCCAAAGCTGTAAGACTCGACTTTCTTCGACTTGTCCTAGCATTTGGAAAAGCAGGCGGTCAAGTTTCGCTTCCCGTTGCCCGCCAGGGAATGGATGTTGTCAAGAGCCTTTTGAAAGACTGGAGCGAACTAAATTTTGATGTCCTAGCATCAATCCTCGGCGATTTCATCAGCATGTTGCTCAATCGAGAAGAGCCGCCAGTCCCAAAAGCTGTTGTTGCTTTTCTACAAGAACTATCTCCTATTCTCCATGCATACATGGTCACGATTGACTTTACTGATGTTTTTGAAACTGTCCTCAACTTGTCAAAAATGCCAATGTACGCCAACGATCTCGCCTTCTCAGAAGTTGTTGTGGGTGAGGTTTGTTCGGCTGGATTGGCGGCATGCGACCTGGCCGCTTCAGAGAATCAGCTCATCACTCTTCAATATCGACCTGTCCTTGTCTCCCTTTGTGCAGAAAGTATCTTTCTGAAAGGTGTAGATATAATCGGAGAACTCGAGAGGCGTCCGCCAACCTATCAATTCCTTGCCGGAGTCATCCTTCCTCTCACCCTTGCGATGAAAACGCAAGCCCAGATTGTTGGTGACGGAATGCGAACAGAAGAACACCGCAAGGCTTTGACCCATGCTTGGGTCCGTTTACTCTTCTATGCCATGTCTGCGTGCCAGAAGAGCCGAAGGGACGAAGACGGATCTCGAAATGTCTTCCGTGGTATAGGAGGCTCGTTCCGTTCTAAGAGCGATAAAGGCAAGCAGGAAGGTGCCTTTTGGCGTTCTCATCTACCTACCGTCATGACCGCGCTTCAAGTCATCAAAGTCATCATGGTCCGTGGGACGGAAAGTATCACATCCCTTCCACGACTTGGGGTTTGGGAGAGGCTCGCCAGCTTCTTCAAGACAATGCTCTCCGAAGGGAGTGGGGAGTTCGCCTTGAAGGCAGAACCCAGCTCGAACACTACAACGCCCACTGGGTCCCCTCGCAGCAGCTCGCAGTTCGAAACGTCTAATTCCAATCCTGGTTTCAACCTTTTCGTCTCGACATCATCCGACCTCAACCGCCCAGGTTCTCCTTTCTCTCAGACAGGGACTGTCAAAGCATTGTGTCGTCCACGTATGATCGACTACTCCCTGTGGTCTGTGCTTGAGTTTGTTTGCAGCTATCGCAGCCCACTGCGGATGCAGCTGAAGCTACTTGTGATGGAGAAGGTTATTGCCTTAGATGAGCAACTTCAGCTGCAAGGAGGCAAACCCCTCGTCAGCGGTGGTCTTAGCCCATACCCAACCTCACCCAGCAGTCGCCGCGTTTCAACATCTATCTTTTCCAAAGCCAGAGCGCGTGCATCTGGGGCAACGGGCATCTCTCCTGACTCTTCGCTCCGTTTAATGCCCAGTCCATCCAACCTCCTACCATCTCCATCGATGCTTGATATTCCACCTAGGAGGGCAGGGTATCAAATATCCCCCATATTGCCTCAAGATCGGCCACTTGGAATGCCAAAGATTGTCCACCTTGGACCAACTTCTCCGTCTGCGTTTCTACCCATCTCCTCCCCTATCATCGGCAGTGGTGGGGTCAGAAACAGCCGCATAGGCGGTGCATCTGTCGCCGAAAGCGACGCTACATCGCGTGCACACGCCACGAAGATAAAGTCGGTACGGCTCATCCAGGAAACATATCGTCGGATACGTTGTGTCCAGACGTTCATGGGTTACGATCTACTCCTTCCGATACCCAGTGTCGGTATAGCGATCAAGGAAAAGGATGGTAGTGGTGAGGCGACATTGGAGTCTTGGACGAAGGCAGAGGCGCTCGCCGCGATTGTCGCGGAGATGAAGGATCTTCTGGAGGAATTCGAGGAAGGCCTTGGTACGGAGGACCTTGAAGACAGCGTCATGGTCGAGGTTGAGCCACCAACACCACAAAGCCCCAACCGCTCATTAGTCATTGCATGATTTGTTACCCTTCCACCTCATCGGCACATGTTTTTATTCGATCTTCCATATGATACTCGCTCAGATACGTACCTAGAGGACAGGGCCTCATTGTATATTTATATGCACAATGTAATGATGTAAAGGAATAGCTTCCATCTCTTCTGGCAGCCTACGTATTCTGCATGAACATGTGTATTATTAGGTTTTGAAAAGTGAAATACAGTTCCGAAAATCAATCGGGTATACGTATAGACGAGCATTCGCAATATCCTATCAAAGGCATACTCATCGAGTTTCATAATACGTGGAATAGTATCCCTTTGCCCGAAACCCTCTACAGCAGCAACGCGTTAGCACCCAAGAGCAGGCCCAACGCAAGTGCTAACATCGTTCCACCAACGCCACCAACAATGGGCGAGAGGTTGCCAGCACCGTTCAGAAGTGTCGAGCGGTTGGAATAGAGGATAGTGGGTGCGGTCGACGTATTCTTGCTTCCACTGTAGACGTACGAGGTGATGTTGGAGGTGGCAGAGACGGGCTGGGCGTTGGTACACCTGATGGAGACCTCCCTGACAAGGGCATAGAACTGGCCAGCGGCTCTGTAGTCGGCGTTGTTCCAGTCGATCATGCCTCCGGCCCAGTCAACAGTGCCTTGAGCGCTGCCAGCGATACCAGCAGGCCAGATGCTGAGGTACCCAGTCAACCAAAGGAAGTGAAATGAGAAGACGATAGGCAACTCACGAAAGTTGGACACGCGAAGGGGTGACTGGGTAGTGCGCAACGCCAGCTGAATCGAAGGTCTCGGACTTCCTGACAGTACGGACGACCGAGCCGTCGATTGAGAAAGTGAGGGTCTCGGGTTGCCAGTCAATCTAGATGATCTCTATCAGCGATTGACATCAGGCATCTGAGATAGCTGAAACGCACGGTATAGTCGTGGTAGTTGCTGAAGGTGTCCGTGAGGTCGCGGTGTGTCTCACCGACACTGGGGGTCGCTTAAGAAGATTTGGATATCAGTCTGAAGTTAAGAACGAGGAGTCTCCAAAGAACGTACGAATGACACCCTGCCAGAAGTAGTTGCTCTGCGCCTCGGTGGTAGCAGCACCGGGGAACTCCCAATCGATTTCATCCTTGATGTCGCTCATGGTGATGAAAGCAGTAACAACACCACCCCAGCGACCGGTCTTGACTGCAGAGCCCGGGGTCATATCAGTAAAGGTTTGTCGAGAGAGTTGTGAAGGCAGCGTACGTTTGGCAGTGACTGTTCCATAATGGACGTACCGAGTCGTCGAAACGCGAGTTCCACCGTTCGCCTCAGTAAGTGTGAGAGCCAGATCGCCATTGCTGTTCTGGATATTACCGCTTTCGACGACCCAGTCTTGGTTGAGCAAATCAGGAAGATGTTGGCGCAAGTCATGCAACAGGGCCACCGACCGTATTCCGTAGAGTTTCCATCGAAGAGCGTGTAGTTGGACAGAATGCGAGATTGGTCTGCAAACGACAGCTGCACGCGCGTTGTCAAAGAACCGTACAGGCATTAAAAAAATAGAACACACGGTAGCATCCTTGCAGAGAGGATTGGGCCTGCATGAATCAAACGACCTCGACGCAAAAGGATTGCACCCTCCCAAGCAGAACTATAATTGTCCATCGACGACCCATAAAAGAACAGCAGTGGAGTGCAGGTTCAAAACGCCACAATCAGTTTGCTATTAAACTATCGAATAAAAATACAACAGTGCGTACATGGTCTGTTCCGCAGAAACCGAATTCACCTGAGCCAGAGGTCAGCACAAGACCGAAACGAATGGTCCGAATGGAAACGCACTGCAGCAGGGAGCAGAAGCGGGACAGGGCGTTGTCGCATTGCTTGAGCAGAAACAAGTCAGTCTCTCAGTCCGCCCTACGTGATAGAAAGTAAACCACACACCAGGTCGTCGCCTCTGCGACACCAGCGAACACGGCGAGGAATGCAGGCAGTGCTGCGACTAGGACGGTTGGAATCATCTGAAGAAAGTTCTTGAGGGATGGCTTAGTAGTGGATGAAGTGTTGTCGTAATGATTATTCTCGACTTCGCCGTAATAAGGAGCGTCTTTCAAATAAACGAACGTCTGAGAGCAGAGAGTGTGGACGAGACCGTAGGGCGAGACGTGAGGATGAATGTTCGAGTCTGAGAGAAAGTGCGGAGGTTGTGGTCGGCCAAGCAGGCTGTTGCATCGAGACATCCCCACGTGCAGCCTTCGTGGGCATCAACCTGAGCTCGATGTCAAGACTTTCCACAACATTTCAAGCCTTCAACAATTCGGAGGAAAGGTGTATTAATTAAGGTGTCGCCGTACAGGATTAAGTATTGGATAATATTCTACGCTGTCCATAAACCGTGTCCGAAGCCTTGCCAACTGGCTTTTTTACTCGACAAACAGAAGGGGTATGTTGGCCAAGCGCTGCGCAACTATGCGAGATGAAAGTCAAGAATTTTCCATGGGCAAAGAGAAACTTTGAAGGAGCATGACAACATAAACCCAAGAAAAGAAGGAAGCCAACAGAACATTGAAGCATGGAAGAAAGTTCGTAACCGAGCAGTCGTCGCCGAGTCGTGGAGAAGAACAGAAAGTTTCAAGCAGCAGAGCTTTGATAGACGGTGTTGCCGAGTTGCAAGGGTTTGGGATGGGCACACTGGCGCTGAAGGTTGGTCATGGTTCCATACGGTTGTTCAGTGCTCCACCTATGCATCTCCTATGAGCACGCAATAGAGACGTTAAGCAAACGAGACGAACCTGGAGCCAGTAGAAGTAAGAAGAGGATCGTTAAAGTCATAAACTCCATGAGAAGTGGCGGATTGTATCGCAGAGAACGTGCTTTGAGTTCGTTGACGAGCAGTAAAAGAATTGTGACGCGAAAGTGGAGGCCCAAAGGGGTTGAATGACGACGAAGTCTTCATAGGGTGGACGAAGGAGGAAGCTTGATTAAGTAGTTCGCCACGCGAATGCGAGAAATAGTCCACCGGAGGCAAAGGATCCAGGATCCTATCCGGCGTTGAAATCCCAGTGGCCGAGAAAGTCGGAGTCAGACTCGGAGTCAGAGTAGCTGTTGTGTTCGAATACTTGACATAGCGCGCCTCCAGTTGGCAGCTCCCATATATCTGTCCAGTAAGACTGTCTTTCGCCTCTTGGCCAGCGGTCACGGAGGAATACTGCACGAAGACCGACAGGGTTCCGAGCGGTGAAACCTGGATGATCTCGAGCTTTTCGACGTTACCAAAGGGAACAAATAGTGGATGGAGATCCTGAGCCTGAGAAAAGAACAGAGTAGGCAGATTGCAAACAAGCAAAGAGGCTGTTGGGCTAGAGCTAGGCATCAGAGAAGGAAGATCTGCATCATGTGAACCAAGAGAGGAATCCGAAGTGTCAGAGGAGGCACGGCTGCGGGTTTCATGAAGAGGCTTTGGGCTAGGGCTCGGAAGCTGAGAACGGGAATCAACTAGAACACCGCGATCTCCTCCGTCCAAGAAACCTGGTCAAAACCAAAAGTGAAATAGCCACAAGCAAAGATTCGGCGCTATTCATACCTTGGGAGCGCTGTACAACCGCCCATGAAACATCGAGCGTGTGGCCTCTATGGTTAGATGTCAGTAAATGACTCATTGTCCGTCGAGGACCTTACTTGATTTGAGTACGAGTTAAAGCTGTCATGGCGTTCTTCGCTTCTTCGTGAGAAGACATGACAACAAAGCCCCGACGTCGCGAGGAATTGTCGACAGTCGCCAAGATAACACAGTGAACCACAGTGCCGTATGGACTGAAAATGGCGGTAAAGTCGTTTCTGGTGAATGAGAAGATAACTGCTTTTTCGTTGAAGAGGATGCAGAGGACTTACTTGGTGAGAGCAAATGGAAGCCCGAGAACATAAAGATTTCGGCGGTCGTCCGTGGAACGCTTGACAGCACGAGGGATTGGTGAGGACATAGTAAGTGCAGACACCGTCCTGCGCCGAGAAATAAAAGCGTTTGTATGCATCCATTGACGCAATAAACACACTCACAGAGGAGAGCCTGCAACAGTATAGCCGTTCATGCACAATGCTTTACTACGGCGGGATGAGGGACGGGCAAGTATATGCGACTTGTATGACGTACGAGGCTGAATCCTGATCATTGAACGTGATCTCCAAGCGGGGAGAAGGTCCATCCCTGATATCCTGGAAGCTGCGAACTTCGCCTGGAAGAGGGAAAATGTATAAGGCGAGAATCTTGAACATGCAACACATACCTATGAGGGTGCCAAAGAGGGATACGAGTTCTCTTCGTTCAACTAAAACGGTTACATTGTCAACTCGTCATCGTGAGACCAAACGTTCAAGAAGACTTACCATGATCAGGGATGTTTTCAATGCTTATAGAATTCGTCGGGCGACTGTTATATCTAAGCAACCCGTTCCCGCCATTGGCATTTTGAAGCCCAAACGGGCTCATAGAACTCAGCGAGAGCGAATGTGGCCCTCGCCCGAACCTGTATTTGACACCTTGCATGTTAGCGACTTCTTGTGTAACTTGAGTATGGGCGTGCTCGATTTTTTTGAACCGCCGTTCAGGGTATGCGCTCAGCCAAGGCCGTATACGCGTGGCGAGCGACCAAAATGATGATAAGCAAGAAGGAGGATGAAACCAAGAAGGAGGAAAGCGAGAAAGTCCAGCGAGCGACTTTCTCCTTCGGGCTTAGAATTTATCAAGCCCATTTTCTCACGGGCATGGACGCGTCCAGGCGTTCTTGCTCACGTGCACACACCATAGAGTCTGGACACTCTGACACCTTTTCTCTTCTGCCACCATAATCTGTCATTCCAGCCAACGTTGTATACCAATTATCTGAAAATCTTAGACCCATTCGAAGCCCTTCTTTTTCATTTGGGCTCTATTTCGACATTCCAACCTCGTGTGCCGGCTCCCCAAAACCATTCGCATTCAACAACTTGATCGGATCGAAGAGCTGACCCCATGTCCAAACGATCACTACTGTCTCTTGGACTCCCCAAGGACTCGCTTTCTCTTTTGACGCGTCATGGCTACGAAAATGTGCCGGACCTCCTCACCGCGACTCCGGAGTCATTGGCCAGAGGTATGCTTTCATAAATGCGTCTTGTCAAGCCTGAGATATTTTCTCCCAGACCTTGGGATATCTTTGGAACAAGCCGATGGGCTACTGGAACGCGTTCGAAAGCCGCAAACGCCTCTGACCACCCTTCCAACGACCCAATCAGTAGCAACGATGGTTCATCAAGCGTCCCGAATCCCGACTGGAAGTTCTTCTCTCAATAAGATGCTGCAAGGTGGTTTACTGAGGGGCCACGTCCTGGAATTATCTGGACCTCCAGGAAGTCCGAAAGAGAGACTCTCGATGAGCATAGCCTCCGCGTTCGTAAATGTTGGAGAAGAAATCCTATTCGTCGGTAAGTGGCAATGGGATGTACTAGCGTTTTTTACACTATCTCTCAGATTGCCAAAACATGACCAGTTCTTCCGTGCTGATTAACACTTTGAGAAGTGGGTGTCCATGCCTACTACTCGGTTCAAAACAATTCTGTAACGATCCACCCTAGAGTCTCTGAAAGGAAGATCAGACATCCAACGTTATGTGCACTACTTTTGTATGCATACCCTACCCGAACTTCTGTTCTTTGTGTATCAGCTACCCAAGCTCCTGGCGTTGCATTCGAAGGTTTGTTAGCTCTCACAATTTTAAAATGCCCCTAATCCGCCACCGTCAGATATCTTTGCTTGTCATTAATTCAGTCTCCTTCCCGTTTCAAAACCCTGGGGTTGGCATTTCCCAAAAGAACGGACAACTGGATAAGCTGAAGCAGGGCTTGTCCAAGGCGAGCGCATCGTCCAATCTGACCGTAAGGATCGTCGACGAATCAGAAACCAATGACCGGACCGTCTTACGGCTTTCGTGTGATGCAGATTGTGACGACATCGCAGCTCGCCACCAAGGCGCTGAACGCAGATGGATCATCGGGAACCTTCGATTCCGGCGCACGAGGAGTCATGCTGCCTCAGCTTGGTATTTCTTTTTCGAAATGTTCCTTCTGTTCCGCTTTCTCAGTCCAGTCAATCCATTCCAGGACCGGGATATCTCCCAAATGGCAGGAGCTATCGAATTTTGGTTGCCCCTGATAGTCCAACCTCAGGGTGTGTAACGTAGCTGTCAAGCAACGGGGGCTAGAGAACTAACTGATCTCGGACTGAATAGTGTCCTCAAGTTGCTCTCGTCTCCGAAACATTCCTTGGGAAGCGTGCCCACCATCGTTGAGCCTTACTCCACTGTACGTTCCACTTCTTGGTTTCGATTACGGGCTAATGATATCTCCGTGTATTATAGACGGAAATAGGTGTCATTTGATGATTCCCTCAAACCGGTTATTCCTTCCGCGTGGCACATGGGAGTAGATCGGGGCCTTGCGCCGTCAGCCAATGTGTACCAAGCCGACCTTCCAAGTCTGCTCATCGCACCCTAAACACTGTTTGAATTTCAAGCCCCTTTCCATATTGTCACGTGCCTTATCTGGTGGAGTCGGCGACGATCAGCTCAAGCTCCCATCCCGCTGGATAGCGAGTCGTCTTCTCTCGCACTCGCTGAGGCTTCGGTTCTAGTAACTACTACAGACAAAATCATCACAGTGATTAATCTATTGCCGAGGGGAAACTTCCTTACAACGGCTATTCAATCCACATCACTTCAGCATGTCGTCAATTCCCGACACCCAGCGCGACGCCACTACCCAATCAGGTTTTACAGTTCACAGAGACGGGTTTACCAGATTAATGTAAGATGAACTTTCAAATAGCTTTTAATTCATGTACAGTGACTGAAGCTGCTCGTCTTCAGGCACTTACTAAGACACGATTCGAGGGTGGCTTATGTGCTCCTTGGCTTGCGGAAGCGTGTAATTAGTGGAGGCGCTCCTAAACGCTGAACCCCCCTGAATGGTATAAACATTCCGATGCGGCAAATGAATCTCATCAAATCCATAAGGCTGGTGTCTCCGAAATCCTTGATAAACTGATCATCACGGGCTTTGTACTCTTGTTTCGACCTCCCACATCCTCAACCTCTGCGTTCACTTCCACCTTACAGGCCTTCATTGACCGCCATGCCTTCAGTCAAGATCAAAACACCCTCCGGCTCCGTCCAAATCAACTATACCATCTCCACACCCACCAACGACAACGCGAAGTCGATAGACAAGAACCTCCCAACTGTCCTCTTCTTGCACCCTGTGTATGTTGGTCACGCCATGTTCCACCGTACGTCTGCCTCGTTGCCTTACGCGAGTTTCGCTCACTCGTTTGTTCAGACCAATTCGCGAGCCAGAAATTGAGACGCTGCAACCTGGTTGGATTCGATTGGCGCTGCCACGGGGAGACTATTGGTGCTGTACCATCGAATTTCAGGCGCAAAGAGGCTGCTGACGATGTTGCCAAGTTCATGGTTCGTGATCTTCTAGCTCCGTGCTCGCGGTCCTTCTGACGTCCTGGTGTTCTGTTTAGGAGGCTCTGAAACTCCCACATTGCCATCTCTTCGGCGTTTCCCTGGGTGCTTGCGTTGCTCTGCAGACCGCGATCAGCTACCCGGACAAAGTTCTCTCGCTGTTTATGCTATCTCCGCTGCCCTTGATTGAGGTGAGTCAGCTCGTCCTAGGCCGTCGTATTCCTGATTACTGAGCGGGATGATGCAGCCCGAAATCGTAGGCGCTGGCCGGCAGGAAATCTACGACTGCTGGGTAGATGGTTGCAAGGATCCCAAAAATATCGATCAAGATGCACTGCTCGATGCGATCTTTGGTGCCCTGCAGCTTGGTTTCAACGGAGGGTCAGGCAGCATGACCACTTCGTACGTTCCCTACTTCCTTTACTATCGGGCCTCGACTAAACCGAGAACGATCATAGCCTTGTTCAGTATACCGTTCCTCAGGGCATGAAGAACTGGTCCTCGCAGCACTTCGAAGAGTTCCATACGGTCTCAGTTAAGTTCTTCATCGACCGTAAACCGCACCCGCGCGAGGTACTATCGACGATCAAAACCCCCATCCACCTCGTGCACTGTGGCGGCGACATCGCCTACCCTATTCATTACGCTGAGGAGCTGCGTGACGCCCTCAAGGATGCCGGAGTCGACGTGCGTTTGTCGCAGGTTGAAGCTGCACCGCACTTTGGAAATGTTACCCACTCTGAACCGTACGTCTTCTGCTTTCCATAGTAGGCACCCCCGGCAGAACTGACGTATTCTCAGTGTTAACGCCTTGTTCCACGACTGGATTATGGAGAACACCAGGAAAATCAACATCCCTCCCGCGAAACCGACGGTCAAGTCGCCTTTTGAAGCGGCTCTGATCAAGTGCGGATACATTCCAGGAGAGGGCAACGCGTCCGACTCCGAGGACGACTTCTTCCATTAAATCTACTCTGTAACCTGCTATTTGTTTTTCATCCGCTCTGGTTTTAACGACATACTTGTACATACGAAATCTCTTGTTGAAAGGACCTTCGAGTTACGATACCCTGTATGATGGTAGCTCATGCTGTTGGTGTACTCCCATACTGTAGAAAAGTACACCATGTTCCAACACAATATTCACGCTCGCTTTGCTGAATTCAGCTTGTGTCTGGTCTCATTCTCAGTCGTACAGTGTCTTGCAATTGCTAACGCCACATGACGGCGAGAAGGCTTGCGTATAGATATCGGCAAGGCTGTCCCAAGGTTTTCAAAATTTCACCATTAGGATGACGCCCGGAATGCTCGGTGGCTGTCAGCAAAGCCCCAGAACTTCCTCTGATCTTCGAAATCCCAGGTTGTCGAGCCTCTCGTGCAATCCTTCACAAGTGACGAGTCCTTCCCATTCCCACTTTCTTACAACATAATTACAACACGCCTTCCTTATGTTCAATCAGCCCCTTTCCAATTCATGTCCGCGCAGGCCGCCGCTTCCATCATCCTGGAGTCAGGTGGTCAGAAACGCCCGGCGACGAGCGAAACCGTTGAATTATCTCTGTCCACTGTCGTGTGGTAGCTTGATCACCGGTGAGCCCTCTGGTGGATGCCGGGTTTCTTAAGATTTCTTGACCCGATACGAAGTCGCTTAACGCTCGCCTAGGGCCTTTCGTGTGATTGCCAAGCCTAAGCCTCAAAAAGAGACTCAGGCAATACAAGTTCCCTTTTCCGGCAAGTATTTCCACCGAGAGATAGGGAAGGAGAGATGGGAGGGGAGACGAAGCGCCTGCGATTTCGGTGCGCGATGGAGGTCCGCATCGAATTAATTTGGATTGTCGGTGCTTCTTGTGACAATACATAGATTAAATGACAGGACGTTCCTGAAAGGTCCGACGATCACCTCGAAAGGGATGCTGCGCCACACAATAGTGGTGCCGCCGAAGATGATCTAATTCAACTGTAGACACCACCACCTTGTTTTATATTTGCAGGATGCGGGGGATCATCACCTGCGATTGAATACTGAGGAGGAAGACATTGTATTTGCTAGTGCTAGATGAAATGCACCTGTTCCGATAGGGTCCCGTTGTCAGCGGTGAAGTGTCTTCCTGCCATAAAATATTTTATAAGCACTGAAGTCCCATTAATAAGAGAAACAACGCAAGATGCATTTTTGGCGGCTTATATACAGGTTGGTTTGCAGTAGAAGTTCAGGAAAAGCATACGGAATACGGCTTGGGTAAGAGCTGACCTAGAAGTCCTTCCTTGATGTTGACCTCAGTACGTGACGTGCAAATCCGCCAATCATCGTCGTCAAGCCTGGGGGACGGTGTTACTTACTAGGACATCCAACAGTGCATAAAATCCACGCTAGACTCGAGCTGGAGAGCAAATCGGACGGCAGTCGATCCCACTCACCGTCTCTTGCCGTTGATGCCATTTTTGGCTCGAGCGCTTATCTGACAAGCTTCAGGTGAGCCGCTTGCGCTTGCGAGATAGAAGTTTTTCTCATTTCCAGTCTATCTCTATCAAGCGCTGGATTGTGGATAGCTCTACTGCCTTCAACGACTTAAACTGCGCACCACCGACCTATGAGGAAATTGCACCCGACGCGATAATCCCCAGAGTCACCGCCCCATGCGAGGTCCGTCCTGTAAAGCTCCATGTAATTTCAACTGTAATTTTAACTCTGATTCTAACTACCCCCTGCCCATCATCGTGTCATGTGGTGCGCCCTGGCGCGCCCGACGGTGTGGGACGGGGGTCCGAAGCCTAACTTTTA